ACCTCACCCCTCTGCCAGTCCTTACATTGGCTTCCTGTGTGCTATAGGAGTCAATTCAAGGCACTAACTCACACCTATAAAGCACTGAACAACTCTAGCCCCTCCTATATCTCCTCACTGATCCACAGGTATGTCCCTTCTCGGTCTCTCCGCTCTGCCCGTGACCACCTCCTGTCCGTTGTCCGCACCCGTACGGCCAACTCGCGCTTGCAGGACTTCTCGCGGGCAGCTCCCTTCCTATGGAATAGCCTGCCTACCGCCATCCGACTCTCCCCTAGTCTTGCATCTTTTAAGAAGTGCCTTAAAACCCATCTCTTTAGGAAAGCCTATGGCCTCCAAGACTAACCCCTACCTCACTTACCTGTCTCTTGCCCTCCCCTAATGTCCTAATGTGTCTTACACCCCACCTCCTATAGAATGTAAGCTCGATTGAGCAGGGTACTCTTCAACCTATTGTTCCTGTAAGTTTATTTGTAATTGTCCTATTTATTGTTAAATCCCCTTTCATAATATTGTAAAGCACTACGGAATCTGTTGGCGCTATATAAATGGCAATAATAATAATAATAAATAAATAGATTAGACATTACGTGACATATAAGACTGCGCTTTGTTATAAACTAGATAATGCTTATGATCGACTAAGGTTATATTCATAGGTTGCTATCTGGTGTATAGTAAACATGTAGTAGGCTTATTCGATTCGGCTTACTGATTAATTGCTTAAGGTAGTGCTTGGCTACGTGAGTACAAGTGGACTCGCTAATGTTAGATTGCATCAAGCTGAACTTCCTGCCATAAGATTATGTATGGCAGAAACATGCTAGGAACATGCTAGGAACTGGGTGTGTCTAGCCTGACAGTAGAGTGCTCAACATAGCATTAAGGCATGAGTAGATTCAGATTAATGGTAGGTGAGCGATTGAGTTGTGGGTGTGACCCCCTGAATGTGCTAAAATTAAGAATCTATAACAAAATAAAGGAAGAGTCATCAAAAATTATAATTGTGGGAGTCCAATAGCGGCATATGGAGATGCAGTGTGCCGCAGTCACTATAGAGTCAGCCGATGCCCCCATCGGGGCTGAGTTCTTTCTCCCAGTGCTGTTCGTCTCATCTCCTGCCGTCCTACTGGTGTGCAGGAGCTCAGAGTCGCTATCTTCGTGGAACGGAGGTGTTGGGGTGTGAGGTTCCCGAGTAGGTATGTGGGCCGTTCGGCGGGCAGGGTGCAGACTCGTGTGATTGTCTCTTCGGTAGGCGAGGCAGTTTGGGGCGTCTTGCTGTGGGTGACACTTTGACTTTGCTTACTGTGTGTAGGCTGGGCCCGTTCTTAGTGTTGTGCCAGGCTCCCGCCATCGAAGTGAGTCATCTCACTTGCCTGCTTGGCTTCGGGTAGGAGTGCCGGGGGTTTGCTGCGCCCTGCTCTGAGTTGTCCCGCAGTGGGTACATTAGGCACTTTTATGTCAAATGATCAAGATATACTGTTAAGGATTGGGTATTTAATTGCACTAGTGCAGGCATAGACAATCTTCGGCACTGCAGATGTTTTGGACTACACCTCCCATGATGTATTGCCAGCATTATGGGGGATGTCGTCCACAACATCTGCAGTGCCGAAGGTTGCCGATCCCTGCACTAGTGTATTAACTCTATGGCAATTGGTACACTTAAAGGGACACTATAGTCACCCAGACCACTTCAGCTCAATGAAGTGGTCTGGGTGCCAGGTCCCTCAGGTTTTAACCCTTCAGATGTAAACATAGCAGTTTCAGAGAAACTGCTGTGTTTACGTTTGGGGTTCCGACAGCCACTAGAGGCACATCTGCAACGCTGGAGGCATATTATGCCTCCATCGCGCAGAGAGTCCACAGGAAAGCATTGATAATGAGTTTGCCACACATGCGGCTCTGCTGACATCGGATGGATGAGGAGGTCACCAACACTGGATTAAGGTAAGTGGCTGAAGGGGTTTTAACCCCTTCAGCACCATGGGAGAGGGACCCCGAGGGTGGGGGCACCCTCATGGCACTATAGTGTAAGGAAAACCGCTTTGTTTTCCTGACACTATAGTGATCCTTTAATTTTTACTTAGATTTTTAGACTCACTCCAGTGGACCCGGCTGCCCTGCGGACTCCTGCGACCGGGTACCCACTGCCATGTGTTGCGGCAAACCGCCCGTTCAATGGGCCCATCGGGTGACCCATGCTGTTAAGGCCACCAATAGAGATTAATTTCCAGGGAGCGTGACCGGGCCCCCTGTGATGACATCACAGCCGGGAGGAAGTGACTGCCAGCCACCAGCCTGAGTCATGTGTGTCAGGGGAAGCCATGGATCAGTTTCGCACCAGGACCCTATGGATTGTGTGGACACCACTGGTACAGTGACAAGTTTGGATCAGATTCTGTTTTTACAAGACTGTCCACACATTGTTCGGCCACCCTGTCAGATATCTTGTATTCCACTGCTCCAAATAGAGACCAGGATTCAGTTTGTTATATTGCAGGTCTAGAATTGCATAGTACATGGTTTTACTGAAAACAGAAGATTGGTGGAAACCCTTCACAGACATATCAAGTCTCCCACATATTGAATGTGGCTCCCTGACAGCTGCAAATCAAAATATCCCAGAAGTCACTCAATCTGATATACAATAGACATGTGCAATTCTGTTTGAATTAAAATACAGAAGAATTTCAGACATTCAGATGCCTCCAAAGTTTGTAAGTGCCAAACTGAAGAATTGTGGAAGTGCTTCGGACTTCTGAAAAGTGACAAAACTGGTAGGATTGGGGTTGGGAGTAGTGTTGGGGTACTTCTAACCCAACACTTACCCAGATTGCCGAAGTCCGGAATGCCGTACTGAAAGTTTTACCCATGCACATCTCCTAATGTACAGTGTTTATCAGAATGTGGGTGTATGATTTCCAGGCAGCATAAAGGTTAGTGTTAATTTTGGCAGCAAAATTTTAATCTTAGTCTTGACTAAAGCTATTTTAGTTTTAGTCGACCAACTAGACCCATTAGATTTGTTGTGTTGACTAAAATCTACTAGCGATGTGAAGCCTGTTTTGTCCCTTCCACAGCCCCTCTCTGGTTCTGTGTGTCCTCCCAATCCCTGGTCTGTCTTTTGCCCCGTCCACAGCCCCTCTGTGCAGTGTTAATTTTAGCAGAAATTTTTAATTTAGTTTGTAGTGTTTTAGTTCTGAATTGTTTTAGTCAGGTGTTGGTCCATTCCACTGTCCTTTCTCGTCTTGACTACTGTAATCCACTTCTCAGTAGCCTTACGTGCTCCCAACTTGTGCTGTTACGGTCCATAATTAATGTGGCGGCGAGGCTCATCTTCCTGTCCGTCCGCACCTCCCATGCCTCACCCTTCTGTCAGTCCCTACATTGGCTTCCTATAAAATAGAGCTCAATTTAAAATTCTGGTTCTTACTTTCAAATCTCTACATAATGCTGCTCCCACCTATCCATCCTCCCTTATACACAAGTATGTCCCGTCTAGGCCCTTACGATCTGCTGAAGACTTAAGTCTCTTCTGTCCGTACTCCCACCTCTGATGCTCACCTTCAAGATTTCACGAGGGCTGCACCATTCATGTGGAACTCGCTTCCCTCCTCCATTAGATGCTCACCAAGTCTCCACTCCTTCAAAAAAATCGTTAAAAACCCACTTCATAAAAGTGTATCAATTAAATTGTTAATAGATCCTGACTGATTCCTCTTCTGTAACTGTCACTAGTCTAATACTATCCTTACCTTTTTGTGTCATTTTACCCCACTCCCTCTAGCATGTAAGCTCATTGAGCAGGGCCCTCAACCCCTCTGTTCCTGGGTGTCCAACTTGTCTGGTTACAACTACATGTCTGTTCGTCCACCCATTGTAAAGCGCTGTGGAATTTGACGGCGCTCTATAAATATAGTAGTAATAACTAAAATAGTTGGTTGACAAAATTAACCCTGAAGACAAAAAAAATAAAAGGCTGGAGTGAGCTGCTGCATGCTCCCTCAAATCAGCCTCAGCCAGGACCAGAACACAAGGAAGCCATCCTCCTGGATACAAAAGGTAAGCCGTCAGTATGTGTGTCATTGTGAATCTGTATGTTAGTATGCATCTGAAGTCCTGCTTCTAGTTTGTAAGCAGTTACAATGCAAAGGCTAGCCCTCCTTGCCTTGTAATCATATGATGCCAAATAGTAAAAGGAAAGACAGGAATTGTTCATATGGGCCAGTATATATGTATGCATCTGTGCCAGTGTGTATCAGTGTGTGTATGTCAAGGTGTTAATACAAGTTGATGGCGGGGCGGGAAGGACTTTACAATAGATGAAGCCACCTCCCTGAGATGCATTTTGTATGTTGGGATGTTTGCCTTCACATTTCCACTACTGTTCAAATTGTTAGTCTCAAGGGAGTGTCTTAATTTTGCAGGCACTCCAACCTATAGGCCCATTTACTAAATTTACAGTTCTTGGGTATTTTAAACAAAGACATCTATACAGTTACATTGCACTTGCAGATTTTCTAGTATCTAGATTGAGATGTGGGAAACAATAGTTTTTTTCTCCCAGACTAATTTTTGGCTTAGACTATGCCAGGGGTAGGCAACCTTTGGAACTCCAGATATCCCTTGATGCTTTACAAGGATTATTGGAGATTTAGTCCACAGCATCTTGAATGCTGAATGTTGCCTACCACTGCAACAAGGGAGAGCAGAAAGGACTCTCCCAAGCATAGCAACCACTGTTCATGTGGTATGGGGATATGGATTTGTATTACAAGTTTTCCATGACTTGTGTTTTAAAAAATTGTAGCTGTCCATTTGTCAAACTATTTCTTGCTTGTAATTTGCAAGGCCATAGAACAGAAGACTAAATGACACTGCACTTCTATAATCAGTTATAAAAAATAAGACCACCATTCACATGTAGCCATAAGTGTTCCAAGATTAAAATTTTATTTAAAATTCACAACACATTAAAAAAGGCAAGTTAAATACAGGGACATTTTCATTTTAAATTTATAAATTAATAAAAGTTTGAAACAGCTAGAACATTTTATGAAGACTAGATTTATGGATCCTTTCGCTCAGATTCAGGCGTTACATATGTACCAGGAGTTTGTTTTGCCAAGATCTAGTTAGCCAGGTAATTGCTTTTGCCAGGAATAGGATCCAGCTCCATGTTATTGTTCCAGAATATGGGGAGAGGGATACACAAGACTATTTACAAAATAATTGTTCTACCCCCAAGGCAGTGGTAGTTCCTTGCATTGCAGAGGTCTGAGCATCTTTTCCTATGAAGTCCTGCTTCTAGTTTGTAAGCAGCTACAATGCAAAGGCTAGCCCTCCTTGCCTTGTAATCATATGATGCCAAATAGTAAAAGGAAAGAGGAATTGTTCATATGGGACATTGATCATGTCAGTAGGGCTAAAGAGGGGTAACTGTTTCATTCTGAGCCAGATGAAGTCTCTAAATGACTAACAGCCCCCACAGGTAAAGCTCAGGGAGCGTGAATTTTTACCACCTACAAGGCGCTTTCTGCCCGAGCAGATCAAGTCCTGCTTTGAGGGGAGATCAGAGCAGACATCCTTTCCAGAATTGTGGGCTAACTTTGCCGCTTTCAGTTCCCTGTGGATGAGAAGAGGCAACAAATCAACTTTGAAAGCTTCATTAGCTTTAAATACAGCTTTCCAGTTATATTACAAACTGCAGTCGAAGATAGTATAGACAGGGACTGCAGGTCATCAAAACATACATAAGTATGCACCCTGGGAAAAATCATTGTGTAAATGTAGGAAACTTTCAGAATGCTCCTAAAGCCCACCACATCTAGAGTGCCAAAGGTTGCCCACTCCTAATCCTGATCAAAGAAGCTAGCTGTCACTTAGCCAGTCAGGGCTGCAGTAAGTTATATTTACAGTTAACCCCATACATGGGGGTAACAGTAAGAAAAAAAAAAAAAAAGACAAATAGAATTTGAAAGTCACATTTTAAAGAATGTATTCCACTTTAGACATTCTTTACAGCAAAGCAAGTCATCTAGCATCTGTTTAATGCTACATTTATGCAGTTATGCTCTGTCAAAATCCAGGAAGCCAGTTTTTGTACTATTAGTCCCATGTTTTACTGCTGCATATGCTGTAAATTATGCTACTGCATATAGATAATCTTAAAGGGATTCTCTAGTGGCAGTAAAACAGTTTTCCTGGCACTGTAGAATCCTGCAGTGCCCCCTCCCTCCCATCCCATGTCACTGAAGGTGTTAAAACCCCTTTCAGACTTACCTGAATCCAGCGCCGATGTCCCTAAGCACTGGGTCAGGCTCAGTCCACACGCCTCCCCCGCCAGCAGGGGGGACCCAATGCGCATGCATTGCTGGGGATTCTGGCAATGCTGGAGGTCCTAATGATTAGCGTGAGGACGTCCAGCATCGTTTGGATGACCAAAAGTAGTCCAAAAAGCCGGAAGTCCCTCTAGTGGCTGTCTGGTAGACAGCCACTAGAGGATGACTTAACCCTGCAATGCAATTATTGTAGTTTATAAAAACTGCAATAATTACACTTGCTGGGTTAAGGGTGATGGTAGTTTGCACCCTGAGCACTTCAATGGGCTGAAGTGGTCTGGGTGCGTACAGTGTCCCTTTAATACTTGGGATGGATTCAAGCAAATATAAACTCAAGCAGTTCTCTACAAGCAAAAGCTACCTTGATTCCCATGTATTAGAAACTATTCATGTGCAAGTCAGTTTGTAAATGTCACACCAGATCACCTCTCAAGCATGGCAGTCTTGAACTTCTCCACATTAAGCTGCTTCTGGAGTTGAGCTGCCTTCCCAACAGATCGTCTCAAAACTGGGTTCTTTGCAAGAGCAGCAGCTGGGGGTCTCACAATGGGGTCTGGATGGATCAATACCTATATCGAATAAACCATATTAAGTCAAGGTCTGCTTAATTTGACCATTAAATATTTATATATGGTGACCCGGTTTAGTTTGACAGTTATTAAAAATTTATTCCTCATGGCAGGGAAGATTATAAGCATCCTTTGATTTTAACATTAGTCATACAATCCCAGTGAAATATGGTACAAATGTTGTGGCAGTCTCTTAGGGGTACCCGAGTGTCACTGCAAAGGATATCCTTTCCCTTTGGGATTACACCTTGCAGCACATAGAACAGTGATTATAGCAGTCTCACCCAAACACGAATTGAAAATTTAGTCAAGGGTGAAAAATCTTATTGGGACAATGGTCACACTTATCTGGGGCCTCAGACAGTCCCCAGGAGAATGGAATAGCAGCAATCCCAGCACCTTGGAGTCTGTACCTCAATGGATAATTTAATTAGCAGCTAGACACCTAGGCGCCTGTTAACAAATAGAAGCACTGGCTTCCCAGGCCCACACCCCCCAAACAACTGCTGTCACCGTGAAGCTCTTTTCAGAGCACCTACTGTGTCCAAAAAGCACTCTGAGATTGCTAGCCAGATTTAGATAGAATTTAGCTGGCTGCGGCTATCCTCCGATCCAGGACAGAGTTCCATGACGCTAGGTGGATACTCCCGTTCAAAAACCACAGTGCTTTCCATGGGGACATGGAACTCCCTAAACTACTTGGTATCAATGGATGCCTCACCACCCCATCCCTTCAGATAGCATTCTCCTAGGCGATTCAGGGACAGAGGGTGCTCTGAACAAGGCCGCAATTGATAGGAAGTTCCAGGAGAGTTGAGGTTGCTTCCGATCAGGTGCTCTGTGCCTCTACAATCTTATTGTGGGCCTGGGTTGCTTCTGATGCAGAGAAGGGGCTGGGAGGCACAAGTTGGAGAGATACATTTGATGAATAAAGCGATTTGGAAGGAGGTGGTGGTTGGGAGATTTGCCCATCCTGTGTAACCAGGTGGTATGTCACGAATGTAAAGGACTAAACTTTAATGTATTAGAATAGTATTAAATTATATTGTAAATTGGATGAGATACTTTGAGGATATTTGACATGGACAGTTGTCATTACCACATTAACAGGGATTGGCCAAGATGTTATTTAATAACAACACACTCTACCTAGTGTCCACTGGACAAAGATATGTAGGTTTGTCTATGTAATGACTCCAGCTATAAATTACTATTCATGCCTGACCATTAAAAGGTAAAGTATAACTGATTGAGGTCCATATTTTAAGGCACAAGCTACAGATATTCCATTTTAAGAAGCTTAACATCTACCCATCTGGAATAAACTTAAGAAAATATTTATCACTGAAATCATGTCCAAGTCAGGTTTCTGCAGCAAATTCCATTTTACCTTAAGTAGGTCATGGAAAGCAGAGGAGAGCTGCTGTGGAATTTCTGGGATGCTGCCCCTCCGGATATGATGCCAATTTTCGTCATTGCAAGGGAGAGGGCCTGCTCCAGCTGCCACTGCTATCGTAAGGCCAAGAGCAAATATATCAGCCTTGGGCAGATGACTGTAATCCTGGAAGGGAAAACTAATAAAAATCTCACAGCACCATTCAAGCAAGCCTACTCCACTTTGATGTTAGATGCATTTATTTGCCAAACTTAAACTGTAGGGCTCAATTCATGCCTACTACATAAATGGATGACTTTTGGGCAGAACATTTGCCTTTGTTTTGTAATTTATGCACAATAATTAGGTACTGGAAATATATCTAATTCAAACAATCTCTAGACTACTAATTCACCATATAGGTATCACCAGTTGCAGAGATTGTCAATATTGATAATCACCATTAGAAACATTTGAGAACAGTGAGTTTGTTCCCCAAAAGGAAGTGCATCTAGTAGCGGTTAGGGTGTTTCTACAAAACTGCAGTTTTACATTGCAGGATTAAAACCAGAAGGTCAGTGCACCCAGATGACTTCATTGAGATGAAGTTGTCTGGGTGACTTCCGACGTTTTCAAAAAGAAAATGAAACACCAAAAAATATATATATATATATATATAATTAAATTTAAAAAAATAAAAACACATACAAAAACCCAGAAGCTTTGAGATGGCCCTTTGAGCATAACATCTAGAGTTATGGATTACATACAAACATCTTTACCTTACTAGACCCGTTGACCTAGGCAACCACTGCAGCTTTGTCAAAGTACAGTTTTGAAGACACCATTGTAAGGTTAAATGCAGCCCTAGAGGATTACTTCCCAACAGCTACTACTTGTTTAGCTACAAGTTGAATAAGCAGTGTTTGTGGACTTTCTGCCAGCTCCTTCAAGTGTCATACATCGTATGATATAATGAGAGGCTGTAGTATCACAAAGGAAAGAATCTTAAGTACACAAACCAAATTTAACATTACCTCCTGAAGAATCTCATTGGCCAAGAAGCGACTGTCACCTTCTTCAACTTGTGGATTGGTGGCAGCGGTCACATGGCCAAGATCACCTGGAAAACAAGCAGTGACATCTGAATCTTAACAGTAGACCCAATACTCTGCCGACAGGATTACTTTTGGGATTGAAAGGGCAGTCTAGGAAGGACTGGGCTCCATAAATTAAAATTAATCTAGCCCAAGTTTAAGGTAATGCAGTTAAAGGGACACTGTATTCCCTATAATCATTTAAATCTCATTTAATTTGTTATAGTGCCTGGAGTCCCCAGGCACTCTGCCTCCATTCATTTTTAGAGCAGTTTAACACTAAATAAGGCTACTTTTCCACCCAGAGTTTGGCCTCTTTTGAAGGTGTGGCTAAGGCAGTGATTACACTTTTAGTCATACCCTTCGTTCCTTTTGATAGGTCAGCTGACACCAAACTACTCACAGCTGCCCATTGACGCTTAGCCCAATACCTCATCATTAGCCAAAGCAGCACAGAGGGGAGTGTCTGCTGGGGGACTCTAGTATTAAAACAAAACTATTAAAAACAGTTTAATGCTGAATGAAGTTATGGCACTTGGAATTCAGACACTAACCAGTTTAATGAGATGAAGGAGATACAGTGCCTACAGTGTCCCTTTATGTAAATTCCTGGGAATTTTTATTTACCCTGCAGTATATTGTCAAACTATGGCCACGCCATCTGATACTCCAGTAAACCCACATAACAGAAGGGATTTCTTTCTCAGGGATGTAAATTCAGATTAATGGGATAAATAAAAGAAATTAGGTGCAATTTAAAGCAACAATCCCCTGTGCCTCTAATCACCCAAACATGAAAAAAAAAATCATCATTGTACAATAGGGGAGTGCAATCAAACCAATATATAAATCAGATACTTATTGTATGTTGTGGGTATTTTGAGCTAGTTTTTGTCATAACTGATGCCCTTCAGTTATGACAAAAACAAGCTCAAAATACCAGCAACATACAATAAGTATATGATTTATATGTTGGTTTGATTGCACTCCCCTATTGTACAGGGTTATTTCACATCAGTATTTTTCCTTGTTTCCCAGATTAATGGTAAGCTATATGAAACTACCCACTTGTCCGCATCCATTAATATAGCTACATGCTATAAATTCTAATTGCTATATTACTGGAACATGTCAATGCAGTATAGATAGCAAGGGTTTTGTTTGAACAGGCTGGCCAGATCTGAAGTAGAGCCTGAGAAGTCCTAGACCAGATTGACAGAGCTGTTGCATGACAAGGATGAGACTATGAGCAAGACTGTTTTTCCCCAGAATAGTCTATTCTTAAGAACAAGTGATACCTATTAGATTTTGATTGTATAAGGGACAGTTGGTCCTAGAAAATATATATCTCTCTCTCTCGGGGGAGACTGCACTCACCTGAACATGCATAAATGGGGGTGCTGCTGGGGGCCAAATTATACAATACACAAATCCAGCGTACTCACCTATCCACTAAACAGAAACTTTAATGTTGAAGGATTCCATTTGTTTTTTAAAAACCCCTAATCTAGGCAAAAAATAATGGGGGATACTCTTCCTCTTGTGTTCTACATTTAGAAATTTGTGGGGCAGTGCAGGAGGTGTCATCTTCACAGATCCAATCAAATAAAGTGCCAGAGTTCATTATGTCAAAATGGTTTTCAAAATTTCTTCATATAAAGGTACTCTATACAAACCAATCTTGTACAGAAGACTTGCAGTAGAAGTATCATCTTCTCCATCACTTTCATCCTCTTCATTCCCAACAATCTTCCGACAGATAAAAATATTACCTGGGAAACGAGAGACCACAGTGTTTAAATTTGGAGAAAAAAAAAAAAATCCCATTGTTTGCCATTTATATTGCACCCACACCAGAGGTGGCTCTCTAATTAGGCGGCCGCCTAAGATCGCCTTGGGGCAGACTGAACGGTCGGGTCCTCAGTTCATGGTGAGGACCCGACAGTGAGAGGGGGCCCGGCGGCTTGCCCAGTATGCTGCCGGGTGGTCCCTCCACATGGTCTGCCCACACGGAGAGCCAGCCTCTGATGTGCAGCTCCGCCGAGTGCAGAGCTGCAGATCATATAAGTTTCTCGCGAGCACACAGAGCATTGCCGCGGGTTACCACGGCAACGCTCTGACAGGCACTCGCGAGAACGAGGTCTGCCCTCCAAACACTGCCCACCCACATACACTTCCCTTCAACCCTCACTGCCCCAACACTGCCCACCCAACCCTCACTGCCCCAACACTACCCTCCCACCCTCACTGCCCTCCCACACTGTAACACACCCTGTACCCACACTGTCACCATCCTCCACACTGTCACCCACTCACACCCTGCCCCCGAAACTGTCACATTCCTCCACACTGCTCCCTCACCCTGTTACCCTTTCACACACTTGCACCCCATTTTGTCACCAATACATACAGTCACCCCTCCCACACACTGCCCCTGCACACACTGTCACCGTTTCCAACACTGCCTCCCACACTCACCTACCCACCGTCACAATTCCACACACATACTGTCACCCCCCACATGCTGTCATGCCTCCTTCACCCAGCCTCGCTCACATTAACCTCCTAATCTTGTCGCTCTCACCCCCTCCATCCATACCACAGTTACCAGCCCTCGCTCTTCCACACTCACCCTATCACACTCATCTTCTCTCATACTGTCACTCACCCCCAACCCTTTCACATTAACCCTTTCACTTGTGCCCAACCATGCCACACTCACCCTGTCACATAATCCTGTCCGACTCACTTTCCCTCGCCTTGTCACACTTCCTCCTCCTTATGTGTAACACATAACCCCAACACTGTCAAACTCATCCCCCTTCACCCTATCACATTAACTTCTATCCTGTCACTCATCCTGCCAAGCCATGCCACACTCACCCTGTCACTCTCACCTCCCCTGGCCCTGTCACATTTTCTCCTTCAACCGTGCCACACTCACCCCAACACTGAATACAGAGACTAGCTCTCTGTATCCAGCACCGCAAGCCTGTCATTCAATATAACAACAGCTCATTATACACACGATGCAACCCCTATGTTTTTTACTATGAGTATTAGTGGGGGGGGCCTCTTGTTTGAGTTTCGCCTAAGGCCTCAAAGTCTAGAGCCGCCACTGACCCACACCGTTACAGGCTATAGTTACTTCAAGGCTCCCTTTCATAGGCTAAACATTTTAGTACGCATGAAGGTAATCAAACCCCCATAAGACACTAACTTGGCTTAATGTCCATATGCACCAGACCAGTGCTGTGGATATATTTTAGTCCCATGGAAACCTGTAGGAGAATTTCTTTCAGTTCTTGCTCCAATATGAGGATTCCCCTTTTCTTGTTCTGTGTGAGGAGATCCTGCAAGCTGCCACCTGAGGAGACACATCCGAGGAGCTACTCAAAAATGTCAGAATTACAGTGAATAGGACTATTTTAAGCAATGCCAGATCTGACAAAATGAGCAAAGCAGTGCACCTCAAATTGTTATATTAATCTGTCCTGACTCCCAATACATTCTGAAGTGAAAAAGCCAAAACATCAAAGAACTGTAAAATAGTTCATAGATGCCAGTCAGCTTAGAGCATTCATAAATGAGGTAATGCAGGTTAATTATTGGGTTAAAACAATACAGTTAATTTTGTGTAACTATTTCAAAGTCTGTTTTTAGTAACATGCATGTTTATTCCGTATTCTACTTACATTGGTTTATAGAGACACTATTTTGGTCAAAATGTAAAAGTTTCAATTCATAAGGAATAATAGCCTAAGTATAGGTGTTCCATCCGAGGAATGGTCACCTCAAGGCTACAACTCAATTTTTCACTTATTTCTCAAGAAAAAAAAAATATGAGTGAACCCATCCTTTGTCTTCTAACTGGTAACCGGTGTGCAAAAATGTTTAATATTGTGCCACCGTTTTAAGACTGGGAATGTAAATGAGGGCAACATAGTATCTTGCCTAGCAGGTAGCTAATACACCTAAACTTTATGTCATATTCAATAGTTACTTCAAAGCCATCTAGCAGCAAACTTGAATGCTCTTCAAAATCTTGCCACATGATACACTGAATGGGATACATTAAAGATTATCAGGAACCCTCATTTAAATCTTTACAATGCATCTCTTCATAATTCCCAGTTAGAGAAATTTGGATGTTCATGACTGGGAAAATACAGTCAAAGGATGCTGAGCAATCTTACCATTACAATACTCATTCTGAATAATCATGTGATCATCCTCAGCCCAGGCGGAATAGTATCGTACTACATGAGGGTGGTGGCCAAGTACTGCATGGGCATAAACTTCCTTCAGGGCCAACTGCCTATAGGATTGGACAAGATTAAGGTTTACTGTTATGGCTTAATAAACCGTTTAAGAGGGGCACACAAGACCAGCCCCTACCACATACTGACAATCTACATTGTTGACAGGGACAGACTGGCAATGGTATATAGGCAAGTTGCACAGAACAAAATTCAAGAGCAAAAACAGGTTATACATATAAATTTGAAGAGAATATCTGATTTTCTTAGTAAGGCAGGGCGGTTTGAAATGCAATTCCACAAAGTGATTGCCTCCCACCAATCATACCCACACTGCTTAGAGAGGAAACCCACACATCCTCTAAAAGACCAGACTAATCAATAGAGCAGGCAAAATACTGTTCTGCATCACGTTGATGCAAAATACCACCTATAGCTACAGATTATATATCTTATAAAAAGCCACACAAATTCTCATTTATACTCTCCATTGGATATATTTGCGCTCATGATCCTGCAAGCCAATGACAGCAGAGGACTCCAGTATTCTAGTCATTTTATGCTTCCATGGGTTTATTTTAACCTTATGAAATTAACACTCCAACAAGTATTTTATTTGGGCAGTTGAATGTATCTTGCTACAAATTTAAAGTTATTTGTGGACCACTATAGGCACTCAGACCACTTCAGCTTAATGAAGTGGTCTAGGTGCCAGGTCCAGCTAGGGTTAACCCTTTTTGCTGTAAACATGCAGTTTCAGAGAAACTGCTAGGTTTACCTATATGTTAATTCAGCCTCTAGTGGCTGTCTCATTGACAGGCACTTCTGCGCTTCACTGATTTTCACAGTAAGAAGACACCAGCGTCCATAGGAAAGCATTGAGAATGCTTTCCTATGGACTGGCTGAATGTGCGCGCTGCTCTTGCCGCGCATGCAGCCAGGGAGGAGAGTCCCAGCGCCGAGGGAGCCCAGCGCTGGAAAAAAAGGTAACTGATTAACCCCTTCCCTTCAGCCCGGCAGGAGTGGGATCCTGAGGGTGGAGAGTAGGTTTTCCTGGCACTATACTGGTCCTTTACGTTAATCAGACTCACTTAGCGAATGCTAAGCTGTTACTAAGTCTCAATGCAAAAAAGGCAGTTCTATACTAGAAGAGGGCATGACAAGAATGTGGTCCCCAAAGGATTAATGTTGGAAACCAGATCACCCTAAAATACTGATAAAAATGTTACAGATTTACTCATGAGGCAATATTCTCTGAATTGTCTCTTCACTACTGTAATGGAATTATAGACCTCCTAGCCTTTCTATAATTCCTTAAAAGAACCACTAAAGTCACCCAGACCCCTTCAACTCAATAAAGTGGTCTACATGCAGAGATCATTTAGATTTAACCCTGCAATAGAAACGGCAGTGATTACATCCCAGGGTTGAACTCACCTCTAGTGTCTTCATAACAGCCACTAGAGGCACTTCCCCTTTGAGAACCAAGTCAAACTGTACCCCATCAAATGCTGCTCCTAGATTGATGTATCAATCTATCTCAGCCAGGGAAGTTGCAATGAGGCCAGAACACTAAGTAAATTAAAGTTGTAATAAAATTCTGGTTAAAGTGAGTGGATGCTAAATTTGGCACTCTTAAATAACTCATTGGAATTGCAGGTCAAATTTCTGCAGTTTAGTCTCTGAACTGCTTTTTGTGAAATGTATGTGCACACTATTTTCTACAAGTGACTATAGCCTATATGGTGAGAGGAGAGTGGTGGAGTTGGGAAAAGCAGGGGATAACCCCCTAAATAGCTCCTAAATATAGTAAAAAAAATAAAAAAAGGTTAAAATTAAAAAAAAAAAAATATTGCCTGGGCAAATCCTTATCTCAGTAGCAATAAGTGATAGCTAATTCATTAAAAACCTAAGTTAATATTGTTGCATAGAGGGAAAAAAAGAAAATCATGAAAAGTAGATTTTAAGAACAGGATACTCCGTCCTATAACGTCTAATAGTATATTACTAATCAAAACAGTGATGTCTACTGTGTGACAGGATAGCAGTGGGTTAAATGAGGGTGGTATATAAACAGCTGTATTCGTTATGAAAGAAGATCTCAATGGTGTAAATATTAGCAGCGCAGGCTAATTTATTGTATTGTTAACTATTTTAATCCAAACATGTCATTGCTTGAGGCTTAACTACAGCAGAAATTGTGGTTATTAAACCGTTTTAAAAAAAATCTTATCTGGGGTCCACCAGGAGTTGCTACCTGCCTCCACTACAGCAAAGCTGAGAGCGCAGAGCTAAGCCTGTCAGTACAGTGCTTTGCTTTAACCCCTTAAGGACCAAACTTCTGGAATAAAAGGGAATCATGACATGTCACATGTAATGTGTCCTTAAGGGGTTAAGAGAGCCAACAAGCTCTTACATAGGAGATTCCACATCTGGTAGAGGAGAGCTGAACAGTACCCTATCTACACTTAGCAGGAGCCAGGTAATGTTCCTCTAAAGTTTAAACGGTTTGAGACACTTAATTGGGACCGTGTTTGCATGGTATTATAGTTCAGTTTTTGGCTAGTGGCATCTACCACTACAGGACACATTCATGCTAGGAAAATCATGCTTTAAGAACTACTAAAAGCCCATTATACTCACTCATCTGTGGAACCAGCCAGTGGCTTCTTGGAACGTTTAATGGCATATAGACATCCATCTAGACGCTTCACACACTTGTACACAGATCCAAACTCTCCAGCCCCAATTTTCTCTATCTCCAGGAACTCAGTCTTGTATCGAGAGACCATGTTGGTCTCTCGCAGTACAAACCTCTGCTTCGAAAGGGGGGCAAAATTTTAGTGATCACAGTGATAAGTTACCAAATAAAGTTAACCCAACACATTTTCCAATCTGAGATACAGTTGTGTTCTTTTTGACATCCAATTTGTAGTCAGTGACCCATCTAACAATTTTTATTTAGCATTTCACAGCAGTAGCATAGTACATGTTAAACAGCTAAATATTACCATTGGAGTTTGACATGTACCAGAACACTTCCCTAAATAAAACAATGTCAAACAAATTACTTCTTTGGAGTGTGATTGAATTTGTGACCAGAGGTGGGGCTGGTCAAGTACATTACGTGATTGACTTCAATCATTAAATCATGAAAGCATGATTTTTAACTAAACACCCTTACCATATTCTAAAAGGCATATTACTGTAGTGAGTACACACAATTTATGGCTACTAAAAAGGCATTACAGAGTGACTGACTGGGACCCAACTAGGCATATCTGGCTTCCAGATTAAACAAGTTTAAAATAATTTCAGAACATTTAGCACATTTAAGTGAAGATAAATTCAGGTAGTGAAGTTAATCTGAAACTTTATCATCAGCAAACCGTTGAAGTCAGTCACAGTTACACAAGCATCTTAACAGAAGAGTATTTAATTTACTGGGAATTTATAAAGTACTGGCGATATTCTAGAAGTAGAGACAAAGGAACATTTCTTTTGGTTTCCATAAGTGCTGCTGCATTACTGGAAATTTGCACTCCATTTTCCTTTAGAAACATCCAAATAGCCATGCAATATCTGTATACCTTGTCAGTGCATAGTTGACAGTGTTAAAGGGACACTCCATGCACCAAAACAACTTCATCTAAGTTACGTTTTTATGGTGCCAGGATGCCCCTGGAGACTTACCTCAAGCCAGTCAAACAATTTAACCTGGTCAAGAACAGTTTAACCAATTGAGACAAGAGCCTCCAGGGGCCTCCTGGCTCTATAGCTTCATTTAGATGAAGCTGTTCTGGTGCCCTTAAGTATTCCTTGTGAAATGTTTATTCAGTTTTTTTTGCCCAGTTGCTGCAATTTTAAGGAATTTATGAATTCAAGCAGAAAAACCAGGTCCTTGAATGACAGAACTATATAGTCTTTGATGTGTCAGCTGGGGTTTCACACAAGTGCCCAGGCCCCAGAAATTTGGGGAGGAAGGCATTTGGGATCACAAGTTACCCTCTGCATTTGTGAGTTGGTACCCCATCATCTCCTGTTCCTGTATGCCAGCTAATTTTTGCTGGTAAATTTAAAAAGTGATACTGTAAACATAACCACTGTTATCGTATAGTGCCAGAAGTCCCCTGGTGCTATCCCATAGTAAGCTGTCAGACTGTTCTGCATCAATATATATTGAAGCAGAAGTGAAGTTCATACTTCAGCATTACTCTACAGACTTTAGGCATTGTCAGTGAGCTGTCAACTAACCCTTTCAGCCAATCAATAATGTTCAAAGTTGAAATGTTAAGCTGTAAAGCTATACACTTTCCCTTTAGCATATCAGTACACAACGGACTGACCGTTGGCCCCAGAAAAGCCAAGTGTCACTGTTCATAAGCAGCCTGGAATCTTACTCTGGGATGGTGCCAATGGCCCCTGTAACACCAACACTAAAGGAGGCCATAATGGTTGTGCTCAGAGTACCACATGATGTGTTTGTTTTACTAGTAATCATAATTGCTACTTATTATGAAGTGCCATCTAGTTACTATACCTTAGACTGAAGTCCAGGATGTTCCCTCTCCCCATATTTTGCAGGTTCAGATCTAAATGACCGTAATAAAGAAAATTAAATGAAAACCATGTTGCATTGCCATCTGTTTGAAAGTTTCTTTAAATACTTGTGAATATTTCCACAAAGCAATTTATAGCTAGACAGCAGGTGTACAGCCACATAGAACACAGAAGTTATTACTGAATGCACACATAGTGAGATTTGAAGTAAGGTCCTAGTTTATAACCGGCAAGGTTTCTTCCTCCCATGTCTGGTATCTGCTCAGCAGGTCTCATCTCCAAGACTCCAGTATAGTTTGATCAGCCTTTACAAATATTTACATCTACACTACATGTAGCTGGGCAAGTCTCAGGAAGTCAAAAATGAAAGCCAAACCTAGAACAGTCTGATCACCAGTGGATCTATGTAAAGAATCAGATTTCATTTGGATCACAGAAGGTACCAACTTTATGGACACCCAAATATCTGAATTCACTTTTGGTATGGTGGGCGTTTCACTTGGAAATTAATCCTCATCCTCTGTTTATGGTGCTTCTAGCATTTAATATTAAGTGGAGTTTCAGTACTTATTTGAAGGTTAAGTTTCTCTGTACTATATGTATACCAGGTCAGAAGAAGAGTCCATGACCTCTACAGTGCTGTATTACAAGTGGATCTTGATTCAATTAAATAGAATGTAAAAAGTTTAAAATAAGTTACCAGCCAGATTCCTCCACACCAGGCCAAGAGCGAGTATTACTTGCCCATGAGTATTTTGGAAAGAAAATACATATTTCTAAAAGAACAATCAGTTTTGCTGACCATTCGAGAAATTAGTCAAGTGGTCAAGAAGGAGGAAAGAATAAAATCCTCCACACATGGAAGTTCCAGTTAGATTGCATAGTCGTTCATTATGGATGCATGGGTTATGAAAGTGGATTGTAAATGTTTTTTTTTATTGAAGATAACTCCTACTTGGTAAATTGTCAAGTTTAATGATTACTTAAGCACTGGAGCGATTCAAAAATATATTCCAATCAAATGAGATTAATATTTGTTATGTGTACTATTATGGTTTATGTTTTGTAATCAATACAATAAAAATGTTAAAAAAAAAAATAGATTATACATATTTCCAGAGCAGTTAAATGTTAATTTCTTTGACCTGTTTTAAACTGATAGCCAAATGATGATTTAGCACGGGCATGTGCAGCATGTAGTTCTCCTCTTGGAGGGGAGACTGTCTACCTCATTGTAGATGTACAAACAAGCACGGACAAAATGTTAACACCCACATCACCCTAGTGTGCTGATGCTATAGCCCAGGGGTAGGCAACCTTTTAGCAGCACTGTGCCGATATAGGATTGTGATGTCCCGTAGCGTGCCGGTCCTATTTTTTAAAATTGAAGTGTGTTTGCTGCCGTATTCTGCTTGTGTTATTTTACTGTAATTGCTTTGTATCGTATTTGTGCGTATTTGAGCTATTATATTGTATATGTTCAAGAGTAGTTTATGGTATTGTGTATGATACATATGAATGTGGGCTGTGTATGGGGCTGCTTGCAGAATTGTGTGTGGATGGATAGGTCACATTGTGTGTTTTATAGTGTCTGGGGGCTGTTTGGGGTTTTGCACGTGAGAGGCTGCATGTGTGGTTGTGTGCATGTATGTGGATTGTTACTGGTGTTGCGTTTGTGTGAATTGTGTGTATGTTTGTGTGTGGGCTGTCCGTATTATTTGTATGAGGGGAGGGTTATTCTGCATTTCTGTGTATATCTAGCAGTGCAGGTGGCTTCCCTGGGTTCCAGTGGGGACCAGGCCGGCCAGATACAGGTTAAGGACAGGAGCTGCAACAGCAACTGCGAGCTGCTCTACTACTGTGTGGATTCCCATTCACAAGTGCTGGAACTAAGTGCTTTGAGATCACTTCCTCTACGTGCTGCAATGCATAAATTGAGGATTGTCCTTCACCACCTCTTCGTATTAGCAGATATCTGAAGTTTTACTGGGACTCCTGATAGGCCAGAGCCTGTTTGGCTCTAGCAGCCTTGAGTGCCGTGCAAAGGCACCTCGAGTGCGGTGCATGGCACTAGTGTCGTAGGTTGCCTACCCCTGCTATAGCCCAATTCAGACATGAGAAAGTGCACTTTGCAATAATGCGTGAACTAACCCTTTTAATCAGACTTTGAAGTGGACATACAATGTGCAATTTAGAGTTTACAAGTGTGCCAGAGGGATCTGCAACAAAGACAAACTGAGATTCCATACTAGAATGGACTTCAACTTTTTATCATATGGATACTGTATTTAAATGACAATATTTGCCTGCATAGTTAAGTTCCAAACAGGTATAATAGGGTATACAGATTTAACTCTCCCAGACCAGGTAGAGGCTCCACCAGTCAGGAACCTCTCATTCTGGTCAGCGAGTTAGTTTTTGCTTGCATCCCTGTGCCTCCCCCTTGCTGCAAGGTTACCTGCATGAGTCTTCTCTATCCTTCCTTTTGCCATTTGGCAGAAACTGCATTTGGCGGTATGTGTCAGGGGTGAAGGGGTTAATATTAACCAGAGCAGGGTCATCAAAGTCAGCACCAGTCCCAGCTGCAAAGCGCAAGAGCCTCTGACCTCTACAGGGTACTCTGGTCCCAGGCGAAGGGAAGGTTTTGTACAAGAGACTCTACAAAGGAGAAAATGCAGTTTGTATCATCTAGGCTTACATAGCGCAGTGTCCAGTGCAGGAGACTGAATACGATAATTCAAACCACATGATACCCAGCCTGGATACCCCCAGGTAATGACAATTGTAACATTATCTGACTACAGGCCAACAAATTCACATCTACAATTTACATTCATACAGGTTCTTTCTTGCATTTAAACAGAAGTTACATAAAGTCCATCCAGTGTTGCATAACTTACTTTCCATATATCATGGTCAAACACTGAATACTTTACCCCTTCCCCAATTCTCTTCTAATTTGAAATAGCTGTTCTATTCTGTAGAAGAGAATGCAGCAGCAATGTTTAAAGGAATGCTATAGGGTCAGGAACACCAACATGTATTTCTGACCCTATATAGTCAGAAAACACCATTTAAGTGGCCGCCTTCTTAGGAACCGTTAAAATGTACCTTATTTCTAACTTTCCACAGGTCTGCAGACACTGGCCCGACCTCCAATCCGCTTCTTTGGTCGACATTATTTATCTCAGCTAATCAATGCTTTCCCACAGGAAAAGCATTCGATTTACCAAGATAGTCGAGGTGGGTTGGAGACTGGGCCAAACACAGCCCTGGCCAATAAGCATCCCCTCAGATGCATTGAATCAATGCATCTCTATGAAGAAAGTGGAGCGATGCTGAACATCAGTGCTGCCCACTATGCAGCACTGCCCCAGGAAGAGCCTCTAGTAGCCATCTGAGGAGGGGCCGCTGGAGGTGTCCCTGGGCTATGAAAAGACAGTGTTTACTGCAAAAAGCCTGAAAAGAATAATTATACTCACCAGAATACAATAAGCTGTAGATCTGGTGACTATAGTGTCACTTTAACAGACCAGTTCCATTTCATGGTTGAAGGCTACACAGCACAAATACACTGGTGTCCTATAGCCAATATATACACCTCAAATGCTACTTTTATGCATTATTCCTTACTTTTGGAGTGTATGGAGTGTCACACAGTTTCAGTTTTTTCATTGCATTGTAGTGCAATGGGCTCCCTGGGCATTCTTCCTGTGTTGGGGAGTAATCACTATAAGGACTGAGCTCGAGGGTATCTTCCAAGGCTGGTGAGTGTCCTCTTTCATTCCGCTGTGGTGTAATGGGGTAAGTGTTATTGCTAGTCCTCCATGTCTGTTGGCTGTTACATTTTTGAGGACTTTGGAAGTCTTCAGCATTATCATCATCAACACATGAGAAGTCTAGTCGCTGAACGAGCCCAGATCCACAGGCTGTGGCAAACATCATGCCTGCAATAATACAATACTTCATTGTTGAGTCATGTGATCACAGGGCTACAAGAGTTGTAAAGCAAGCAAGAGATTTAAGTCGTCAATGTTTTAATGTCAGAATTGGATTGGCAACTTTAAAACATACAATATATAGATATTATGGTGCCAGGAGTGTCCTCCCAGAGTAATCTGTTTACAACTTACCTGAACCTCCTTGGTGCCAGTGCCAATTCTGGTCTACCTTGGCAGAAGTAGTCAAGATGTTTTCATTAAGCTAAGCAGGGCTGATCCAGGCAATGATTGCAGCTCTGCACAGCGCAGTTGTGCCGTCAGGAAAGTTAAAAAAAACTCATGCAAAAACAGAATATGGGAATGGGCAAGAACGCTGTAAATCCCCGTGTGGGTGTCAATATTTTGCTTACTTGTGCCATTACTGCGAGAACCTATACCGTTTACATATCAAAACAGATCTGAAATGCCAGCAAGCTCCATAAGCATGAGAAACCGCAATATGGGCTGATAGTTTTGGGCCTCATCTGCCAAGTGTAGTCAATACCCTTCTAGGCACAGTACCCAAGTGGACCATGTCTAGATCACCATTGTAACTTAGGAGAGTACTCCTGCCACTATAAACACTAGAAATGTCTAGTTATTATGGTGCTTGGTGTATTCCTTTATGAGACCATAAATTGAACAGAAATCACCCCTTAAAGAGAATAGGCTATGTCATCCCTTTATTTTCTTAAGAGGACACAATAGGCAGCTAGACCTCTTCAGTTTATTGAAGTGGCCTGGGTGCAGTGTCCCAAGCCACTTAATCCAGCAAATTTAATTATTGCAGTTTGATAGTTACAGGCAGACAGCCACTAGAGGGACTTCCAGGTGGTTAGGGACTGCCAAGTGGTCACCTAACAGACGCTGGACTTAAAGGACCACTCTAGGCACCCAGACCACTTCAGCTTAATGAAGTGGTCTGGGTGCCAGGTCCAGCTAGGATTAACTTTTTTTATAAACATAGCAGTTTCAGAGAAACTGCTATGTTTATAAATGGGTTAATCCTTCCTCCAATTCCTCTAGCGGCTGTCTCATTGACAGCCGCTAGAGGCGCTTGCGTGATTTTCACTGAAAATCAGTGAGAGCATGCAAGTGTCCATAGGAAAGCATTGTAAATGCTTTCCTATGCGACCGGATGAATGCGCACGCAGCTCTTGCCGCGCGTGCGCATTCAGCCGAATGAGAGGAATGGAGGAGGATCGGAGGAGGAGAGCTCCCCGCCCAGCGCTGGAAAAGGGTAAGTTTTTACCCCTTTCCTCTCCCCAGAGCCGGGCGGGAGGGGTGGGGGCACCCTCAGGGCACTATAGTGGTCCTTTAATCACAATATGCATGAGGACATCCAGGGTGGGGGAGGGGAGCACAATGGGTCACTCCCCCAACATTGGCGGAGAAGCAGACAGAACCTGACCCAGCACCAAGGGACATCGGCGCCTTGATCTGGTAAGTGATAAAGGGATTTAACCCCTTCAGCACCACAGTGGAGGGGCGTGCTATAGGTTTCCCTTTAAAAGGACACTCCATTGCCCACCTAAAAATAAAAATATTGTTTAGTAGACATACCCCTAATGGCAACATGCATTTAATTACACATCTTTTATATGGAGATGTATCTAAAAACTGCTAGCAAATGTTGCAGATCTTTTATATGCGGCATTTGCAAGCCCTACCCCTCTTCCGCAGACCATCTTTAAGCGGTCTATTCTCAAGTTTTCCAATGCTACTCAATAAGACGTCTTTGCAAGGCAGGTGCTCTGAGCAATCGCTGCCTCTTAACCCTTCCTCCATCACTTTAGTGGAAAGGGACATTTGTAGCCCAGCACAGCATGGGTTAAAGCTCTTGAAACCCTTTTGTTCGTGGTTGGTAAGCTCTGGTCATAATATGCCAGAAAACATTATCTGGGGCCCAGCATTATCTGGTCTTCTTTCATAATCTCTCTGCAGACAACCAACCTGTTTTGCTTGAAATCAATAGAAATATGTCACCTAGTCACCAAGAACATCAAGCAGCTAAACCAGTAACTTTGCAGACAGATATCTATAGTTCTACAGTGATCTGAACACAGTTGTGTTTCTAGAAGAGGTCGTGATCTTTCTCCAATCTGCATAGCTGCCCTAAAGTAAAAGTAAAACTGCAAAGCAATACGGGTAATTCAAATGTTTGGTCAAAAACAAAAAAAAGTCATACATTTTCAACGTTGCAGTGTCAATAACTCTTAGAGATGCAGTAATGTCACTTTCCATAAACGTAGTGGTAGGAGTCATGACAGTTGTTAATAGCAAGCGTTACAATGAGGATTCTAGTTGGAGAAGTTGGTTGGTTTAATGTTAAAGCACCAGTGACTACAAGACATTGTAGTTGTTCTGGTGCTTAGAGACCATCCCTGCAGTATTAGGGATGCAGATACTGACATTTGAGAAAAGGCAGTGTTCACATTCTTTTTAAGACCACCTCTAGTGGCTGTCACTGAGATCGCAGCTACAGTGCTGCAATCTTTGTGCTGCTCTCCACAATGCTACGCTATGAGACACATATAATTGGGCAGAGGGCTTAGTAATGATCTCCCCACATGCACACCGGGCGCCAGTCCTGTGTGGGAAATGTAATTTAAATAGCTTTTTTTATATTTCTAACAAGGTGGGCTTGTTTATAATGTAGATCAATTTGGTAATATGTCAAACGTTTTATAAAATATTTTTTAATGTTATAGTAATCACAGAAACAACTATAGCCTTGGTACAGCATTGTAGTGACAGTTTATATTACAAACCGCACAATAATTTGGTTGTCTTTTATGCATTACTAATGAAAACCCAATATTTAAATTTAAACCTCTTTAACCCCTCAAGGACCAAACTTCTGGAATAAAAAGGAATCATGACATGTCACACATCATGTGTCCTTTAGGGGTTAAAGAGGAACATTCTCTACAGCAGGAGACCGTGTACATGGGAATGATGAGGTTTAACAAGCTTCAAGCAAGGTGAGGGGGAGATTATATATAGAGGAATTTTGACTTCTAGAAGTTAAACAAATTGAATTATCCAGCTCATTGCTTAATGTTTAAAATGTTGCTCAACACATTTAGTTTAGGCACCATAACAACTTCATCTAAAATAACCAGGTGCACTTTTACCTTAAGGTGTTAAACCGTTCTCAAATGGTTAAACCCCAAAGTGAGCCTAGCCTCCAGCATGGATCTCAACACCCCATGGCGGATTCCGGTTTTTGAAATCTCAGAGTGCTGCCAAGCAGGGGCACCACTGATTGGTTGAGAGCAGTCAGCAGCACCCCTGTCTGGTGGTTTTGGGTTAAGCCATTTGAGAACAGAAGTAGTAGTGCCCATGGGGGCCTCCTGGCACCATAACTTCATTTAGATTAGGTGGTTATGGTGCTCAGTGTCCCTTAAACACCTTTATGGCCAGAAATGCTGGTTTCACTGCCCAGTACCACCATTATTGATTAGTAACTTGTTACAAGCATTGTTTCCCTCAAGCATTCCAAGCCTAGAACACCATGTTCGAGGACAATACAGTTTTAATTGTGAGAATACATGAGTTAAGTTTATAATTTCACAGGCCCCTCAAAGGATAAATTACTTGTAGTTTTTAGAATATATGCCTCATAATACAACTGCTCACTTTGGGCTAATAGGGACACTAGCAAACATTGCTGCAGCTCCAACGGATATATATTCATAACATCATAAAGAGAACCTTCTCACCAAACCAATACAGCATCCTGTACCTGATAATTAGCAGCAACGCCCATACTTAGGAAGTAAAAGAAAGCCCAGCTTTTTAACAGAGCTCTTATTTATCCTGTAGTATCCGGACAATTGTACTGGAGCACCTGAACAATCATGCTCCCCCACCCTTAACCGTTTCACTGCTCACAACAAGCTAATTCTCGGCCGTCCTGTGTTAATATCAGTAGGGTTATCATATACACCAAGGGGTTAATTCACTTACCCTCAGCATAGGGTTATTCACTAAACTTCTCATCATAGTAAATTGAAATGCAAAATGTAAACAGCAATGGAGGATTTGGGTAAATTCACAGTCAGCTTTAGTAACAGCTTGACCATTTTAAACCATTTTTAAAAATACAGTTTTCAATTTAGAAAGTAAATATCCTTATTTCTCTGCTATAGTAACAATTTGGTTAATTTATTACTAGTTTTTTTTCATTTCTACAATTCCAGTTCAACAAATTACTTTAGGATCAACAGCATAAATAGAAGTGTTCAAAGGTTGAAATAGATAGATTTTAGTTTTAGTTTTTTTTTTTTAATTATCTGGATTTAGGGGTTTAACCACTCACTTTATGAAATGTAGCAAATTGAACTCCAGTTTGCAAAATGGCTGAAATGGTAAAATGCTCCAATGTCGTTATAGCCACAGCTATTTTTCCCAAGTCTGGAGCTGACTCCAGTAGTTGAATTTAAATTACTCAATATAGGCAGACACAAAAGCTCATACATATTTCTTTTTTCATGGAACCACAATCAATATTTAGTTTGTACTTGTAATCCCACTTGGAACTTCTTAGCAGGTGCACCCTAAATCCTACATTGCTAAAAGGTTTCTTGTAGTGATAGATGGCCACATGATATTAATACACGACTCTTACAAAATTAAAACGCCACGGTGCTCTCCCAGCCATAAGTCTGACAAAGCACCATGGGAGTTGTAATTCTGCAATGACTGGAGTATTGACATTTGGTCTTTCCTGCTCCAGTCAAGTAGGAATAGTGTTTATCCAAAATAGTGAGTGAAGATCAAGTACAGTCAAGATTTTACCAGCTCTGTGGTCCTGTTGCACCTAGCAAATGATTGGTAAGAGTCCATTGAGGTGTATGACTTTTAAAGTCAAGGAGGTGACAACCCCAGGTAGATGTATCTTCAGAGGATGGATGGTTGAGATCTCCTCTTCTGGTTCTTAGCGTTATCCCTATCAACATCATCTTATTTTTAATTCTTTGCAAATTAAACATAAATATCAAAACTGAAGCAAACATAGCTGATGTGGGATAATTCTCTAATTCAACTATATTAAGAACATTTATTTCCATGAAGTAGTCTGTGTGCAGTGGCCCTGTTTTAATCCTGCAATGTAAACATTGTCATTTTGAAGATACAGCAATGTTTAGATTGCAGGGATAGCTATAACTGTAGTGGCTGTCTTCCTGATCACCACTAGATGGTGCTTCCACTTCAACATATGAGTCAGACTCAGTTCTGTGATGTTTGAAATCCTCATGTTGAATGTCCTCAAATGATTATCATTTGTTTGTAATAATTTCATTTGGGGTGGTCTGAATGAAAAAGGCAGTATACTAATAATGATAAAGTTCCAATCTTGGAGCTATAACCTCAGAAAATAACCACACGTATATTATCGTTCCTCATAGTAAGAACATAATGACTAAAACCATTTGTTTGTAGTCTTTATTATTCAAAATTAACGCCACATAAGATAAATAACTTAAACAATAGTGAGAAAACAATAAGTGAAAAAATGTGACAAATAAAAATAAAGGAAACCAGATAGCCAGACCAGTAATCTTTACTATACAAAACTTTCAGTGTGTCTTAGATCATATCCACTGGTATGAATCTGTTTGTATAAACAGCTTTATAGAGTACATTTCTATAGTATCCTTAGAAACAAATCAGTCCTTCCTGAATTTATCCTCCTTCTTAAATTTATCTGAAACAGTGTATTTACTGAATATATCAGAATGGAACTGCAACTATGTGACACCCTCTCACTTGAGGGCACCTCCTATACAGATTTATTAGATAGTCTACTCATCCAAGAGCTAAATTAATGAATTAGGGCTTAAAGGGACATTATATGAACCCAGACCACTTCAGCTTATTGAAGTGGTCTGGGTGCATTGTCCCATGTCCCTTAACCCTACAGTGGTAACTATTGCAGTTTCTGGGAAACTGCAATAATTACTTCTCAGGGTTAACTCCACCTCTAGTGGCTGTCTACCAGACACTAGAGGGACTTCCGGGTGCTAAGACGACTTTTGGTTGCCTAATTGACGCTGGACGGAATCCCTATAGGAAAGCATTGATTAATTCTTTCCTATGGGGAAATCCTAATGCGAGCGCAGCCATTAATCCTAATGCGAGCTCGGAGTAGGAATGTGGGAAAAGCCTGACCAATACATGTTGTAGTCCTAGTCTTCATTTAATTGAATGGGGACAAAGGAGACAGAATACTGTAGTGGTTATGGTACCTTTACAAAAGTCTACAGTAATAATTATGTGAGAGAAATGGAAAATGGTCACTTAAAAAAAAAAATATTGGTTCCAAAAGGTGTGAGTGATGTTGATCTAGGGTTATTTCAGGCCATGTTGACAGATAGCTGTACCCAATACCTATAATTTATTATTGATAGCGTTCAATTTTTCAGCTCCACAGGAAATAGAAGCCACCGTGAGCTGTTTTACTTGGTTTGCACGTTACTGTCCACAATTCCTTTATTACTGAGATATGTGCCGCCTTTCTTTATTTACAACATATCATGGGATACCTGATACATACAAATGAAGATAAACTAATTACAATGTTATATATTGCCAGTCACCACCTTTAATAATTATTACCTTAAAAGTATTTTCACTACTGAAAGAGGCTTATTTATTAAACAGTGATTTGTGTTACATTAAATACTGATTTGCAAAAATGTAAAATGTAGATCAGTGTAGCTAACTTGCCCCTCAGTGCGTATAGCCTATCACTGCTGGCCCTATCAAACAGATTTGGATGGATAATGTGAAAGTGGAACTTTGCCTTATCACAATGGCAGAAACATCACAATTCATGCCATATTGCTTGCAGAAGGCTGATCAGAAGCGTTTAAGCAGATAAGGATTTATCTTCTGAGCCTAAGTCGGATGGAATTGAGAATGATGATGAGAAAGTATAATTATTGGATTGCGAAAACTGTATGTTCTGGAGTGTTCCATTACAGCCACGTGCAATTCTGTGGTGAATTCACGTCATTTCTGGACCTTCTCTGTCTTTCTTCTTTTTTTATTTTGTAAAATCATTTTTTTTTCTCAGTACTATACACATTTGGTATATAAAAATACACAAGTGAGGGCACTCACTTGTGTATTTTTATATTCTTCTTGTTTTTTACATTTGTTGGATTGGGGAGTGATCCCTTTATAGAGTGACCTGCCTGCACTGTTTGTTGCATTTTATCCCACCTACCGTTCCCTTACTGCTATAGACATTTGGGCCTTGATTTTAATTAACCTGTCAATAATTATCATTGGTTCCTGCCATGTCACCATGTCCCTCCATCAGTGGCGGAACTAAAGTAGAGAGGGCCCTGGTGAAAGAATTATTTTGGGCCCCCCATCACAAGGATGGAAAAAAGGTAGATGCCTGCCTGTCACACAACTCCCACAATGCTTTGCCAACTGGGGATCTAGCATTTGCTCATCCTTGCAGTGTTGTACATAGAACTGAGCAGTGTTTGCATGTTTGAATATAAGCGTATTTATGTATGCAGTATGTGTGTGTGAATGTAGGGGCGTATTTGTGTGTAGTGTTGTATGTTTTTATGTAATGTTGCCATTTGAAAGCATTGGTTTACGTGTGTGTAATCTATGTAATGTTGACATTTGAATGCAGGGATGTATTTATGTGTTGGAGTTTGAATGCTGAGATGTATACACATATACACTGCCACACACACACTGTTACACGTACACAAACACATATACAGACACACAGACTGTGATGGACCCTCTGGTCACCTAAGCCGAGTACAACTCTCCCCAAAGACACACCTCTTACACTGAGACAGCGCTACATCTTGCAGGAGAGCTTAATCATTCTGGAGCTATATATACTGGGAAGGAACAACCGAGGTGTGAGTAACCCATGTACTTATGGGTATACCGCCACACACTGACACATCTGAATACACAGATACACACAAGCACAGAAACACTTACAGATACACAGACACACAGATGCACACAATAACACACATGAAGATACACAGGTATGGACATGCAGATGCACAGACACACCCTGACCCACACACATATACAGACACACAGACACACGTACAAATATACTGCCACTCACATATTGATACACACACACATATACAGACACACACTTACACATCGGGTGACACAGATACACACACACAGACACTGGCAGATACACAGACACACAGATACACACACTGACACACAAAAAGATATACAGGTACGGACATGCAGATACACAGACACACATACAAATACACTGCCACACACATACTGGTACACACACACACACACACACACACTCACTCACAGACAAACACTAACACACATACAAATACACATACACACATGCAGATAACGATCTCTTACCTCTTGTATTTGTTTGTGTATATTGTACGTTTCTCAACTAATTGTACAGCGCTGCGGAATCTGTGTGCGCTTTATAAATTGCAATAATAATAATAATAATAAACAGGCACACTAAAACACATACAAATGCACAGACACTGACACACATACAGATACAGAAACACACACAAGCAGATGCACAGACACACAGAAACAAACACTGACACACATGCAGATGCACAAACACACACATACTTGGGGCACACATTGACACACAGATACACAGACACACATAACATACACACACAGTTAAGACATACACACACAGTTAACACACACACACACACACACACAGAGAAAACACATGCACACACACATACCACAGCAGATAACACACATATACAGATAACACATACACAGACTTATACCCTCAAAGATAACATTGCATATTTTTAGACACCCCCTGCTTCCATACCTTTTTGGTGCAAGAGGGTGGCTATCTGGAGTCCAATGGTGCCTGGTTGAGTGTGATGGGAGTCTGGGCAGGCTTTCCCTCCTCTGGTCCTGGCTCTCGGACTCCTTCCTCTCTCTCCTTCTCCCACATGGCTTGTTGGTACACTGTGAAGAAGTGACTTGTACTCACTTCCTCCCAGCACCATTGTTCTGTTAAAGGGCCGCAGCACCTGACCAGGCCTCTGGTCAAATATGTCCATTGAGTGGCCTTAAGTGTATGTGCCACCCGAAGAGCCTCCTGAGCTTGTGGGCACTGGTACAGGCGTACAGGCGCCACTGCCCCCCATTTATTATTTAATTAAATAATCTTTTTCATCAAAGAAGAGATCTGACTATTCTGGGGTTGAGAAAATATTTTTTCCTAATTTGTTTTAAAATTGTAAAGAGCTTAAAACTGAGATTTTTTGTCTTCTTTTGGATCAACAGCAAAATCAGATGTGAGAAAGGCTGAACTTGATGGACACAATTCTTTTTTTTAGCCTACGTAACTATGTACGTATTAATAGCTCTCATCTTGCCTATAAGTGGGAGCTGGAGTGGACACTGTGCCCTCCCATTTATTATTTAATTGATAGCCTTAACAACCTCCACCTACGAGTGGGGAGGTTTCCCTCTGTTTATTATTTAATAGAGCCTCCACTTGCCACCTATGGGTGTTGTTTGGGGGACGGAACTAAGTCCCCCGTGTAATTTATAATTTGCCACCACCAGCTGCTTATGGGTGAGGCAAGGAGGTAGACAATAACCAGTCCACTCTCCATCATTTAATTTTAAGCCCCCACCAGATGCCTACATATCCTGCTCCCCCTTTTATTTTGCAATAAATGGGGCAATAATTGTTGTTTTTCACTACAGTGAGCAGCTGCTGGCTGTTCCTAGTTTTGTAGACATGCCCTGACCTGCGGCATGGTGGGTGAAGCCATAAGGCAGGTTTAAAACTTCTCTTATAATAATGTGAAGGTGATATTGAGCCTGATATGCTTTTTATTTTTTAAATTATTTGCCTACTAGTTGCTAGTGCTGTCAGTAGGTAAATAGTAAAAAAAAAAAAAAAAAAGCATTTATCAACTACTTTTAGCTGTAGGTCATTGATTCACATGTTCCCTAATGACCTCAGAAACTTGAAGTGGCAGGAAAAGATTCCGCAGAGACTCTAAGACAAATCATATTCATCCAAAAGGCATTCCGCCAATGGCCAAAGGCTTCCTCAATCGATGATACAGCCGACTGAGGAAGCTGTTGGTGAAACGAGTTTCGGATGAGGAGGATTATGCACTGTAATTGTTTTTAATGTTTTAGCTTGATAATGTAATTATTTAATAAAGAGTTTATGCATACTCATCTTTTGCAGCCACTTCAAGTTCTTGAGGTAATACAAGGGGGTTGGTGTCACCCATATTAAACACCTGAGATGTTTTATATCAGGATCCAGGTTCTTCTAAGCTCACAAGGTGAGCATATTTTTTGTAAAGTAGTGTTCGTTTAATGATATATTGCTTTCTAATTGACCTTTTTTTTAAATTCTTTATTTTTGTTGTGCATTACAAGTAACACAGAGAAGCATTGACGTTGTATAGATAAGCATTAGTGAGTGTAGATATGAGGGCGCAATACATGCCTGAAACTCTGCACAAATTTTGGTATTACAGTAATGTGTCACTTAGACAGTAGTTTAACATAGAACAGACAGCATGGTGATAATTGGCAAGTAGAGTGGATCAAAAGTAAAATGAACATATACAAGATAAAGCATAAACTACGAGTAGGTAAGTGATAATGGTGACAATGTTCCCAGTAAAGAAAAATGTGGGTACAAAACACCAGATAACAAGGCTGACAGATCATTCTCATATACCTACTCGCAGTCTTGGCCAATAAGCACCTGCTCATAGAGATGCATTGAATTAAAGGACCACTATAGTGCCAGGAAAACATACTCGTTTTCCTGGCACTATAGTGCCCTGAGGGTGCCCCCACCCTCAGGGACCCCCTCCCGCCCGGCTCTGGAAGGGGAAAGGGGTAAAAACTTACCTTTTTCCAGCGCTGGGCGGAGAGCTCTCCTCCTCCTCTCCGCCTCCGTTACGCCCCGCCGGCTGAATGCGCACGCGCGGCAAGAGCTGCGCGCGCATTCAGCCGGTCTCATAGGAAAGCATTTACAATGCTTTCCTATGGACGCTGGCGTGCTCTCACTGTGAAAATCACAGTGAGAAGCACGCAAGCGCCTCTAGTGGCTGTCAATGAAACAGCCACTAGAGGATTAGGGGGAAGGCTTAACCCATTCATAATTATAGCAGTTTCTCTGAAACTGCTATAATTATGAAAAAATGGGTTAAGCCTAGAAGGACCTGGCACCCAGACCACTTCATTAAGCTGAAGTGGTCTGGGTGCCTAGAGTGGTCCTTTAATACATCTCTATGAGAAAATATCAGCGTCTCTACGCAGAGCATGGAATGGCCATGGAAGGTGTCCCTAGGGGTCAATGTAAACACTGCCATTTCTTTGAAAAGGCAGTGTTTACATGAAAATGCCTGCTGGGAATGATTATACTCACCAGAACAACTACATTAAGCTGTAGTTGTTCTGGTGACTAAGTGTCACTATAGGGACTATAGTCACCAGAACAACGAAAGCGTTTTGTAGTTGTTCTAGTGAGTATAATCATTATATGAGCAGGCAGTGTTTACATTACCCCTAGGGATACCTCCAAGTGGCTTTTCCTCAGATGGCCAGTGGAGGTGCTTCCTGGCTCAGTGCTACACAGTAGGCAGCACTGCCATTCAGCGTCTCGCTCTGCTCTATGGGCGCTTGCGTGCTCTCACTGTGAAAATCACAGTGAGAAGCACGCAAGCGCCTCTAGTGGCTGTCAATGAGACAGCCACTAGAGGATTAGGGGGAAGGCTTAACCCATTCATAATTATAGCAGTTTCTCTGAAACTGCTATAATTATGAAAAAATGGGTTAAGCCTAGAAGGACCTGGCACCCAGACCACTTCATTAAGCTGAAGTGGTCTGGGTGCCTAGAGTGGTCCTTTAATACATCTCTATGAGAAAATATCAGCGTCTCTACGCAGAGCATGGAATGGCCATGGAAGGTGTCCCTAGGGGTCAATGTAAACACTGCCATTTCTTTGAAAAGGCAGTGTTTACATGAAAATGCCTGCTGGGAATGATTATACTCACCAGAACAACTACATTAAGCTGTAGTTGTTCTGGTGACTATAGTGTCACTATAGGGACTATAGTCACCAGAACAACGAAAGCGTTTTGTAGTTGTTCTAGTGAGTATAATCATTATATGCAGGCAGAGAAAAGGCAGTGTTTACATTACCCCTAGGGATACCTCCAAGTGGCTTTTCCTCAGATGGCCAGTGGAGGTGCTTCCTGGCTCAGTGCTACACAGTAGGCAGCACTGCCATTCAGCGTCTCCACGCTCTGCATGGGGACGCTGAATTTTCCTCTTAGAGATGCACTGATTCAATGAAGAGGTGCTGATTGGCCAAAACGGTGTTTGGCCCAGCCCCCTTGATGATTTTAGCATTGGATTGTTTAAAAATCTGCAATTCTGATTATGTCACCAAGGGGGCGGGGCCAGTGCGGCAGACCCGCACGGTGCTGGAAATAAGGTGAATTTTTCATGCTTTTAAGGATTGTAAGGGGGGGGGGGGGGCAAGCCACCTTAATGGTGGGTTTTGCACTAAAGGGTCAGGAATACTTTGTGTTCCTGACCCTATAGTGTTACTTTAACTTAGGAAAAAGAAACCAAATATAACACAAAATATAATTATGGAAAATGATAACAAAAAACAAAAAACAGGAACAGCCCTTGAATGCGGCTGAGGCCCATCAGTTGTTCAGTGCTGTGTTTGCAAGGTAGTTGACATAACACTATCACATTAGGAACATCCCCTCTGTGAGTAGCTGTCGGTGACATTATTGCTGATGCTGCTTTCCATCCTTCTTGGATACCCAATTAGGCCAACAAAGCTCAGTAGGGTAAATCTCAGTAGGGTCTGCCATCTGCTCAGTAATGTCCCCTTTAGTGACTGTTATGCGGTAAGAATAACCCCATTTTTATGGAGCGCGATAGCAGAGCTACTGCGTGGTCCCTCATGGTGATATATATTCATTGTCTGTGGGGAGATATGCCTAAAAAAACAAACAAAGAGAGGGTTAAATTCCAAAATTAACAATAAAGTGTATTCCTAACTGCCTGCATTTGGATAATTTGTACTGGCTTGCTCAGAAAACAGATCGCAACATCCCTGGAATACCACATTGGTGCTTCCTATAGTTTGGGGACTCTTAACACCCGGTCTACGATCAACATTTATATAACAAAAAAGGAGGAATACCGCACACTTATTAGAATCGTGATGCAGTCAGACCTGGGGTTGGCTACCCCTCCTGTAGTAGTTGAACAAAATTGTGGTCTAGGCAATCAAGGATCAGTTGAACAGCAGGTTTATTGGACAAAGTGCAATGTTTTGATCCCACAAGGGCTTCAGAAAGATCCCTTGTGGGATCGAAACATTGCACTTTGTCCAAAAAACCTGCTGTTCAACTGATCCATTTAGGCTGCTTTTGGGTGAAGAAAGTGAGAACGTAGTCTCCTGACAAAATGCATTTACTCTACTGGGCCTAGGGCTTCCGTTATGCCTTTGATCCTCACATTCTCTCTCCTTCTGCTATGCTTCAAAATGGCCAATTTGGCTGATAACTTAACCTGTGTAGTATGAATTTGGCAAGTAGCTGATGCTAGTTTGGCCACCATAGTGTGCGTTCTTAATATGTCTTCATGAATAGCCAGGATTCTGCCTTCCAGGGAATTCATCAATCGTTTTACAAGTACATTTTCAGCTTGATGGAACTATTTGTCAAAAGGGGCTTCATGTCACTCTTAGTTGCAGTAGCGTCTTCATCCTTACCACTGATTGTCTAATGCAGACCCATTCTTTTAGGGATCTTGTTAATGGTACCAATAGTATATGACTCCAGTGCACGCAGATCAAGCTCACAAGGAGATCTAGTAATTCCTTATGGCAATTCATTACTGATTACATGAAGTTTTTGCCCATTGTGTTTTCTGTGAACGGCTTTTGGATTAGAGACCTAGTTGAGGGTAAAAACTGCTAATTGTAAGTACAATTGTTGAATTCTGCCCGGAGCTTAGAATTGGCGTGACCAGTTCGAACTAGTTTGATCAGTTTGTACTCATCTTACAAGAACATATTTTCTACATTTTAAAAGAATCCTGAGAACTGTTGCCTCTTAAAAAAATTCAAGAGGCAGCATTGTATGCAATATATTTACAGTACTTTTAAACATTTGTAGTACTAGATAACCAATAAGGGAATATGTTATTCTTGAACATATGTCCTGGTCTGATTGTTTATGTTTACATGGTCTTCTCTGTTGATATAGCTCTTCCACTTTCAGGAAGAAGGTTATCTTGTTGGCAAATTCATGTTTAGCCATTATACCCGAGGGTGAATTATGTGACTAAGAACTCACCTAGCTGGTATTTCAATGAATATGCCCCCAAACCATTGTACGTCATTTAATTGCAAAAAAAAAAAAATCCTTGGCATTTGCAATATCTTTTGCTTAAAGCTGGCTGCTGCTGTTACATTCAGGTTGGGTTTGCAGACATATCTCATTAACGTGCCCCTGTCAGCTTTAGGTAAGCATATCTTTAACCTATACACCTGCTGGTGATTCAGCACAATGCATAGATTACCTTCCTGAATATGAACCTGCCATGCAGACGACTTGTGAATGACAGGTTCACTTTAAGTTAATGTATACATTTAGGGGTATATTGGTAGAAAAAAAAAATCAAAGTAAAAAGCAGAACATAGTGTATGACTGTATATGTTTTTTTGTTTTTCGTTTTTTTTTAGCAAAGACACACTAATTGGCCACTATTGGCCAATATTAAGGTGAATAAGGTGAATAATTGCCTCAAGTATCTCAGGTTTATCCAGTGTTATGAATAGTTGCAATTTAATTCTTCCAACCTTGTTTCTTAATTAGGCAGAAAGAGGCTAAGCAAGTTATAAGAGCTTCCAAATCACACACAGAAGAGAAAATAGCACAGTCAGTAAAAAAAGGGGACAAAACTGTTTTTTTTAAAAAAAATCTGTTTTATTGTTTATAGAAGACGAAGGTCATAAAGATCAATACAGACAAAAACTGTGTCACGGACTCGCAGGCCCCCTTTGTTTATAAGGCATTAAGATCTGCTTCATGTGAAGTATACAATCCGAAGATCCTGGCAGGTTTGGGCCTCACAGGTATATGCATTGCTAACAGTCAGAGATCAACAAACTTAATATGGTTGAAGACATCTTTCTCCCATCTCCCCCTGTTGCCTACTTATAGGGTTTTGGACCTCTCTTAAGAACCTCACACCCTTCTAATGTGGTCCACCCCTTGAACCCACTGGATTATGTCGTCAAGCTGGCAGTATGTGGATGCGGGTTCTTGGTCAAATCGTGTGCACCAGTTTAACAGCGAATCTGTTCCGGTCACATCCGGACCGCTCGCCAACAGCACAAGCGATCCCAGACATAGGGATGAGGTTTGCATTACAGCTTATTGATCCATTGGCCGTCGCCCTCTAAGTTGCTCAGTCTCCCAGGTGTCTATGATTGTCCCTGGGGCAAGAGTATGGTTTGTGGCTTTCAAAAATGGAGGGTGTTCGTATATTCCTCCTATGTATACCTAGAGTGGTCCCCATCAGGGCATGTGCCTCGGTCCATCTCATGCATGTTTGTAATCTTAATATACGCGTACGTGTAAGGTTAAAGAGCGATAGTCTGAAGTGAAGTTGCAAGGAGAGAGAAAGCAAAAGCACTAGGACTCCGGTTCCACCCGAGTTTTATAGGACACAGTGGTCCTAGGGTCTCCATCATGGGTGGCCAGGGTGGGGTAGGGTACACAGTCCGGTCATGCCCCTTGGGCTAAGCCACTTCACGAGTGCCCCCCCCAACTCGCCTTCCGTCCTAACGGTTACAGGACATAAATACAAACCATGGTTGCCATCTCTCTGCGTGTTTGTCCCCCCTTCCGAGCAAGGAGGCCTGCACCGCCTCCGCTCCCTGAATGTCCCCTACCCTGTGAATCCACCCTTCTACTCGAGGTGTCTCTTTTTTCTTCCAATAAACCGAGATTAGGGCTTTCGCCACGTTGAGCAGATGACGCAAAATCGTTTTTTTTATATGTCGCTATCGACATCTCCGAGATATGTAGGAGCGATAGGGCTGGCGACCATTCTGGCGTCTCCCCCAGGATTTTCTGTCGAATCATCTCCCAGTATGGGACAATCACGTTACATTCCCACCATATGTGTAGGGTCGTGCCTCTCTCCTCCTCACACCTCCAAAACGTCGGGGGTATTGTTGGGAAGATCCTGTTTAGCATCATCGGAGTCCTATACCATAGCGCGATCAGTTTATAGTTTTTTTTCTTGGTATTGTGAGCTAATGGTGAGCCATAGCAACGCCTTATCCCATTCTTGGGACGTAAAGGGAGTATCCAGCATCGTCTCCCATTGCCTGCGAAAGGTGTTATTCTTTGTCAGGTGTCCCACCAGGAGGTATTGGTAGAGAGTGGATATCCCCTTCTCCAGTGGCAAGCCCTTTTCACAGGTCGCTTCAAACCATGTGAGGTCCCTGTGTAGGTGGTGTTTATTGTGTGTTGTGTCATAATAATGCTTCACCTGTATGTACCGCAGCACTATCAATGGTGAGCGGGGCGTATCCCCCAGCAGGGATTCTAAGGTCCGCAGGGTGCCGTCCTGCAGAATTGTGGAGGTGGGGACATGCTCCCTTCCTTCTGCGAAGGGCCATGCCTCTGGCGGTATGCCTCCCCAATCGCTTTGTTATCAGTAATAGAGATCAATGGGCTGGGTATGGGTGAGATATGTGGTTGTTCCCTCACGAGTCTCCAGCTAGTTAGAGTTTGCGCTATCAGGCTCCTTTCCTCTCCATCGCTGTTATTCCTCGCCCCCCCATCCATATGGCGGCTTGCAGGTGGGCCCCTCGTCTCTCCTTGGTCAGAGCTACCCATTGCTTTTGTGTTGTGTGTATATGCCACTCCAGAATGCGCTGTAAGACAGTGGCTTGGTGATATCGTTTAAAATCGGGTAGTGCCAGTCCCCCCCGATGTTTGGTAGGCAGAGGATGTCATGTCGGAGCCTCGACTTCTCCCCTCTCCAAACGTAGCGAATGACCGCCGATTTTAACGCAGAGAAGAAGGGTGCAGGTATGGTCAGTGGTAGCGTTTGAAACGGGTATAGAAGCCTGGGTAGGACGTTCATTTTAAGAACTGCTATCCGCCCTATGTTGTATCGCGAACGTCCGTAAGGTGCTGTCTCGCGCCTCCCGTCCTGGTATAAATCCGGTTTGGTCTACGTGTATCAGAGCTGGTAGGATGGATTGGAGCCTAGTCGCCAGAACCTATGTGAACAGTTTAGTATCCACGTTCAACAAGGAGATAGGGCGATAGTTGTCACACTCCGTCGGATCCCTCCCAGGTTTCGGCAGGACAGTTATTATGGCTGCTAAGTTCCCTCCGTCTGCGAGTTTGTTGATGGCTTTCGTTAACCACGGCAACAATATCAATGAAAAGGTTTTGTAGTACCCTGTGGAGAAGCCATCTGGGCCTGGTGCTTTGCCCATTTTGGTCGATTTCAGGGCTGCTATGATGTCTTCTGTTGTAATCGGGGTGTCCAATGCTTCCGCCTCTTCTGGGCTGATCGTAGACGTGACAGCCTCCTCCAGGTATTCCTGTATTCGAGTGCTTTCCGTGTCCACCGCATCTCGTCTATCTCGTGCGTGTATGTCATAGAGTGTTTGATAGTATTCCCTAAATTCCTCTGCTATTTTGTTCGGGAGATTCGACATGGCACCCGATAAGAGGCGCAGGTTATGTACCTGTGTGCGTGGGGCGTTCCCCTTCAGAAGACGTGCCAAGTACCTACCCCCTTTGTTGGCGTGGGCGTAGAAGAACCCCTTAGATCGCTGTAAGGATCGGAGGTAGCGTTTCGTAAGGATGTCCTTCAGTTGCCTTCTGGCCTGCATTAGTTCTCCGTATGTCTCCATCAGTCGGGACTGCTTGTGTCGTTGTTCCAGTACCGAGATTGTTTTGTATAGGTCTGCCATCTCTTGCGTCGCTATCTTTTTCTTTTGGGAGGCGATTCCAATAAGCGTACCCCGGATAACACTTTTATGTGCTTCCCAAATCAAAATTGGGGAGGTCCCCTGCCCGTCATTGTCCTGAAAGTAGTGTTCCAATGCCTGGGTGACCTTTTCGCGGACGTCTAGGTCAAGAAGGAGGGCCTCATTAAGCCTCCACATCCATTTAGAGGGCCGAAAGAGGGGTGATTCCAGTTCAATCACTATGAACCATGATCCGACCACGTTGCGGGGTCCATCCTGGCGGAAAGCAGCCGCTGGAGGCCCACCTGTCGGACAAAGATGTAATCGATATGAGAGTATCGATCGTGCAGTGCAGAATAGTATGTAAAGTCTCTGGTGGTGGGGTGGAGGGTCCTCCAGCAGTCCACAAGTTCCATGTCACCGAGAGCCCTCTTCATGGAGCGTATATGGAGTTGTGAGATGCTGCTGTGACTCGTCGAGGAGTCCATGATGGGATCCAGCGGGACATTAAAATCTCCCCCCAGGACTAGGGTACCTCTGAGAAGTTGCTTAGTTTATTCAGTGCTCCACTGAGGAATTCAGCCTGTCGTTTATTAGGTAGGTATATATTGGCGAAGGTGTAAAGCATGCCTGCAATGGTACCCTTCAAATATAGGAAGCGACCCTGTATGTCCAGCAGGCTGTCCAGTCCCTGGAACTCCAAGTCCGCCGCTATCAGGATGGCTACTCCCGTCTTTCGCGCCGTTGGATGATCACAAAAGTAGTTTGTCGGGTAGAATTTATTTTGCAGCTTGGGGGCAGCTTCCTTTCGGAAGTGTGTTTCCTGTATCAATGCGACTGATATGCGACGTTTCCTTAGTTCCCGAAGCAAGTGGGTCCGTCTTTCAGGTATATTTAACCCTCTACAGTTGAGGGTGAGGACAGACAGGGGAGCGGGGCGGTACGCATCAGCGCTCCTACGCCCATCACTAATGTCCATTGTTATATCTACTTTTGCCCCCCTCACCCTACCTCCCCTCCTTCACTCCAGGGAGACCCTCGTGAGGGTCCCGGCCCCCCAACTTGGATCAGAAGCTCAATAAAAGAGGCAAGATCGGACTGGCCCAGGGATGGGGGAGTTGAGACTGAGCAGAATGATAAGAATGGGGGAATGGAGAAAAGAGGGGGATGAAAGAGGGAGAGAGAGAAGGAGAAAAGGAAAACAAAGAGTGAGTTGCCTTTTTCTGCAGGCACTGCAGCCGAGACTAGGGATTTCTCGATTATGCCACCTTCTCTGTGGAGGTGCCTCGTGCTGCGACAGAGTGCGCTGAGACCCCGCACCGGTAACCAGAGCCAGGGCCCTGTCGTTCAAAGAGAAGCACGAGTGTGGTTTGAGGTGTGCGGTCCGACCCCGACCAACAGGATAAGTGTGAGTGTGTTCGTGGGTAGTCCTCCCACACCGCCCCCCACTCCAATGCAGTTTACTAGTGTTATGTAGAGCGATCAATTTCAACGTTTAACATGAATAAGTAACAGTGTAACAGGGTAAACATATTTACATCACATTAATATTGCTGCACCTCGGTCCACCCCCCACCATCTCCCGAATATGGTCCCCTCACGTTCCAACCTTCTGTGACCTGGTTCCCCTCCCCCCACCTCATTCTCCTCCCCCCTACCGTTGCCCTTTCTCCCTTTCCATCTCTCCATGCCCTGACAAAAGGAAAGTAAAACAAGGATTAGTTAGATTAAAAACAAAAGAAGGAAGGTGTGTAGAAGAGGATAAAAGTCTAGCTTACTGCCTCAATGAATATTTTTGCTCAGTATTTATAGATGAAAATGAAGGAAAGGGGCCTCAGTTAGGAAAAAGGAGAAGAAGTCATTTGTTACATGTGAGTTTAAAGAGGAAGAGGTTCTATTTCAACTATCAAAAGTAAAGACAAATAAGTCAATGGGACCTGATAGAATACACCAACAGTTATTTAAAGAGCTTGTACTAGCAAAACCCTTTTTATTACCAGATTTATTTAACCAATCATTGTTTACAGGAGTAGTCCCAGAAAATTGGAAGTTAGAGAATGTTGTGCCCATTCACAAGAAAGGTAGTAGGGAGGAGTCGGGCAACTATAGGCCAGTAAGACTTACTTCAGTAGTGGGGAAAGTAATGGAAACCATGTTTAAGGATAGGATTGTTGAACATCTAAAATCACATGGATTTCAAGATCAGAGACAACAATGGTATACTTCAGGGAGATCATGCCAAACTAATCTTATTGATTGTTTTGATTGGGTAAGTAACATAATAGATCAGGGTGGTGCAGTAGAAATTGCTTACCTAGATTTCAGTAAGGCTTTTGACACTGTTGCACATAGAAGGCTTATCAATATACTGCAATCTTTAAAGGATCAGTATAGTGTCAGGAAAACAAAGCGGTTTTATTGACACTATATTGCCTTGAGGCTGCCCCCACGCTCAGTGTCCCCCTCCCGTGGCGCTGAAGGGGTTAAAACCCCTTCAGCCACTTACCTTAATCCAGGGCCGGGCTCCCTCGGTGCTGGTGACATCTCCTCCCCGTCCAACGTCACTGGAGCGGAATGCGCATGCTTTCCTATGGACGCTCTGCACGCTGGAGGCGAAATTCAGAATACAGCCACTAGAGGCTGGATTAACCCCAAATGTAAACATAGCAGTTTCTCTGAAACTGCTATGTTTCCATGTGAAGGGTTAAAACATGAGGGACCTGGCACCCAGACCACTTAATTGAGCTGAAGTGGTTTGGGTGACTATAGTGTCCCTTTAAGTTTTGATTCCAATATTGTTGAGTGGTTAAGGCAGTGGCTGAGTGACAGGCAACAGAGGGTTGTAGTCAATGGAGTATATTCGAAGCATGGTAAGAGTGGGGTACCTCAGGGATCTGTACTTGGACCCATTCTCTTTAATATTTTTATTAGTGATATTGCAGAAGGTCTTAATGGTAATGTATGTCTTTTTGATGATGATACCAAGATATGTAACGGGGTAAATGATTTAGGTAAACTAGAAAAATGGTCAGAGCTGTGGCATCTGACATTTAATGTGGATAAGTGCAAGATAATGCATCTTGGACGTTAAAACCCAAGGGCAGAGTATAGGATGCTTGATACCCTACTAACCTCAACATCTGAGGAAAAGGATTTAGGGGTGATTATTTCTGAGGACTTAAAGGTAGGCAGACAATGTAATAGAGCAGCAGGAAATGCTAGCAGAATTCCTGGTTGTATAGGGAGAGGTATTAGCAGTAGAAAGATGGAAGTGCTCATGCACCTCCTGTGTACTCTTTAGCCCCCTCCCATCCTGTGCCATTATATAGCCCCCTTCACTCCTGTGCCCTCTTTAGCCCCGTCCCCTCCTGTGCCCTCTTTTGCCCCTCCCCTACCTAAAGATGGCACATCTTTACCTACCTCCCTCCCCTCCTGTGCACCTCTTTCACCTCACTTCCATTCCTGTGCCCTTACGTAATACCTCCCCCTTCTGTGCCTCCTTTAGCCCCTCTCCCCTCCTGTAGTCCCCCTCCCCTCCTCTTCTTTTGGCCCCTCCCCTTCCTATGCCCTCTTAGCCCCCTCCCCTCCTGTGCCCTTATGTAACCCCACTCCTTTGCCACCTAACAAGTTTAGACACAATCGTAAATGAAATGTGTCCAAGTGTTCCCAATGCTCCTAGGCACCAAAGAGAGACTCCAGGGGTCTCTCATGGCATAACCCTAGACAATCAAGAAAGACAAAACAAAACAGAGCATGTAGATTCCCCACAAGGGAACCTACAATGCTTCCTTGAGATATAGATAGTAGTATTACTATATATAAATATAAAGTAATTAACCTGTAGCAAAGTAAATGTCCACCAGGGGCTTACCTAGAGCATTTGGCACCCGGGGCGGATCCTGTGCTTTGCACCTATTCTCCCAAAAAAAAATCTGTAAAAAATGTTAAAGGTTTTCTTTGTTCTTTTTTTTTTTTACAATTTGTAAACTTTGCAAAACCGCTGTCAGCCCCTCCTACAAAACCCTTGTCCTGCCTCGCCCCTCTTACAAAACCTCTGTCCTGCCCCTTCTACAAATCCTGTACTGCCCCGTCTACAAAACCCCCGCCCCCTTCTACAAAATCCCTGCAGCCCCACACACACATTTACAGGCAGACAGTCACACACAGTTACAGGCAGACAGTCACACGCACACACACAGTTACAGGCAGACAGTTACACACAGACAGTCTCACACACACAGACACACACACTTACTTACAGACAGTGGGATGGAGGAGGACTGGATTCCCTGAAGTCCTTCTCTGAAGCCTGTGGAGAAGCAGAGATTCCATCTTGCTGCACCTCCTAACAGCAGTGGGTAAGGGCCATATTAAGCCCCGCCCCCAGTGCCTGTTTGGCTCTATGGTCCGCGGGTACAGGGAGCTTTTGTTTGAGTGAGTGTGCACTTCCTGTTAGTCCGGCCGGGTACAGGAGACAGATGCTCCCTGTACCCGCGGACCAGTAGAGGGCTCGGCCACCTGTCAGCCCCTCTCCTCATGCTGCGCCCGGGCGGTGCGCCCTCATGGATGCACCGCCCAGGCAAAGCTGCAGCCGCCTGAGGCTCTCTACAGAACGCTCGGGCGGCTGCAACATGGGGGGGCCGGCGCTCTTGGTCATGGCACCCCCCACCCTGGTGGCACCCGAGGCGGACCTCCCCCTCCGCCCCCCCCTTAGTACGCCACTGATGTCCACTGAGATTCTGCAGCACAGTATTACAAGAAAAAATAAATAAAATACAACAAAAAAAAACACCTTGTACGTTAAACCTCCTATCTCGAAATAAGTATTGTACAAAGTCTCACAAGGCTGGTATCAAAATAAATCAGGGCCCCTGACAAAGGTGCATGTAGATCTGCACCCAAACGCGTTTTGGGCATTATTGCTTTTTGTTTTATCACTGGGCACTTTATTTTTCACTAATGGCTAGCATGTTGCTTTGATGGTTTACTTACTTTGATTTTTACTTTTGATCTTTCCTCCTATGTCTGTCTAGCGAGCGTAACAGGGAGAGAGGCTTTGACAGTTTAACTTTTTGCCAGTCTTTTACTGATAATAGCATTTTTCATCTTTCTCTTATCTGCTATATTGTATATACCTATTTGGCCACCCAACAGGGTTTATTTGACTCATTTAAATAGCCCATCATGCCTCATACAGGCTGACTTATCTTGACTGCTAGATCCATTTGGTGCCATGTATACTGACTGACTACATAACCTCTCTTTCCTTGCATCTATCAATTGTTCTCTCAGGGGCTGACTTTTGTTTTATATAGAGCCATATCTAATAAAGCTCCTTTTTATTTTGATACCAGCCTTGTGAGACTTTGTACAATACTTATTTCAAGATAGGAGGTTTACCATACAAGGTGTTTTTTGTATTGTATTTTATTTATATTTTCTTTCAATGTTGTTCTGCAGAATCTCAGAGGACATTTACTTCGCTACAGGTTAATTACTTTATATTTAGCAATACTACTATGTATATCTCCAGGAAGCATTGTAGGTTCCCTTGTGGTGAACCTACATGCTCTGTTTTGTTTTGTCTTTAAAGGTCTGTTATATCACACACTGCATGAAAGCTTTGTCACGCAGAATTGTACTCATACTCAAAATCCACGCAGATTTAATTACTCCAGAACAATAAATATGAAAATACACATTCCCTGAGATTTTAACATGTTGTACCATAATACAAATTATGGTGTTTTTAATTATTTTTGTAGGTGCAGTGTCAGTCCATCAGTATACGGCCACCTAAACAATACAACAAAGAAAATACAAAAAGGTGAGGAAATTGTAGTGAGTTTTTGAAATACAATGAGGATTGTTTCTTTATTAGGACGCGCAAGTTATATTTATATTGCATTAAGAGGTTGAGTTGTGCAGAATATTTTACAGAGTCCAGTAGGATAGACAAAGTGAACCCATCCGTATTATACTTTTCTGATCTTCTACCATTTGTCCACAGATCAGTTTTTTCATTCCCCTCCTTTTCTTTTATGATGTATATTAATCTCACTTTTAATGTTAGAATATTCTTCTATTTGTTACTGACTCTATAATTATGCCATTCACTCTAATAATGTGGTTTTATTTATTTTTCTTTTTTCTTTTGTGTGTGACACCTGTGATAAGCATGATCTCCTGTGGCATACGAGTCAGATGAAGAGGTCCATGTTTAATACTAATGTCCAGAGTGGAATACTGAAGTTAAAGTGGATCTGACACATAATAAGCTTCTTCTGTCTGACTATTTGCACAGCAGTTTTAACATTGTGGACTGTGACTGTGATCACATAGTTAATACATGTGGTAGTGTATGAATGGAGAGAATGGTGTGTGGGTGAATGGGGATATGAAAGGTGTGTATGGTCAGCAGTATGTGTTGTAAGTCTTGATGTATGAAAAGTATAGTGTGTTTTCTTCTGTGTGTGAATGGTAATATGAAAAATGTTTGAATTGTCAGTAATAAGGGTTGGCGTGGCATTACTGCTCACATGGGTATCCATGTGCCAATTCAACCAATGTATGTGATTGTAATACTAATGTGGTTAACCAAAAAATACTGTGAATGTAGAGCATAAAGGAACTGTATCACCTAAATACTGCTTACACTGTGAATGTATCACCTAAACACGGCTTACACTGTGAATGTATCACCTAAACACTGCTTATAAAGTGACTGTATAGAATAAAGGGATTGTATCACCTAAATACTGCTTATACACACACACCTTCACCAACTGGTCAACTTAAAAATAAATAATATAAAATATATCAACACATAAATTAATTTTATCTCATAACTAGAGCAGGACAAGAACGGAATCCCTCTGCAGCCTTGTTGCTACGGACTGCAACTTCCCTCAGGGTTAGTGGATGGCTGTAACTGATAGGACAGTGTCCGGTTCTAAGGATTAATAATTAAGAATCAGTGCTAGCTGTTAAACTGGATGGCTGTAATTGATAGGAGGGGTGCCTGGTGCTGTTCCATTAATAAAGATTAAAAATCATTGATAACAGCTAGCGTCCACCTACTCCATCCCTAGTGAATGACTGGACGGCTGGGATTTATAGGAGGATTGCTTGGTTCTATAACGACTAATAATAAACAATAAATAAAATATTTTGCAGCCCCATTCGCTCCACCCACTCATGTAGACTAACACACACGCAATGACCCATGCAGACTGACGCACACTGACCCATATACACACACTGATTTATGCAGAGACACACATATAGACACAAACTGACCCATACAGACACACAATGCCCCATACAGACACACACTGACCCATACAGACACACAATGCCCCATACAGACACACTCTGACCAATACAGACACACAATGACTTATACAGACAAACATACACAAACATATTGACTGAAGCACACTAACACATTCTTTGACATACATCTTACCTTCAATGCTGTTTCTATGTCCATCTTGCTTGCGCCTGGCGGCCCCAGTACATCTTTTTTCTGCACATTTTCTGAGGAAGAGGCAGGAGCGAGCAATTGAAGCGCCTTTGTGCTTCTGCCGCTTGTCGCAATGAATGACGGGGGAGGGGTCTGGCTAAGTAGGATGTGTATGCCACCGGACCGGTGTTTTACCGGGTGCTAGTGAGCAGCAATGTAAGTGCTCCTTACCACCCGTGAACATGGCCGGCGGCACGCTAAAAATAATAGAGGGGGGGCCGCTGGGGAAACTTGATAGAGGGCCGGCACAGACTAACATAAAGCAGCAGGGCCGGCGCCCCCTTTTCAGCAGCGCCCTAGGCGGCCGCCTAATTGGCCTACAGGAAACGCTGGCCCTGGCTGGGATTGAGTGGATGGCTTGGATTGATTATTAGTCATATAAGGACTAATAATCACTGATCAGAGCTGAGTGACTGGATGGCTGGGATTGATAGGCAGAATGCCTGGTCCTAAAAAGACTAATAATCAATGGTTAGATCTAAGTGAGGTTTGCTGAGATGGCTGGGGGCTTGGAAAGACTGACCTGAGCCTATAATCGGATGACAGCCCTTTCCTGCGGGTAGGGAGGTAATCAGGGTTTCAAATTTACAGTGAGGACTTGTGTGTGTGTGTGTGTGTATATATATATATATATATATATATATATATATATAAAAAACATCAAAGCTCAGATGAGCTTCATGATAAGCTCCAGAAACATGGTTCCTGAATCTCTGGGTGCACCACTTCTGGTGCTGATTGTTCTGGCAGCCGTCCTCTGTTATTTCTTTGGTCCCATCAGAAGATGTGCTTGTGTGCATGGTCACTACATGAAACTGCTGACAAACAGCCAATTCCTTGTCACTAGAAGTGAAATGGTCCAGATTTCTGACAGGGCCAAGATAATAACAGAACACCAGCAAATGCAAGATATATTTTTAATTTTATTTGCACTTGCATTTTTAAGTGCATTGTCTATATAATGCAGTAATAAATAGCACTTCCAGTGTGGAGTGTCCCACTGTGAGGTTTATCTTTGTTTAAGGCAAGAAGGGATGCATTGGTACCCCGTCAATATACACCCATGGAGTCATTGTACAGCTCACTGGGTAATCTCAGTCCCCAGCGGCTCCGGCAGGAAGTGACGTAGAATGTGAAAGTGCTCTATCCATCTGCAGCCAGGGCAGGAGGCAGAGCGGGTTGTCAGTGCCCTGGTTTCCGGCGCCCGTGCTGGACTCGGCCGTGCACGGGATGGCCGGGCGGACAGATCGGGCTCCGCTGCTGGACTGGGCCGAGGGTCCGGCTGTGAGTCCCGAGCCCGAGCTGCGGACCGGGTACGGGGCGGGCTGGAGCCGCAGGCCGGTCGGTGAGCTGACTCCTCTGCCCCAGCTGGAGGATGATCACATCGCGGCCGTGTTCGTGGTCACATTCGATCCCCGCAGCGGTGAGTGAGCCCCCACCGGGGACAAGGCAGGGGATATCCCCTATCGGGGTATGGTATATAGAGTACATAGGGGAGCAGGGGGGGTCCTCTATCGGTAAATGGTATATAGAGTACATAGGGGGGCATGGGGTGTCCTCTATCGGTATATGGTATATAGTTACATAGGGGGCAGGGGGTGTCCTCTATCGGTAAATGGTATATAGAGTACATAGGGGGCAGGGGGTGTCCTCTATCGGTAAATGGTATATAGAGTACATAGGGGGCAGGGGGTGTCCTCTATCGGTATATGGTATATAGAGTACATAGGGGGCAGGGGGTGTCATCTATCGGTATATGGTGTATAGAGTACATAGGGGGGCAGGGGGTGTCCCCTATCGGTATATGGTATATAGAGTACATAGGGGGCAGGGAGTGTCCTCTATCGGTATATGGTATATAGAGTGCATAGGGGGCAGGGGGTGTCCTCTATCGGTATATGGTAGGGGGTCACACGATATTATATTCTATACTTGGAATGGGGCGATCTTATATAACATTCGCCTGCTAGAGACAGTGGGTCATTATATGTTGCACATCTGTCTGAGACTGTGTGTACTATTGACATTCATATGTTGGTGGTCACTACGTATTGAAAAACTGGACAGTGGGTTTATCTAACATGTGTCTAAATAATATGTGGAATACCTGTCTGGTAATATATTGTATGGTAATCCCTTTCCTTTCTGGCAAACATGCCTCTGGGGACTGTGGGGGAAGTAACCCAATTTATACCTAGGATGCAGGTAGAGATCAGGTGATAGTCTCCTGGGAGGGAGCAGGAGAACAGTCATTACTTGATCAGTGTACAATCTGTTGTGATGTTTAGAAAATTATGTTAAATAGAATTGTTGGCGTGTATTGAGCACCAACAAATTACGCAGCACGTTACTAATATACAATGGTGTTCTGTAATACTTTGAAGGTGAAAGTGACAGATTTGTGGGCTTGTAAACTTATAATAAGGTGTGTATGTAGGGAGAGATATGCCAATGGACATCAGGTGCCATAACAACGTAATTGTTATGTAGTAGTTATGGTGCCTGAAGTGTTGTTTTTATACCAAATAACCTAACCTAAAATAATCATGTAATATAATATAGCATGTATTGGTGTTCTAGAGAGACATCTATAACCACTCATGGTTTATTAAGATGTATCTAGAATCCCTAAATGGCATTATCGTTTAGTTTAATGTTCACCTTTAATGTATCTTATTTAAATGTGACAGAAGACCCCCAAAATGCAAAAGACAAGCGATAGAGAGAGAGACACACACACACGCGCAGTGTCAGACCTAGTTAAAGCGGCTGTTCAGGCATCCACTTGTTAGATGCAATGTTTATATTACAGTTGTGAATGCTAATTGTATCTAAGTCTTTGATTCCTCCCCCCCTTTTTTTCCCTTTCAAGTTAGGCTTGATAATTTAGCTTTTTCATCCCCACCCCCAACCAATAGCGTTTCCCATTTTTACTCGGATAATTCAGTTGTACCTGAAATCTGTACCGCACTGGAGAGCTGTCAACTGAACTACAATTCCCATAAACACCTGCTGTGCGCTTAAACCACTGCTGTCCTGTATTTATGGAATAGGCTGTACACTGCCATATAATATTAAGGAGAAAAGCTTAAAAATGATCTAGAAAACTTCCTGGTGCTGTCAAATTTAATGAAACCTCAAAGGATGGGATTAGATAAATTCATAGTAGTAGTATTTATTTCTATATTACCAACGTATTCTGCAATTCTTTACAATTATACAATTGGGATACCCACCTGGCTGGTAGGGGTTAACAGTGAATGGGTATCATTGTCTTTCTCTGCATACCATGTTTAATGCCTGTCAGCAAGGGATTAAACTCACCAGAACACAGAAAGTATGTGACAGAGATTCTTACCCTGCTAAGTGACATCAAAGTCTGATCTGGTAATATTTTATTTCATAGGAAACCACCATTGAAGCTTAAAATCCTCATTTTATTAAAAGGCGTGTGTGTATCTATTTATCCATCCTAGAGCAATGATACTTTTCTTTTTCTTTTTTTATTGGACTAACATAATACTTAAAAGACAATCTTTTAAGAGTTTTCCTCTCTTCCTCGTGTTTGAAATAATATGTATTAATCTGTGTGCAGTACTAGCATGCTTGGAGTTACCTTATGCACAGCTTAACTTTATGTCCAACATTATCAGGGTTATTTACTGAAGTGACAATTCAAAGAGAATTTCAAATTTAAAGGAACACTATAGGGTCAGGAACACAAACATCTATTCCTTACCCTGTGGCGCTAAACCCACCATTTAGATGCCTCCCCTTAACCCCATTAAACATTAATAAAACTCACCTTATTTCCAGTGCCAACATGACCCCGCCCCCTTGGTGACATCATCAGACTTGCTGATATTTTGTCAATCCAATGCTTTACCGAACCAATGCTTTCCCCTTCTTTGGCTAAAATCAGTAAGGGCCGCACCACCAAATGCCGTTTTGGCCAATCAGCACCTCCTCATAGAGATGCATTGAATTAATGCATCTCTAGGAGGAAAATTCAGTGTCCCCATGCAGAGCGTGGAGACGCTGAACGGCACTGCTGCCTACTGTGCAGTACTAAGCCAGGAAGCGCCTCCAGGAGCCATCTGAGGAGTTTTTATGACAGTGTTTGCATGAAAATTCCTGCATATAATGATTATACTCACCAGAACAACTACATTAATATGTGGTTGTTCTGGTGACCTATAGTGTCCCTTTAAGGACAAAATAGCCAAACTGAAAGTATAGCTGATTTAGAGATTTATCCAGTTCAGCTCTATTGAGCTTAAATTTGAAACTCACTTTGATTTATCCTGAAAATGTCTGCCTTCCGTTCCCAAATATGTTCCCTTTTAGCACAAAGCTAATGCCAATCCCAACAGTTTCCATGCAATGGGGGTTTAAGAGAGGATATTTGAACGTGTATTATAGGATTTATTTTGGTGTATGTTTACACCATTAAAAGAACACCCCAAGCACCGTTACAATTACAGCATGCTGTTGTTTCTATAGGGTTGCCACATGGCTGGAATTTTAGCGTCGCAGACGGTATTGCAAAAATACCAGCAGTGAAAAAGATGGTATTTTTCTCTGATTGGACTCTGACAACGCTGTGTTCTGTCTGAAGGAGAGTGACCCTGCCATCTGAGGCAGCTACAGAGCCAGTATGGCAGCATGATATTATACCTGGCAGATACACACTGATTTAGACAGTATACACTCAATGGCACACTGCTGTACACAGTATACACATAATGACACAATACTACACACAGTATACACTCAGAAACGGTATACACATATACAATGCACGTACATTCAGACATAGTACACATATTGTAAGTGCCAAGGAATTTTTTAGTGATTTGTTTTTCTTTCAAATGTTATGTAACCCAATGGGATGTCATGCATATAATAGTGTAATTATGCAAATTGGCATGGCCAGTATTATTTTTACAAGAAAGGTGACATTTCTAAGCTAACCATATTTTAAAAAATAGCTTTCTTGTTGAAGGTTTCCATTTTAGATATTTTGGGCTAAAACTGGTCAGAGGTAAAAGTATCTTCTCCATTCTCTGCTACTCCCAGTGAATAATCCTGAGTAGACATTTTGAAGTACAGCACACACTAGTAGTGAAAATAATCATGTTGCTTGGTTTTGATTTACGCAAATTAGCGTGCCTGGTCTTTTTTCCAAGAAACGTGGCAACACTTCATGGTTATGGCACCGTGAGTGTCCTGGTGTCCCTCGTTTTAAGTAGTCGAGCTGTTTTAGAATGGATTGACTACATACCTGGTGTCCATTGTGCCCTGCTCTACGCCACTCTCTCTCTTTTTTTTTTTTTCAATTCATTATTACAATTCAACAAAACACATATGACATAGGGGAACGGTAGATTATGGTGCCTTGCCCAAATAGGCTTACAATCTAAAGAGCCACTTTGACTAATTTGTCAGTTAAAGCAGCTCTAAAATTCCAACGCAATTCAAAGATGAGTAGCGATCCAAAGTAGAGTCGACTTTGTCTTCTGGAGAAGTTTGATATTGACAAAAGGCAGAGCTTTACAATCAATAATATTAACTTCTGTCTAATGCCAGCTTTGGGTAAGTATAACAACCTTCCACTGCACCCTGCGGCTACCTCACTGTAAGCAGATATATAGTTTTAGGGGTTTTTGGAAAAATATGACTGACCTGCTTTAATCAGTGTGCGTTCTGGGCGACCTATATTCCTGCTGTCATGTTCCACTGCCACGCATTTTCTGTAATTCTTTTGGAAAACAGAACCACTGTACCACATATGGTCTTATCTGTTTCCATGGCATTATTATTTTAAACTGGCTAACTTCATGTGGCTACTTTTTAATCTTCGTGCTACAATGTTTTTTCCTTGCTCTAATGCAGAAAGTTGGTTATATGGGCTTTTATCGCCAGTGGGCTGTTTAATTGGGTAACCGTCCAGGCTCTTCCAGTTCTTGGTAAACTGCCTGTTTCTCTGACCTGTTATGAATCGGTCATGTTTTGTCCTATCTTTATATCTCTTTCGTTCGTGTGTGTGTGTGTGTTGTAGCTGTTTTGTAATCTCTGTAGTATGACCCAAAGGAGCAGTAATGTCTAAGATGTTGGCAAATACTAGCTTCTGCTTATTTTCTTTTATCACATTTTTCTGTCAAACTGTGTTTTGTGCCTTTTCTTCATATGCTTCTTCAATTCTACAACATTGTCTATAGATTGCATCCTTCCACTTACTTAAAACATCGCTAGATTTTGTTTTTGTTAGAAGATAATCCAAGCACCTTGATACCCTATTCTCCTCTCATACATTATGAAAGAAGGTGATTCCTTGTCTGTCTGCATTCAATTATGTATAACTGTAGCAATCTGCAAAAATTAGTGCAGCAATATGCCCACTGCTGAAATTCTTTACAAACTGATGTTACACTGCTTTGTGTATGCAATATTTCATATGGTTCAGTGTACTAATTCTGTATAAGTCAAATATTAATCTTCACTATGAATGTTCCTGTATATTGTCTAGTTCCATTAACTAAAAAACATGAATGAAGCTATATGGCAATCTCTCATTGTGTGTGAATTGCAGATTACAGTTTATTCTATTTTGGCTAATAGGACTTTAGAAAAAAAAATAAAGAAATATATATATATATATATATTCTCTACTAATGTAGACTTTTGCATGATCATCATGGAAAAAAAATTTCATAGTCCACTGCAATACCAAAGTTAGCTTACTGTTATATGAGATTTTAAAGACCTGTAAAAAAACCAAAAAAAAAAAAAAACCCCACAAAACATTTAAAGTTCCACTATATGGTCCCATTAATTTAGCAAATCCCTTTTAATAAAATGTATCTCTTATCCAGTGTTCTGAAAAATCCCATGGGAGCCATTTACTTAGGAAAGAGTACTGTGTTCAGTTTTTATGGAGCCACTCTGGCAACTGGAGCACAAAAACTGTAATGCAAATAAACTGGCTTTTCAGGAAAATACAGGTAGTTAGAGAGAAGTCTCATCTTTGATTCGTGTATGTCTTCTGCTAGTTTCAGTAATCCTCAGAATTTTCTGTATATTGGTAGCTGATTAGTTGGCTCCTAGATTTTCTGTTTTGGTAAATTCATCTGTAACATAGCTATACTTAAGGCATTTGCGCTGGTTGCCATGGTAGCTCCCTAGCTGACGCTGCTGACGTAGCCAGCATGTTGGCGTCATGGAGAAGGTTTGCCCTACTTGGGGAAGTGTCCCCAGGAATGGAAAATAGGTGAAGAGATCGGGTGGAGCGCGGGTAGACTATGGGTGGGTACTGTAGAAGTGTGACCCCTAGTTCTGTAATGAGATAGCGAGGGGGAGTTGACGGTCAGATAAGTGGTGACACGTTCCCTTTTTAAGTGAACTTTCCATGATAGGTTCACTTTAACACAAATCCCAACAAATCACATGCATTGAATACAAAATGTATCTCAGAAATATATGATGTAAAGTTTTGAGATATTAATTCACCTCACCTATGGTTTAGCTCCACCCTGTCCTCAGCTTTGCCAGTTATTCTTCTGTAACCCCCTCCGGGACCACTTGTGCACTGTTTGCACTCTTGTTTGCATTGTCCTGTTTAGGCAGGGCCGGATTAACATAGGGGCTGATAGAGCTGCAGCTCCAGGCCCAGGCCCAGGCCCATGGAATATGCCAATTAAAAAAAAATTTACACACTACTCTTAGGTTTGCCATCTGACTGGTATTTTACTGGCACAGCTGGTATTTGAGGCTGCCTGTCCGTGCCAGTATTGCAGTAAAAGCCGGCAATACAATTACCTAATCTCTCCTCCCAGATACCCATCTCATCTGACCCCCATATATTGTGCAGATACTTAAATATCCGGTGGTTATATTTTTGGTTGTGTTTGATACATGCGCATATTGTGCTGACTGCTTATTCTGTATTGATATTTGTGCACTGTATACTTTGAGGTATTACTGATCTCTTTACCACAATTGAAATGCCGTTGATGAACATATGTTCTGCATTCTATGTGCTTTATTTCTATTGTTTGTTTAAAGTATACCTCAATAAAAAAAATAAAAAATTAAAGCAGACGAAAGGGAAAAAAAAACTGTTTTTAGAGGTATCATGACAGGTACTATTTTTAATGATGTCTATATGATGATTGCTGTGTTTTAGCACTTTGCCCGTGGATTATGTGATTATTTGTCTTTGATAGCATCCAGACTTTACACCATATTTATCAGGTTTATAGTACAATGAATGTTTTCTACAGGTTTCTGAGAGCTGTTGATCTTGGATGATCTGGTAAACTTACAGTGCCCTATGACGAGGAACTCACTGATTACTAGGAATTAAGTCTGTTACATAACACACACACGTAACACATGTTCTTTGCCTTTATGAATGGCAACGTAATCTTTTGAAGACATTGACCTGTAGTATTTGCTTAAACATGCATTATGATACTAATGTGCTGGCACCAAATTAAGAACCTGTTCCTCCTCATGTTGCATTGTGACTCATCATAGCTCCGGGTTGTGGTTTGGTTAAGAAGGAAGTTGCTTTCTAACATCAGTAGAAGTGAAAACAGACAAATCAGAGAGGTGTCCTTTACAGCTGCTTTAAGAAAAAGCCTAGCTCTGCAAATGGCTTGTTGCTCACCTTGCTCACGAATTAAAGGTTTATTTTTCCTTTTCCCTGTAGATAAAAATGTATCGTACCAGACAATCTGTTTGCTAGTTATTCGGCTTATACAATAGGCAGATTCATTTTATTTGCAGCATGAAACGGACTCCACTTCATTTTGGACTCCACTAGCTTGCCACTTGTTTCAGAATATCTTGTTCTTGAATAGTGGGCAATAGGTTATGGGCTGTCTATAATCTTATAAGCTATATAGGGTACACACAATATACATACTGAAATGTAAAAAAGGAAATCGTGGCGTCATAACTTTCACTTATCCACTAGCTATTATCAACTTAAAATCAAATTGCATGACTGCATTCACTAAACCGTAAATGGTATTGAATTGAAAAACAAACTACAATATAGCCAAGCTATGGCAGATTTTCCAAATCTGCTATTTTAAGCTAAAATACACATATGGACTTCTACCACCATGACCGCTTCAAATCATAGTGGTTGGAGAACCCTTTAACTAAAACAATAACATTATATAGTATTGTATTTACTTAAAGGGAAACTATAGTTCCAGGAAAACAAACTTGTTAATAACCCCTTCTGCTGACTCGACTCCTCCCCCGCCGACCGAGATCGCATTATGATTTCCCCATTGGAAAGCATAGCGGGAGGACATCCAGCGTCATTTAGGTGACCAAAAGTCGCCTTAGAGTCCGGAAGTCTCTCTGGTGGCTTTCTGGTAGACAGCCACTAGATGAGAAGTTGACCCTAGCAGTTTATACAAACTGCAATATTTACCTGCTCAGGGTTAAAGGTGCAGGTACATTGCACCCAGACCACTTCACTGAGCTGAAGTGGTCTGGGTGCATACAGTGTCCCTTTAAACATCAATGTTTATTAGCTAAAGTGGTTCAACTAAATATATTTAAAAAACAAAACTTAAACTGAATAAATCAGCTGGATCCATATGAAAAATTTAAGACACTGTCTTCTGCAGCCCACTCATCTTCATTCTCTTGTTTGCTCATAGCAAGGTTCTGCTATATTGGGCCCGAACTGATTTCTCAATTTAGAATAATCAGTGCAGAGGAAGAGAATATTCTTTCAACACCAGCAGAAGAGGCCACTGCTGTTTAAAGTGAAATCATTCAACAATTTCTGAGTCCAACTGCTTAAATGACATTTTGCAAGTTCACTGGTGTGACTTTCTTTAAAACACCATCAGCAAACCTATTTCTTGAAAGGCTCTCACTTAGCTCTTAAGGTTATTATAGTTGACAGTAGAGATGGATGATTGCTGGATACCAATGTAATGGGAATTCCTCTTCTTCGGCGTGTAAGGTTTGACCCTGGTACTGAATATTTATTGTGTTTGCAAGAAAATGAGCTGTAAACAGTGCTTGTCCCATTCATCTTTTTTTAAAGCTTGTAATTTAATTTTTTTTTTTTTTTCAATCTTAATCCATTCTGGTTTAAACTGAACCTGTCCAAAACAGAACTTCTGGTCTTTCCTCCATCAAAACAGAACTTCTGGTCTTTCCTCCCTTGTCTGTGTCCCTCCAAGTCAATGGCACTAACATCCGCTCTACCTCTAAGGCTCGCTGCCTAGGTGTTCTCTTTGACTCTGACCTCTCTTTCAACCCTCATGTCCAATCAATCTCCAAATCCTGCCGCTTCTATCTCAAAATCATTGTGCGCATCCGACCCTATTTAACACCTGATACATCAAAGGTGCTTGTCCATGCTGCAGTACTCTCTCGCCTTGACTACTGTAATCCACTTCTTAGTGGTCTTACGTGTTCCCAACTTGCCCTGTTACAGTCTATAATGAATGCGGCAGCGAGGCTTATCTTCCTGTCCACCCGCACCTCCCACGCCTACTCCCTTTGTCAGTCCCTCCATTGGCTTCCTGTAAGATGTAGGGCTCAATTTAAGATCCTGACACTTGCTTACAAATCTCTACACAATGCTGCTCCCACCTACTTATCCTCACTAATACACAAATATGTCCCATCTAGGCCCCTGCGCTCTGTCTGAGACCTACGTCTAACCTCTGTACGTACTCCTACCTCTAATGCTCACCTTAAAGACTTATCTAGGGCTCTCTGTTAGACTTTCACCCAATCTCCACTCCTTCAAAAAAATCTTTGAAAACTTACTTCTTTAGGAAAGCATATCAATTAAACTGAACAGCTTTCCCTTCCTGCACCCTGATTCCTCTCCTCAAACTGTCATCAAAACAAAACACTAAGCCCTCAATGAATACTATCCTAGCAACCTACTTTTCTACCCTACCCTTACCTTTTGTGTCACATTACCCCATTACCTCTAGCATGTAAGCTCCTTGAGCAGGTCCCTCTGTTCCTGTGTGTCAAACTTGTCTGGTTACAAATACGTGTCTGTCCATCCATTGTACAGCGCTATGGAACTTGTTGGCTCTTTATAAATAGTAATATATTATATATATTTTTTATATATATATATATATTGATGAGGAGCCCTGTAGTATGTTGAATTCAGAAGAATGGCAATAAAGAATCCTGCATAATATGTATTCTATATACTACAGGGCAACCCTTTTTATGCATTGTCATAAGTATGACAAAATTATGTGTCCCTGTCAACATGGTGGACCTGGGCACCCTGCATATAAGAGAACTGACTATTTATTTACTTTTTATGGTTAACCTTTTGATAGATGGATTTAATGGTCCTATGTCTGATTGTGGGACAATTTAGCAGCTTGATAGTTCAAATTACCATTTTGAAAGACACCAAGCGGTATGCCACGTGGTATATTTTGAGCCTTATTTTTACATCTATTGTTTCTTTCAAAGTTTATGGTATTTGTTTTACATGCACAGTGAAACCATTAGTTGGCATTATAACCCTAATGTTAACTATAACGCAAACCCTTACTGTAACCCTAATCAATATCCTTGCCCTAAACCACTAACACTCACTTAGCCTTACCCTAATTGTAATCCAAACCATCAAAGGGACACTGTAGTGTTAGGGATCCAACCATATCTCTAATTAGATTCTGCTCCCACATTGCCGTGAAAATAGTTTTTACTTACCTTTTTTTTTTTTTTTTTTTTGGGTGCATTTAGTAGTCCTTAATTTTTAACCTTAGCATAGTGACTCCTTAGGGATATCCTGATGTCAGTAGAGGGATTGATTCCCTTAATGTGCAGAGCTCTCTCTAAACACTACACAGTACCATTCTTTGCTGATTTGACACTACCTCACAGCCCATCACTGTCTTCTTATCTGTATAGTATATGAAAGCCATGCTAAGGTTGAAGGGGCAGCTAATAAGTACAATGATTGGCTGTGGGGTAAAGTCGTGCCAGCAACTCGGCTCATTGGCTGAGCTGAGTACATCTTCAAAGTATGTCTAATAAGGATGTTTCTTCGTGAAAAGTGGAGGTGGGGCTAAAGGGGAGCTTACTCTGCATAGCGGTTTTCTGTTTAGGACAACTAAAACGATTTTGAATGTGATGAAAACACAACAAACTGAATGTGAAGCCAAAACGTATTAAATGCATTTTTTGGTCCGTGGAGTGTAATCTTAAATGACCTATTATATTTGGACTCTGAAAGTTAGTGCATAAAAAAGAAACCACATGAGATATTCCACAAGGTTCTTTTATTATGCAAGGATCTTCTTTAAATTCTATTTAAATTCTCTTTAAGAGATACAATTTTTATTGTCTCCTCTTTTCAGGAAATCTTGTTGAATGGTGCCGACCTCAGGACATTGATCTGGAAGGAGTGGAGTTCAAATCTATGGCTAGCGGCTCCCATCGTGTGCAATCTGATTTCATGTGAGTGGTGTGAGGGATAGTCACAGGCACTTGCTGTATTTAGGGCATTTTTTTTTTTTGCACAGCAGAGAAATTATGTAATTGTGTTCGTCAGCCTCATAAAAAATTCATTGCGGTTTTCGTCAGTTTGCATGCAAAACCATGAAATATTAATTTTAAAAACAAATATTTGCCAGTTTAAGTTTGTGTTCCAGAAAATTAACATCCATAACCGTGCATAATTCAAATATATTCACCATTTATAAGGTTCTCGGCTTTTGATGCCTTGGTCTCCTAAATTCTTTCATGTTTTGAACTAGTTTTTCTACATTTTTTTTTAATTGCAAGTGTTTTGTAAATTAAATAATAAGTTATTGAATGTTTTAGAGCGTATATCAGTGTAAGAGATAGGGGAGGACTCCTTAGGAGGCAAATACTGACATCTATGTTACCGAATGCTGTCTGCTCCAGCAGATAAACCTAAATTGTTTCTTTAAATGTCCCTCTGGCACTGAAATGTTTGAGCGGAAGTGTTTAACTAAACACATTTTATTAAAAGATCAATTCAGGATATACAGAATTAACTTCCATTGGTTTCCATGGTGATTGCTCCAAGTTTAGAAATGTGCACCAGAATTCATGTTGCCAGTTAACCCCATGTCTTTCATATGTTGAAATACAATAAATGTAATAAAACCTTTTTAAATGCAATTTTAACAATTTACCAATTGTATTTGTTTAGTGAAAATCTTTTAATCAAGTTACAGGTTCAAATAAAGAACTTGCTCATTTTAGTTTTTACACTATTAAATTTGCCAGATTGGTTTGCTGGGCATATGTTATATTTGAGACCGAACGGCAGCCCAGGAATGAAAATTAACCCAGTTATGGCATACCATTTGTAAAAGTAGACAACCCAGGGTATTCAAATGGGGTATGTTCAGCCTTTTTTAGTAGCCACTTAGTCACAAATCCTAGCCAAAGTTAGTGTTGTTTTTTGCATTTTTCACAAAGTAAACTGCCCTTTCACTAATGATATCAGCAGCATTATAACATTTACTGCTCTAAAACACATTTGTATTCAGCAATGTCTCATGAGAACTACAGTACACCCCTTGTACAGGTTTTATGGTGTTTCTGAAAGTTACAAGGTCAAATTTAAGGCTTGCAAATTATATTCTCTGGGTGGGTTGTCAGGTAGGTCCCTCAAGATATAATTAAATACATATTTTTATTTATAGTTCATGAAAGTCCATACTTCCCATTACACACTTTTCGACTAGTGGCAGCAGCTCAGCTTTTTGTTAGTTATTTTTTTTTTTTTTTTTTGGAATAAAGCAGATAGGATAAATAAAGCAATAATATGACGCTTCTTTAAATAGATACTTCCGAAAAGGCACCTTCTTCGGCCTGGCATGTTTTGCAAATATGCCTGTTGAGAGTGAGGTGGAACGAGGAGCCCGTATGAAGTCTGTGGGAATCCTGTCACCGTCCTACACACTCCTGTACCGCTACATGCACTTCCTGGAAAATCAAGTCCGGTGAGTTGTATATGAAGGGTGATAAGGAGAAAATAATGGCCAGAATGGAAAAAGGTTTTCTGAAAATACAGGAAATGGCTCCTACATTATCAAACTTGTGTGCCTTGTTTGTAAAGCTTTGTATCCATTCCCCCTTCCACCCTAAATAAAATCTTAAGTTGGAATTCTTGCCAAGAAATGTGTTTTTTGGAAACAGATTTTTTTCTCCAAGATACGTGCTTCATTTGTATAAGCAGAATGCAGTACAGCTGCACCTGGATCCTCTGTCAGAGGCCCTACTTACACTAGGTGTGTGTAAAATGGGAATTATGACACCTTATGAGGCAGAGTGACATTATAGGGTTCTAGATAGTTGCTTAATATGGTTGTATCTTATATGAGAGGATTATAAACCACATTTGTTGGCAAATGTTACATAGATTAGTTTAGGAAAAGGTGCATGTTACATATTCATGAACCACTTTATTGTGTAACTGATTTTGAATTTTCTGGTTGTCCATAGTGAAAATCAATAAAGATATATTGGTTTGCCATATTTAATGTACTATCGGTGCATATTAACATTTATAAGTAAATTTACAAACACAGAACACAATAAAAGCACTGTTTCGTATTTGTTGGCAAATCACTTTTAAGCCCTAAATTACTCTGTGCAGATTGCAAGTTTGAGGCCCCACGCATCTCTTGGGATAAGGATGATAATTGGAGCCAAGGATGGCCAAGCATCTTCATCATTATTAATATTATTATTGTCAATTATATAGCTCCAACAGATTCCGTAGCGCTTAAAGGACCACTATAGTGCCAGGAAAACATACTCGTGCCCCCACCCTCAGGGACCCCCTCCCGCCCGGCTCTGGAAAGGGGTAAAAACTTACCTTTTTCCAGCGCTGGGCGGGGAGCTCTCTGCCTCCGATCCTCCCCGTCGGCTGAATGCGCACGCGCGGCAAGAGCTGCGCGCGCATTCAGCCGGTCACATAGGAAAGCATTCATAATGCTTTCCTATGGACGCTGGAGTGCTCTCACTGTGAAAATCACAGTGAGAAGCACGCAAGCGCCTCTAGTGGCTGTCAATGAGACAGCCACTAGAGGAAATAGGGGAAGGCTTAACCCATTCATAAACATAGCAGTTTCTCTGAAACTGCTATGTTTATGAAAAACTGGGTTAACCCTAGCTGGACCTGGCACCCAGAGCACTTCATTAAGCTGAAGTGGTCTGGGTGCCTAGAGTGGTCCTTTAATATTATGAGAGGGGGGATTTAACTATAAATAGGTCAATTACAAGAAAACTTATAGGAACGATAGGTTGAAGAGGACCCTGCTCAAACGAGCTTACAGTCTATAAGAGGTGGGGTGTAAAACACAATAGGACAGGACAGTTCATGGCACTCTGGCCACTATCTAGGCGACCTCCTAAGGGTGCCTTTGCTAGTTTGTCTTTGTTGTTTGGTATTGAATTGACCACCTATTATATGTGATCAGTTAGAGGCAAAGTGAGATATGATATTCTATTTCCTGGTTTACTGTGGAATGTATGTATGTTTCCTTCTACTGTAGAAGGAATTTATTAAAGAAGGAAGACCTTCATAGCTTTTTATCTAAAAATGGAATGTTTATTTTAAAGTTGTGTTTTTTTTTTTATGAAAAGTGCAGTGATCAGGAAGGAGACAATTAAAATTGACATTGTTCATTTAATGCCTGGAACAGATTGTGTTCCATGGAAAATTGTCAGCAACTATTGCAAATATTTGATGATCAATGTATTGTAATGAGTGAGACTGTATGAAAGGCATAGTTGTTTATAATTTGACTTCGTAACAAGTAATTTAAGCAGCCATTTCTGCCATCCGTCTACTGTTTCATAAAGTGGTAGTATTGTATCCTCTATGCATCCCTCATGTGCTGATATTACTCTCACACAAACCAGCATTTCTTGGTGCTGTTTAGTGTTTTAAACCTTTTGGATATGACCTGTAGTTATGTGTTTTATAATGTGCGCACTGTATGAAGTTATACATTTAATCCAAAAGGGCACGTCCGCATCTATCACAGCAGGAGACTTCTGTAGAAGGCAAAATAAAGTGCAACACCTAAAGGTGCCCCCTGCCCCTCTCCAATACTGATAGATAATCCATTATCATCAAAAATGACTATTTGTGCATGTGGCCCTCTTCATTGTTCGACTCTGGAAATCCTAATTGTGGACAACCCAGCCCAGGGCAAATTGTATCTGCAATATATAATTTGCAGGTCTATAGCATCTGGAGATCTACTGTTTTCCTGTCTCGCCAGTTCTGGAATTTGAAATTGATGTATATGCAGCAGTGTGTTATGGCTGAGTTCAGGTTCTAAAATTCAGACTGAAATATTTTAATTCTAAAAATTCATGGTACACATTTAGTGGATCTGTATTGTACATTTGGAATTTACAGTGAACGTATTATTCTCCCTGACACCTTTATCTTGTCATGCAGACATCAGCTTGAGATCCCAGGTCACTATACTCCCCTGGAGGCCTTCTATGAAGACAAGAAGGGGGTCCTGCCAGTGGGTGTCAGTGCCCAAAACTGCCAACCTACCATACACTGGCTGCCTTCTCTACACAGACATCTGTATCCAGAAATGAAGGTAATGGCACCTGCAGAGAATTGATGTAATTCTATATTAAACTGCTCTTCACTCCTTCTATTCAGTACACACTATGCATTAAGCAGGTTTCTCTCATTTACCATGATTTAGATAACACACCCAGCTGGATGCATGTCACAGTTCATTAAGTTCTTTGGGGAGCAGATATTTGTGCTGTGGAAGTTTGCACTGCTGCGAAAACGTATCTTGATATTCTCACCTCCACCTGTTGGCGTGGTCTGCTACAGAGGTAAATGGGGAAATTGGCTTAAAGTTTGGGGATTTGTTTTACTAAATGACTACAGCAAACAATAATTGTATAGAACTGTCATGTTTACGTTTTTTTTTTTTCTCATGCATACCCTTTCTACAGAGCAGTACATTGGATAAAATTACTAGTCGCTGGTGACGAGAGAACTTGCATCAACATACAAGGAATCTGCTCAAATGTGCAACCTTATTTCACTTTGTCACCAATTTCTATGCAGGGTTATTCTCTACAGAGGGAATTATTGGGACCTCCAAATGAATTGCAAATGTTATGCCAAAATAAACAAATTGGAAAAATTCTCCACTAGAAAGTATTTCCCAAAATTAGAAATTCACTATGAATGCCCTACCTTTCTCATTTTAGTAAATAAACCTGATATGAAGTTTAGGGTGTTTAATTTTGTGATTTTGCAGTAAAGTTCTTGGATATGTAGTTTAATCACTTGTAAAAAGACATTTAACATAGAGTAATCTCTACAAATATTCATAAATACTTTAGGAGAATGCAGAAATCAAATGACCAAATGTTATCACTGTCAATTGCCAATGGCTCTAAGGTCTTTATTTTATTCACATGGTCATTAGTTTAAATTTTTCTTACCCTTTTTGCCTATTTTCGCTCGAACGTCAGTTATGATTGATTTGTTTAGCCAATTATTATTTTTTTTAAACCATGTAAGCTAAACGATTTCTTTGGCCAGTAAACGCCACATCTTACTTGCCTTCCTTGGCAAAAAAAAATAATATATATATATTTTGAGTGCAGCGGATAGGCTATTGTAAAGTAATTACATTCAGAACTCTTGTTTTACTTAATTAAAAATGCAATATTGCCTTACCTCCCAAAAAAACCATAAGCGGACATTTTTCATTATATATTACGTCATAAGTATGTTATGGGTTTCACTAATTAACTCTTAATTATCTTCCCACTTAGTTTGGTTTTTATTTTTCATTCATTGGGTTTCCTGCATATTTAATTGGTTATACAAAAAAGATCTAATGAGGGCGCTAGACACTTGAAAAACAGTCTGGTCTCATAATAGGACTGGCTTATACTGTTGTTTGTTATTTTTTAACATTTTATATTTGCAAGTTTTGCATAATAAAATGTATATGCTTTTACTACACTGTTTTTCTAGTGTCTAGCGCCCTCATTAGATGGGTTTATACCCATCTTTTTTGTATATTTGGATTTGTGGTCTATTGGAGTGTGCCTGAAGAGTGGCAGCTTTTCCATATGTAGAACCCTGAATCTGGATCTAATCTTGTTTTGTATTTTATTTAATTGGTTGCTTATAATTCCCTCTCTTCATCTTTATTTTGGTTTAATTGCCGGATGGCTCATTGAATGCCCCTTGCTGTCGCAGTATATTGTTGCTGCTGCCTAGCTAACGTCACACTGCCTGGCATTGGGATGACTGCCCCTGAATCCAAGCCATTCTTCTATGTAAACGTGGCTGACATAGACACCCTGGATGATGAAATTTCTTACGTGGCCTGTGAGTATACAATTAAGCAAATTACAAAGTGTGGAAGTTGTGTGTCCCTGTCTCTAAAGTGATGCGTTAGACGTGAGAAAGGGAGGATCTCCTAAAAGCTTGTTCCAAATATATTAACACACTCAACCAATTATGCATAAATTTTAAGGGTACTGCTGAGGACAATTAATACAACTTTCAGAATCTGGCGTACTCACTAAACATCAGCAGAGCTCACAAAATGTAATATTTTCTTTGTTTTGTGGTGGGTTTTTTTTTGTTTTATTTTAAAACACTTTCCTTAAAGTAATGGGGGTTTATTTACAGTATATGATCATACATTGCAAAAGCCTGTCATTGGGCCAGGGTACCCCTTTTTTTTTTGGCAGGTACGATTCTAACAACCTGATGCTGCACTTATGAGATTAACTAATTTACCAGGGAAATGCATCCTCCTGGGACTTTCTGCAGTGCAAGGGTAAAACAGAAAATTGTTACAATACTTACCGTAATTTTCTTTTCTTGGCCAATATCCATGTCAGCATCACCTGTGGGTTAGCTCCTCCCTCTCAGCTGATAGGACAGGAATCTAAATTTTATATGATACTGTATAAGGAATCCACCTCCCCTGAATAAGCAGTCTCATTACCAAGTCAGTCCAGAAAAAAGGGAGGGTTTGTTGATGCTGACATGGATATTGGCCAGGAAAAGAAAATTACGGTAAGTATTGTAACAATTTTCTATTATCCTGGCCAATCAGTGTCAGCATCACCTGTGTGACTTCCCAAGCGAAAGTAAAGGGTGGGTGATAATAAAAACAATTGTACCATATCAATGCTATACCAAATTTAAAGGGACACTATAGTCACCAGTGCAACTACATGTATTCCTGACCCTATAGTGGTAACACCACTATCTAGCCCCCCTGGGCCCCTCATGCCTCCATAAATATAGCCAAAATCTTACTATATTCAAGCCAGAAGCTGTAACTCTGCATGCTGTTTGCCTAAAAAGAAAAAAGTCTGCTGACATCATTAGAAGTTGTAGCCTGATCCAGTCACAGTGTTTCCCCATAGGATTGGCTGAGACTGACAAGGAGGCAGATCAGGGGCAGAGCCAGCATGATTCAAACACAGCCCTGGCCAATCAGCATCTCCTCATAGAGATGAATTGAATCAATTAATCTCTATGAGGAAAGTTCAGTGTCTGCATGCAGTGGGAGGAGATACGGAATCACAGGATGCTCGTGCACAGCAGATTTGAGTGGATGGAGGCATATTATGCCTCCATCAACTCCTAAGTCCCTCTGGTTCACTGTGAGTGACTGCAACTGGAGCTTTCAATGTAAACACTGTATTTTCTCAGAAAATATAGTGTTTACATGAGAGGCTGCAGGGAGCTATAGTTCTCACCTGAACAACCTCATTAAGCTGAAGTGGTTCAGGTGACTATAGTGTCCCTTTAATCAAACATTAGTTGTGGAAGTAGGACATTTCTCCCAAATGAGGAGGCACAGGAGCCTGAAACGTCTAGGCGATAGTGCCTCACAAAAGTGTTGAAAGATGGCCAGTTTACAGCCCTACAAACTTCTTCTGTAGAAGTATCCGCCAATGAGACTAAGACAGCCCTATGTCCAGAGAGCCTTAACACCTTCCGGCACTGTTTTGTCAGTGACCCTGAATCGCAGAAGTAATCGATCTCCTAATAGTAGAAACAGAGGCAGATATACATTTATGGTAACCAAAAAGGTACAATGATAGTCTATTTGACTTACTAAATTCTTTAGTACGATCAAGGTAAATGCGCAAAGACCTAACCCCATCCAAAGTATGCCAAAGGGATTCTTCTTCAGAAGAAGGGCTTTCCAAGAAAGAAGGTAGGATAATCTCCTGGTTCAGGTGAAATTAGAAAGGGAACCTTTTGAATGCATATCGGAACCAACCTTAGAAGTAAAAGGATGATCAGAAGAATGAGCTTGTGATTCCGAAGCTCTTCTGGCTGAGGTGATGGCAACAAGGAAAACACATTTCAGTGTTAAGACCCCTAAAGATGAAGAATCCATAAATTTAAAGGGTGTGCCTGTCAGACTATGCAAAACTGTAGGCAAGTCCCATATTGGGATGAACTTTTTAAACAGATGGTCTAATTATCATTGCTCCTTTTAAAAACCTTTAATTGTACTTTAAGAGAACTAAAGTTCAAACCTCCATTCACACCATTTTGTAAAATATCCAACAAATAAGGATGATTAAGAGTTTCAGAAACGTTTCCAAGATCAACATAAGCTTTCTAGATTTTATTGTACACTTTTGGCGTAGTGTGGCTGCTAGCTTCGAGAATAATCTCCACTACATAATCTGATAAGCCTCTAGTTTTCAGAAAGTTCTTCTTAATCTCTAGGCCTTCAAACGGAGTCTTGCAGGATCTTTGTGGAGAACTGGGCCCTGTGATAATAGGTTACTCTTGATTGGCAGTTCCCAAGAAACTCCTTGTGACAGACTTAACAGCAGTGGAAACCAAGGCCTCCTTGGCCAATAAGGAATAATTGCCATCACCTCTACATTTTTCCTTCCAGGTCTTTTTGAAAGTTATCTGGATTAATGGAAGGAGAGGGAATACATATCCCAGTCAAAATTTCCATCTCTGTGTTAAGGTATCTTGACCTTTGCTCTTGGGTCAAAGCTTATGGAATAGAGAAAAGGGGGAACTTGTTTGTTTCTATAGTTCACCATCAGATCTATATCCGGTGTTCTCCAAAGAGCGCAGTCTACTTGGACGTACATAGTGTCGGCGACATCATTCAGTTGTCTTGGAAGATGTATTGAGCTCCCCAACTTTATCCGCTGGCATCTGTTGTCACTAATTCCGACTCTGAGTCCCCTAGCGGGAAGCCTCTCCTGATATTAACTACTGAAGAGACATTCTTACTTCTTCTGCGATCCAGAGCTTTTGTTTCCATTCTTGATTGAGCTGCTCGAATAATTTTTTCTGTGTTATTCTCAGGTTCCAGTGTGCCCACCTCACTAAAGTTGAGGTTGATATTTGTTGGAGGTTTATAATACAGCTGAAAGTCCTGAATGACTATCTCTGTATCTCTTATCAGTCTTACTTTTGATTTGTTCACAATCAGTATATCTTCCAGATAATGGAATATTCTGATTCCTTATTCCCATAGGAGACCATTTAGGCTGATCAGGATCTTTGTGAATGTACTGGGTGCGACACTTAGACCAAACAGAGTTTTAAATGACTGTCAAAAATCTTAAACCTTAGATACTGTCTGTGCACAAGTGGTACAGGGATGTGATAGTATGCGTTTTGAAGATCTATGGAGGTTAACCATTCTGTAGGATATATATTTGAGGAATCATAGTCTGAAGACTCAACATCTTGAAAGTTTTTCTTTAATAGCGAGTTTACCTTTTCCAGATCATAATTCATTCTCTATTTTAGAAAGAGTATGCAGAAGAGTAAATTCCTTGAAATCTTTCTTTGTAAGGAATATAAGAAATCACTTTCTGTTGAAGGTGCTTTTCTAGGCATTCTTGGATAGGTTTTTCCTTTCCTCTATAACTCACAGAACTGAAAGATCTGTTATGTGCAAGGACCAGATTCGATTAAATTTTGCAAGGCGGGCTCCTACCTTGAATATCTGTTTCCTGCCAAACAAACGATTTTCCTCTTCCTGTTTTGGGTTTTGGAGGATTGACTCTGTTGTTCCAGTATGTAACCAGAAAAAGTTCATTCAGATTACTGGTTTCCAAGTACGTCCAGGGGTTTTTACTATTACCCAATTTAATGGTACTCATTACATCTACCTCTGAGGAATGAAGAGCTGAGTCAACACTGCCAGGATCTGAACTGCAACCCTCAAGGGGAAGGGGGAGGAATAGATTCTACTGATGATGTATTAGCCAGCTGAGCTATCTCATCAGCCTCTAGCTGAAAAGAGACTTGCGTCCATCAAGTTCAGTCTCTCTCACATATGTTTTTTCTGTTGATCTAAAGAAAGGCAAAAAAAAACCCCATCTGAAGCGCTTCCTATTTTGCAACAAACTAGGAACAAATTCACTCTGGACTTCAAAATGGAAGTCGGATATCTCCTTGGAACATGGCACCCTAGAATATTCTCTCCCAGGCTATAAGATCTGGAGTCTCCAAAAGGAATGTTGTTCCCAGCGGACCTCTCCAAAACCTATACACTAAACTATACCCCCTTAATCGAACAAGCACAGGCAGATCTACAAAGATGGAACCCTATGCTGGCTCGGCAGAATCGCCTCGATTAAAAATGAACCTCCTACCCAAATTTCTCTACCTGTTCCAGGCCCTGCCCACCCTCATCTCCAGACAAGACTTCTAGGCACTCCAAACAAAAATAGATTAATTTGGGCAGACAAAAAGCCAAGAATCAAGAGGACTACTATGTACAAAACCATCAAAACCGGAGGTCTAGGCCTCCCCAACCTCCTCCACTATTACCAAGCGGCTCAACTGGCCCAGGTACAACACCTCCACTCTCCACCAGGGGTAAAATTTGAGTTGATCTAGAACACGATCTCCTGGGCAGAGACCACCCCTCACTCCTCTTCTGGCTTCCCAAACGAGATAGACCAGACCTTCCACCGACAACACCAGCCCTGACCACCTCCCTACATGCTTGGGACACGACCACTGCACGTCACCCCATTATAAACTCCCCATCACCACTCACCCCAATTCTGAGAAATAAACGCTTTCCCCCCGACATGATACCTCGAGACTTTGCACATTATGAGGACAACGGACTGACCAGATATAGGGACTTTTTCCACAACCAGCAAATCATACCATTCCAAGAACTCCCAAACACCGTACCACTAAACACCTTCGATCACTTCCGCTACTTACAACTGCGCAGCTTCCTAAATGAACCACAGAACATAATGACAGCCACCACAAAACTCACACAATTTGAGAGAACCTGCCTACATACCCCTACACACAAGGGACAGATCTCCACAATCTACTCCCAATTAAACTCCAACTCCCCATCCAATACACTTAACTACACAAAGGCATGGGAAAGAGACATAGGCCCACCAAGTGACCCATCAGACTGGGTAGATATATGGGAAGCCACTGCCTCGCTCACTATATGCGTAAACCACAAGGAATAAGCATATAAAACGATGCTCAGATGGTACTTGACACCCTTGAGACTAAGACGAATGAGGATAGCCCCCACAAACACCTGCTGGAAAAAATGCGGACATCAAGGAACCTACATTCACATGTGGTGGCAATGTCCACAAAGCTCACAACTCTGGACCTAGGTCGCCGACCTCTCATCTAGAATATTGCACGAAGACATACCCATGGATATGGCTACTCTCTAAGCCCCACTCTAACCTACCGAGAGCACAGAACAAGTTGGTGACGAAGCTAGCTCTAGCCACAAGACGCACTATAGTAGAACAGTGGGGAAACCACAACACACCTACATTAGCGATAATGATCCAAAAAAACAACGAAGCCATGGAAATGGACAAACTCTCAGCCATCCTACATGACACAACAAAACACTTCCACAAAATCTGGGACCCCTGGATCACAAGGCACCTAGTAGGGGTGTAGGGGAAGAGCTGGGGCGTGCGGCCGCACCGGATACCCCCCCACCCTCACCCCATCACACTGCCCCTCTCACCACCCACTACCCTTCCCCTATCCCCCCTCAGGTTACCCACCACAATTCCCAGAACCACTATGCACGCACGCGAGACCACGCTGAACCCACTACGGCAGGGACCCCACAAGCCACCCATGACCACCCATTAAAAGACAGGACCACCTCCGCAAACAACACACAAGCACAACCACGACACACACACCATCGAACAAAACCACCGCTATACTCTACAACAAGCAACAACATAGACACAGAGGACCGCAGGGGCAACCTTCCCTAAACGAAAACTACACAAAGCCCACAGACCATCCCTCATGACAACACACATGACCAAGGAGGGTACCCTTTCCCTCATGGAAAAGACAAACCTCAGTACGCCACCCAAATGGGAATCGGGTACGCAACGACCGAAACCCACTGGGAGAGATACAAGAAACAAATGTCATATGGTTCGAACCACTACTCTCTCTAATATCACCACAAAGGTTCAGCGCTGCTATATGCCGTTTGAAAATCTGTTACCCCCCCACCCCTTCTGTACCCCACCGACACAAATGGTATACATGATAAAATTGTATAACTAGCACTACACATTTCTGTATTGAAGACAAAAATGTACCATAAACCACGCTACCCAAACTTATTTCTTCTGTACCCCTTCCCCCAGAAAATCTTTAAAATAAAGAATTTATAAAAAAAAAAAAAGGAATGTTGTTCTTTGTATTCTCTGCTCCACCCGTTAGGATATTGCTTTATTCTTCTGTCCTGTGGCAGGAGAACTTTTTTCCTCTTTAGTCACCTTAGGTAGCATCGTCTAAGGGTTTTCCAAATAGAAGGTTTCCATGAAAGGAAGGAAGTAAGTATAGGTTAATTTTAATGAATTATCTGCCCCCATTGCTTTCAACCAAAGGGCCCTCTTGGCTGAACCTGAATGGCCCATATCTTTGGATATAAGCTTGGTAAGGACTACCAATGCTTCTGTGATGAAATCTTAAGTGAATTTTAAATCCTTTTAAATTTTCAGTAATGTATCTCTGTTAGTGCCTTTAGAGATGTCTTTACTAAGCGTATCGGTCCAGACACTTAGAGCCCTTGGCAACAATGTTAAGTCCACTGCAGGATGCATTGCTGCTCCTAAAGAGTAAGTCTTGACCAGGTTAGCATCCAATCGGTTTTTCATTGGTTTCCTCAAAGATGCTGCACGGTCTATTGGTAAAACCGTTGTTTTTGCCACTTTGATTATAGCCGCATCCACTCTGTGTTGTGTTTTTAAAATAGTAGAATCAATGGCACCCAAGAAAAGGATTTGAATTCATGATTTTCTTTTTTGAGGGAGAGTATCAGGATTTGAACTTGAGACCAATTGATCTGCAGTCACATTCTATACCCCCGATTTTCCAGAATTATGTGCCTGATAATTGTAATGGGAATATGTCGACTTTCCCTTGAGTTGAAAAACGTTTCCCCCCCAAAATTTTTTTATCCCCATTCTGATTCTATCAGATGTTTAATGATGGAGTAGAAAGGGAAATAATTATTCTCCTGTGCAGGTCCTCAAAGTATATATCGGAGTCCTTAGCTTCTCCACAATTCTCTGGGATTCTTAGAGTGTCACTAATTAGATAAATTAGTGAATCAGCCACTTAACTGTCTAGGTTAGAAGTGTAATCCATGCTCTCTTCATCCTCTGAGTTAGAGCCATCTGGGATATGAACCTCTGACATAGATCTTGAGGAATCTTCTCTTGCTCTTTTAGTTTTTTAGAGGAATGACCCTTGCAAGTCGCCTCTTTAATCCCCATATTCTTAGAAATTACCTCAGCCAGATTTGGGTTAATGGTTTCTGCAGATACAAATACTCCTTCATCTGCTATGATTAAAAGCAGTGTCTTCATACATTTTCCCCTTCAATTACATCAGATGGGCAGGTATGATATTTCCTGGATTTTCTGTTATACTTGGAACGTTATCTCTCATGCTGTATCAGGCTGCAATATATATACACATATATGTATCAGTAGGATTGTGTGTGTGTGTATGTATGTATGTGTATATATGTATATGTATATATATATGTATATACACACACTCACCACACCTCCCCCCCCCCCTTTTTTATTTTTTATAATATAGATAAAAAGCTCACCTTATACTTCTATATCTCATTCTAGAGGGGGAGGAAGAGGAAGCCAGGGTCACCAAAAGGCTGCTAAACAATTGAACGAATTACAAACGTATACCAGCAAAATAAAATATTTTCAAAACATTTCATATCGGATTATAGTAAACCCCTTAGCTTTATTAATAATATTTGGGATAGTTAAAACCATCAGTGGCATTTTGTACCAGGAGTGGGGTCTGAACCCACGTGGACATTTGTCCATTGGAACATGTACCAGGAGTGGGGTCTGAACCCATGTGGGCACAACACATTTTAAGGAGATCAATAATATTAGAGATGGTTAAAACCATCCGTGGCATTTGAGGACACCATTGCTAAAGATCAGGGTTAAAACCAACATTAGCAGCTGCAAATTCACCAAACAAACCATCCAGAAGGGATAACTGCCTTTTAAAAAAACAAAAACAAAAAAAAACCGACCTGCATCACCTGCTGGCCAAGAGCCGATCATTAAGGCCATGTTGCAATCCATGCTGGCGGATCTGCGCTCCAATATAGCAGCCAAATTCTCAAAATTTAATTCAACAGTAGACTGGGCACTCAACCGACTTACGCTCCTAGAGGCCACCTCCAGCAAACATGACTCCAGGCTAACCACCATGGAGCAGAGGCTGGAAGAGATTCACTTGACCCAGAGAGGCATGCAGGCCAGGGTTGATACCCAAGAAGACCAGAGGCAACGGTACAATCTCAAGCTGAGGGGCATCCCTGACACAGCACTGCGGCTCCTTTCAACCCTGTTACCATCTAAACCGGCAAAGGTACTAAAATTGGACGGCATGTTTAGGTTACCAAAACCAAAAAATGCCCCTACTACTGCCATGGCGGACCTTTTTCTCCGCTTTCAAACAATGCAAGACAAAGCCTTAATCTTATCGACGGTGAGAGGGAAAAGCCCATTACAATTTGAAAGCTCCTCACTACTTCTGTTCCCTGACCTAACCAAAAAGACATTACTCTGGCGTAGGTCCATGAAACGCCTGCTACAAATCCTTAGATCCCAGGAAGTGACATACCGCTGGGGTACCCCCAGACTTCTCATACTCGCCCACCAGGGAGGCACCTACAGAGCTAAGAACCCACAAGAACTAGAGGACAGCATGCGCAGCTTGAAGCTGCTACCTGAACAGGACGCCTCAACCTCTCATCTTTCACACCTCGGTCAACCCCTGGACGCCTGTCTGCAACACCGGTAACCTGACTGACCTGATCCACAAAGTCTACCTGCAGGAGGTATCTTAAACAACAAACCAGAAGGACTATATAAGACCGCACGATCTTGCCTAAAAGTTACCTGTCAACAGTTCCATAGTTTTTGTACTTTTATTTTTGTTGGCTTTTCTTTTTATCTGTTGCTGTGCTCCCACTTTGCTCCTACACTCTGCAACACTGCAGTTTAACTCAGTGGGGTGGTGACATACCCCGACCTGGACGCTATCCTGATATACTCACTCAGAGGGTGCATAACACTTGAGAAGACCCCACCTCCCCAATCTCTATAGTACGATACACATGTGCTCTAGTTATAATATGGGAGGGGTCCTACACTTTTTGGACTCTACCTGTTAGGCCCCCACACCTAGAAATAAAAAAAATCCTCTCTCCACACTCACACACACTGTCTGAATGTCATGCTTGTTTTGCATCGCTGTAAACCTGCTATCTGTTGCATACTCCCTAGTGGAGTGAGGCAAAAAAATAAAGAATTTAAAAAAAATAAAATTGTAGAATTTAGTCCAGCAAAGTCCAATCTTCAATTACTATGAACTACCATATTAATCCTAACCCAGGGAGCCCCAAACTGCTTGGGCTGTATCTGGGTTCTTCCTTGGGGGGAGAGGCTGGACTCACCTTGAATGCCATAATGAAATACTAATGGCAGGTGAACTTTAAAATAAAACTGCTGTGCTGCCTAACAGCTGAAGGCAGGAAAAAAGACTGCTTATTCTGGGGAGGTGGATTCCTTATATACAATCATTTAAAATGTAGATTCCTGTCCTATCAGCTGAGAGGCAGGAGCTGACCCATAGGGATGCTGACATGGATTGGCCAGTAAATAGGGCCTTGCAATGAGTCTCTGTGACAGGGAGCGGTGCAAGACCAAGGCAATTGGCCTGGACTCACTAATTTGCATGCATATGAAACCAAAAAGGCTGCATTAAACTGACCATACGCGCATTATTTGGGTGCTACTGGGGACAAATATAGTGCTCCCCTCTTTATTCTAAAAATATTATATGCCATAAATTTGTCTTCATAGTTAATTGGGTGGGTGGGTGTTTTTTTTTTATTTTATTTTTTTTTATTTTTTATTTTTTTTAGGGTTGGTTGCAGTTGTCCACATCTACATGTTGTTTTCTTTTTCCAGGTACAACGGAGAAGATATTTGAACACAAGCAAGATCTGTATGATGTGTATGTAGACAACCAAAATGTGAAGACTCACTTGGAGCACCTGCAGCCCCTTCTGAAAGTTAATAGTGCAGACAAAGAAAAGTACCGGCGGTTAAATGACCAAAGGTGACAGTACACATCTTTGTAATTGCGATGTCAGCTGCAGTATTCTTGCATTTAAATAGCATTACTTAAGTAACCGCAATGTTTAAAAATGGCACTGTAAGAGGTAAATAAACTCTGCTATGATGGAAAGTATTAAACAAAACGAAAAAACACGATCTGAAATATTAGCATATATGGAGAAATATTATCGTCGTATCATACACTAAGAGTGACCATTATAACAGTACAATGCAGTTCTAACATTTGTTCTTCAAACTTCCTTTGCTTGTGGGGGAAGTGGCAAGGGTTCCCATTTCCAATGTTTCAGCCAAAATGCTGAGAGACAGGATAGATCCCTGGTAAATTTGTGTAAAAGAATTAAGCAGAGAAAAAAGGCAAGTGTAAAACAACAGAGTGTATTGCCTTTCATTAATCTTATTTGCCTAAAAAAAAAAAAAAATATATATATATATATATATATATATATATTATTTTTTTTTTATTATTGTTGATATATAAAGCACGCAATTGTTCTTCCCTGTTTGAAATATATCCTTTTGTTTGCTTTTATGTTGAAAAGTCTATTTTTTCATATCAGCAAACCTTTTGCCTTCTGTTCTGCTAATAAGAGTGAATCAGTCCAGGCAATGTGGTGGCATACCTAGAATTCCTAGGAATATCTTGGTTGGTCGTTTGACTTTTTTTTTTTAATTGGCATCATTTTGAACCACTCTCTCTTTGATTATCACTTCTCTATGTCTTCTGTACAGAAAACAATGGTTTAGACAAAATAGCAGAACTGGACAGGCAACCTTCAGTACTACCTTGATGAAAATACTTAGTGCTTCTGTCCACAATAGCTGTACTGCTGGAGGTTGCCTGCCTGTGCTGTTTTGTCATACCACCTGTCTCTTTGGCAGTCATGCTACCAGGCATAGAGGAAAGAATGAACAACATTGTGGACTGTAGTGGTGTTTTTGGTAACTTGGGTTTCTAATATGTTCTTCTGGTCCCTGTGCAGGCAGCTGTTCATGTACACACAAGAAGTGGATGGCGATTGTGGTTCCTGTGAGGAGGACCTTTTCATCCTGTGAGTGTCAAATGCCACTTTTCTTAAATCCCTTTGTTTTAAACACAATAATTTATGTACCCCTATCAGAGATTGTTAAACCTATGACATTTTGAAAGTTTATTTACATTTTTTTTTTTTTAAAACAAAAGTTGACCTTTCCCCTTTAAATATCAACCTTTTCCCAAATGTGAATAACTGTTTTATTTCTGATTCCTAGCTTTTTCATGGAACAGAACAACAGAATTTTCCAAATATTGCTTGAGGTGGCTTCCAGCCAAGACAAGACTTTGACAGCTGAGCATGCTCGCAGCATGGGCCTCGATCCACAAGGCGACAGAAGCTTCCTACTGGACTTGTTGGAAGTGTATGGCTTTGATGTCATGCTGGTCATTGACAACCCCTGCTGCCCGTGACTCTCACCCTGGGACCGCTGAGATTTTATTTTCTCTTGTAATTCACCTGTGGATATGACCCCTACTTGCAGCTATCTTACTTTACTGGTTGAGCTACTTGTGGGAAGCCCTGAACTTGCCTTGATATCTGTCTCTCATAAGACGTGCAATAATATCATACCTTTAAAATTACAGGGAAAAAACAAATTCAACCGCTAATGTACTTTGTCAAGAGTTTATAATATTGATCAGGGCCGTAATCTGATCTTGCTCTCTGTATTTTTTTTTTTTTTTTATTTAATTTTGAAAAACTCAGTTAAAGCTCAGCAGTGGAAAACTTAAATATTTTTCTTTGCCAGCTAGGACCTTCTTGATCCACTATTAACTGTTTTCATGGAACCATTTGAAAATCAAAACTTGAAACTTATCAATCTTTCATCTCTAAAATAACGTGTCCCTGGAAAAACAAAACACATCGATTTCCTGTGAAAATTAAGCTTGTTTTGGTCTCTGTATTCAAACTGGTCAACAGCAGGAAACTCTATTACACCAATGCTATGCATACATTAGAGTATGTGCAGTGGGAAATTGGCTACTCACTATAACCTGCATTAGATGATCATCAGGGCATTTGAGTATGTAAATGAAAATATACTGTGTTTTTTTTGGCTCAGATGTCCGGTTCCAATTGTAAAGCATTTTTTTTTTAAATCACATTTTTTTCTCCCCCCCCCCCCCTTCTCCCCCTTTCTGCATAAATAGAAGGCATTCCAGTCTGCGTGCACTCCTACTTTTTAATGTAAATTTTAACTCTTTATTTTAAATATCAGAGGCAAGATGATTGTCTGCTGTGATGTTGGTGGCTTAATGTTTTCTTCCCTTAAGTAATGTGGTAACCTGGACCAACTGAATACACCAAGACTACTAAAGAACATTTTATGTTTTCAGTGGCTCAGATTAGGAATGGAAGTGACAAACCCTCTCTATTTTCCTGTTTGTCTATATTTGTTTACGTGTGTAACTTCTGAAGAGACACTTGGAATATAGATCTGAATTGAAGGGTAGAGTGAACTTAATGGGATGTTTAAACCATGATAATATGGTACTAAAAATCCTTTTCTATTTTATTTATCATGTTAAAGAGGACCTGTGACCTAAAACATACTTGCCATACATCTAATTGTCATATTTTCATCTAATCAATCTCTATTAATTAACTGTAATTAACCACTTGAAATCACCTCTGGTTTCTCGAATTTTTTTATTTATTTTTTTTTTGTGAATGTTGCCAAATAAGCTTTGTATCCACGCATTTTAAATCCTCAGCATGTGATGTGAGCAACCATTCCAAACACTGAAAATCATAAAATAAAAAAGAAACACTATTTAATAGATAATAAGTATATATACACTTAATTAATACATGCAGGCATTTTTCATGATGACCAAGGATGTGTGCATAGTGATGTTCACACCCTGGCTAGCATTGTGCATGGGAGGTATGCGGCACCACAATTCATTTCGGGGGAGTATCCGGCACCACTTCAGTTAGCTCCACTCTGCAAATGGAAAGAGTAACCTCACCAGCTGTTTGTTAGACAGCCGAAAGGCATCTCAAAATCTACTTTTAGAAGTGCTGATTTCTCAACGAAATCTGCACTTTTATAAACTGGCATTTAAGACATATACATAAGCTGAAGTGCTTTGTATGTGTGGGGAGTGGTCCTTTTAAGCAAATAAGCTGATTTTTTCCCCAGCATTCCACAGTGCAGAGAAGTAGATATGTGGGGACTTTGTACGTAAATGATGTACCAACAGCAGCTGCTGGGAGAAGATTTAATGCTCAGATGAGAACATTCATTTGAGACATCATAGCAATAAAAGTAACTCTAACTCGCACTGTTTGTTTATGAACGTCTATAAAACCACTCCCTAATAAGGCAACTTCATCCTGAAACATACAATAAAATGTCAGTGCACAGGGCTTGCTTGATTTTATGAATTGGGTATCATGGGAAAGTTAATTTGCTTGAACTGATGTGCCTGTGAGATAAGACTTAAATTATGTATATGTAATAGCTACTTTATATTAATGCATTCAATAATACTATGAAATGTGACCCTTTATCTTTGAGTCTCTGCTTGCAACTTATAGCATTGGATCATCGTCTGGCCTTTAATGACTAATCTGTTTGCGACTGTCTTTTACAGGCTCTTTATTTTTTTTTGCATATTCTATTGAGCCAATCGCTACCTAGTTGACGTGTGCTGTGGTGACTCACACAGATGCACACAATTTAGTGTACTTGTGACTTGAGAGGTTGGCTGATGTTAGTAAAAGGGGTAGAGTCTCCCTAATTAAAACTGGGACCTCTGTGACTCTCTAGATGTTTGGAGGGACTGGAGTGAAACCAGTTGTCTACGAACGCACTACTGACATGCAAATGTGACATGGTGGCACTTTGTAACCACTATGGCCAGCATAATGTATGCTCTATAAATGTGTAGATGAAGTGTAACTTCTGGTTAAATAAAAATATAGCTATAGCCTTGGTCACTGTAGCAGAAACCTTGAGATACGGCAGCTGCGTACGCTCTGCATTGTGCGAATGTGCAGCCCAGATCAGAAAGCTAAAATAAAGTAAGCATAGCATTTAATCTATATATTTGCTGGGGATTTTGTATAGATAAAATGCATTTTACTTGTAAGGGGAATGCGGTCATCTGCACATTATAGTGTATATAGGTCTTCTTTAGCATCATTATCTTCATGCTTAAACTTACTTGCCCCATTGTGTAATAATGTTAGAAAATTAAAATAGCCGTTCTAATTCTGCGTTCCCAGATGCATGGTTAATCTTTGCAATTTAACTCATTTAGCTTGTTTTGTCCTATTTTGTAGTATCATTTGTAAAATCAAAATGTCCATTTTTATCTAGAAATTGTAATTTGCACAGGAAAGGGGGAAAGACTATGAGAGTTCTACTTCTGCCGTCCCATTGCTTTAGTGAACTAACAGTTGGTGAACCTACATGACTGCTTGAACACAGGTGGTTTAAATGAAAGCATGTCACATGCATTTTGATCTCAATTAGTGAAGCTGTTACATTTTGTGCAATTGAAGGACAATCCAACATTACACAGAAATAATTTTTTTCTACATTTGGTGTTTTTACAATTTAGCTTTAGGACCCCCAAACACTTAAGGTAAATGAGGAGGGGAATCCTCCCAGCTGTCTGACAGCCAGGAGTTGTTATCAAGGGGGAGATATTAAAAGTACAGATTACAAGAGAATATAAGACAAAGAGCACAGCCAGATAACTCTTAAAAGACTTCAGCAAGATTTAGAGAACGAGAGTGTTCTTTCAAATACATTTGGTCTAGTTAAAGTCTGATATTTTTTTTTTTTTTTTGTATTTTTTTTTTTTAAACTTTTGTAGAGCTATAGTTCAGTGGCATGTGGGGGGAAAATTGTAATAATTCTTTAAAAAAATAAAAAGGGTAAGGTGAACCAAAACTGAAAATATTAATTGCAGCAGTAATCCGGATAGACTATTATTCAATGCTCTTAATTGCCTTGTGCTATATAGAGATATATGTAGTAGGTGGTATAGTGTATTGAATCAAGCACATGAGTGCAAGGCTTAATCCCTTTGGCTACGAGTGATAAATTGACAGGACTTAACTCAGGACAGACGGGCCCCATTTTAGAAGTCAAACTGATAACAAACGACTTAAATTGGGGAGCTGATAGTGGTTATGGTGCATTCCTTTTTTTTATTTTTTGTTCTTTTCATATTGTTCTTACATGACAAAAACACTTGAATTAGCAGTGTGATTAATGTAAAAGAAAAATACATTTTACCTTAAAGGGACACTGTAGGCACCCAGATCACATTAGCGAAGTGAAGTGGTCTGGGTGCTGTGTTCCTATTGCACTTAGAACTGCAAAGTTTCCATTGCAGCTAAGTTTAAGTCTTAGGGATCAACCAATATTGTTGTTTTTTTGTTTGTTTTTTTTTGAGCCAATACGATAGTCTGTGAACTTTCAGGTCGATAGCTGACAGCTTACCAATATTCTGTACATTTACCATATTTTTTTTATTTATTTTTTTAAATAAGTGGTAAATGAACAAAATTAGTGGCTTCCCCCCCATATCCCTTAATGTTCCTCTGCCTTGTCTTTTAGTGGTCCCCCCTACCACAGTGTCCCTTTTCCCTCCCCTGTACCTTAGTGTCTTCCCTTAATGTTCACTATCCCCCCCTAGTGTTCTTTCCCCCCTTCTCTGTCCCATAGTCTTCCTTACCACCCTCCTTACATAGTGATTCAGTCTCCTGTACCCGGCTGGACTGACAGGAAGTGCTCTCTCAGTGAGCACTTCCTTTCAGTCCAGCCAGGTACAGTAAACATAAGTTCCTGTACCGCAGTGCGCACTGCTGTGCTTGGCCATGCAACACAGAGTGCATAGCAGGTGGATCGCTGTGCTCCCACTTCCTGCCAGTCACTTCGATCTAGCGCCCCGCAGGCTAGTGCACCCTTAGGTGGCCACTTGTGCCGCCTTATGGACGCGCCAGCCCACACATTCATTATCTGTATTGCCGGTGATTATCGCCCGATACTTACAAAAAATCTGAATATCGGCCGATAATATCTGCAGAACCAATAATCAGTCAATCACTACTAAGTCTGCCCTCACTGTCTACCAGACAGCCACTGGGGGCTCTTCCGGAATGTAAATGGACCTTTGGTCCATTATCTGATGCTGGACGTCCTCACGCTCTGTATGAATCATTGAATAATGCTTTCCTATGGGGAGGTCCAATGCGCGTGCGGCCAGTGCCGCACATGCGCCTTAAGTCTCCCCCGCCGGCTGATGTGGGAGCGCGGGCGGAGCTTGATCCAGCGCCGAGGGACATCAGTGCTAGATTCAGCCCAGCGGGTGTGGGGGGAATTTATTAAGCCTTTAGAGTCAGGAAATTGGCTTTGTTTTCCTGGCTCTATGGAATCCCTTTAAGTATGGTAAACTATTTTACAAATTAAATTTACTGGAGTCTTGCATTTTAATATGGATTTTGGGAATCATTTTTAGGGTTTTCCCAATTGATGTGACTGGTAACATTTAAACTGTTCTGTGAATGCAGGCCTCTGATACATTTGATGTTTTGTCCTATCCCTATTGGTTAGTTCTGTGACAAGCAGTTCCAGGTGATTATGATGGAATCTGTGAGCACCATTGGGTGTGTTAAATGAATTTAGCTGTAAATATATGGATTTGTCCTTTTCATTTTGCTTACTTCTGCTTTGCTTTAACTTATTTTGTTTGATCAGCTGGTTCATGGTATTATGTCCGACAAATGTAAAATAATGTTGGTTAGTCTTTGCAACTTACTGTGCATCATATAGGAAAAATGAAAGCCTACATTTTTCCTGTGCCGTATTTAATTTTAAGATGCAAAAAACTGCAATTTTGTTTCTTTTCTTTTCTTACTGTTCTATTTATTGAGACCTATATTCAAGCTGTGGTGTTCTTAATGCATGTCATGTATAGGTCAGGTTAGCATGCAGCTAAACCACTTCGATGTTATTGCCATGAAATGATGGTTAAAATACCACTTTGGGCATCATAACGACTCCATCTCAGTTGATGTTTTCAGTCTATCACTTGTCTCCCATTGAGAAAAGTTTTAAAAGCGTATGTAAGGAAGAGGGACCAAGAGGACAGGTGCAGTCAAGAACACTTTGGTGTTAAACCGTTCATAAATAGTCTCTCTGGTACCTCCTCCATATGTTTATAAAGTGTTTTGTCATTTAGAGGCCAGGTGATCAGCTCATGCTCTCGGCCTGTCCCCAGCATGCCACAGAAAGGCCTCTATATTGAAGTCAGGGCTGAGAGGAAGGAGGAGCATTCTGAGGTTAAACCTTGTGTAAACCTTTTAATCCCTTAGATGACACATTGCCTGGGACCTCCAGACACCATAATGGCTTTAACTCTGTATTGCCTGTTTAGTGTATCACAACCATTTTATCTTGTAGAGGTAAAGTCAATCATGTGTGTCTGCACATCCATTTCAATTAAAGGGTTGGTATAAGCACCATTATGCCTGGACTCTTTCACGGCATTGCTCAATAGGACTCTTTCATCGCGCATGCTCAATAGGTCTCCCCCGCCGGATGAAGTCGGTGGAGGAGCGTGGGCTGACCCAGTGCCGAGGGACATCACGGGATGGGGGGTGGGAGGGAGAGGGGACCTACAGTGCCAGGAAAATGGTTTGTTTTCCTGGCACTGGAGAGTCCCTTTAAATCACTTTGTTTCTGTTTATGCAGCCATTGACAGAGCCTGCATGAAAAAAAAAACTTGTTTCACTTTCAATCAGATGTGATTTACCTTAAACAGTTGTATCTCTTGCTCTGTAAATTAAACTTTAATCACATACAGGTGATTAAGCTCTTGAATGGAAGATAATTGAGCAGTGAGGCTGCAGGGGCATGTTCTATACACCAAAACTGCTTCATTAAGATAAAGTTGTTTTGGTGACTATGGTGTCCCTTTAAGGTGAATTAGTTTGGCAAGCATGGACGTCGGTCACTGCATTGTATGTTTCGTAAAGAGATCCTTTAAGCGCACTGTGGTCGTGGTGTTTGGGGTCCCTTTGAACTTTATTCTGTTTTATTTCAGATTACATTACTTTTTATATTTCTGCATTACAGAATTGGGATTTTTTTTGTTTTCTTTTCTATTGTGCAAAACTTGTAGCAGATTGTGATAGATGGTTAAATTTTGTAAGGACTACTTTTTTAATGAACAGTTACATTATCTCCTGAAATGGAATCTTTTTGCAATGGCCTTGTATATAAAAGAAAAATTATGTAAAAATAAAATAGGTATTATAGCTGGCCAGTAATAAGATCAGTATACAATATATATAGATATTTTATTGCTGATGGCTATTTTTAGCACAGAGGGTATTTCAACTACATTAACCATGATGCAGTGTAGTTTAAACATCAGTGTCTAAATTCTCCCACCCTACCATGCTTATTTTATCGATAAAATTAATTGGCACAAGCTTTATTTTTAAATGGTGTTCAAAAACTTGCCTTTTTATCATGCTATGATTTTTAACGATCTAAGCTTTATCATAAGTTGCCGGAAGTGTTCGGAGAGTATGGAAATCAAGTTACACAGGGTCTGAAATAGGGTCTTATTGAATTTAGTAGAAAATAGGGCCAAGTTATTTTTTTTATGAATAGTATCACACATATCGACACATCGCATGGTCTAATAAGTATTTTAAAAATATCATTGGGGCCATTCTACTGCCACACTTTTAAGCAAAGTTTCACATGTTTATACATTTGCTCTGTACATTTAAACATTACCTGTTAAATATTACTTTAAGGGATACTCCAGACCCCTAAAGCACTTTAACTTGTTGAAAAGCTTAGTGTAAAAAGTATCCTTTTTTTAATTGGAAAAAAAACATAAATTAGGCATTTTGTAAAAATTGCAGATTTCATTAGAAATTCACACTTTCATAAATTACCTGGTTACACCCCCTGGCTTTCAAGAAGACAACAGTGGTTTGGTTAGCTCAGTGGCACTAAACTCAAGGGGCAGCAATAACCCGGAGCACCTGCCTTGCAAAGACTTCTCATGGAGCTGCATTGGGAAGTCTCTGATTGGACAGTCACAAAGTCTGGGCAGGGTGAGAAGGGGAGGACTTGCAAAGACTGCAAACAAGAGAACTGTGGGTTTTGCAAGCTGTTTAGATTTCCACCAATGAAAAAAAAGCATAATTAGATGCATACAAGTTTTCATTTGGGGTATATTTTATTTATTTTGTATTCAGGCTGTGGAGTGTCCCTTTTGGAGTTTAGATGAATTGTAGTTATAATTGTGATACAGATCTTTCACTTTCTGGTTGCATGCAAAAAAGCTAGCTTGCAATGTAGTAGTAGTATATCAAGTGATTATTAAAATTCACTTTAGAGAATGGCACTATTTGGCCAAAGTAGCTTAAAGGACCACTATAGGGCCAGGAAAATAAACTAGTTTTCCTGACACTGTGTACTCCTTAGGTCCCTCCCACTGGGCTGAAGGGGTTAAAACACCTTCAGCCACTTACCTTTCTCCAACACTGGTGACCTCTCCTCCTGCCGACGTCCGTGCCAAATGCGTATGCGTGGCAAGAGCAGCGCGCGTTTTTAAAATGCCCCATAGGAAAGCATTACTCAATGCTTTCCTATGGCCGTAAAGCGTCTTCTCACTGTGATTTTCAGTGAGAATCGCAGAAGTGCCTCTAGCGGCTGTCAGTGAGACAGCTACTAGAGGCTGGATTAACACTCGGTGTAAACATAGAGGTTACATTGTTCCTGAATGGTGCAATCCATTGCCTTTCATGGCTCTCTGTAATGGCATCCGGTGTCTCAAATTCAGATAGAGGAAGCAAGGGCACTGCTGATTGGCTTAGATCAGTGGCAGTTCCTGCTTCCTCTATCCAAATTTCACTAACCAGTTGTTGCTGGGGACATCCAGAAACAGGGCTGGAGTGTACTCTTGGGGGGCTAAAGGGTTTGTGAACAGTTAAACTCTTCCAGGTCAAGAAGTACCAGGAACCTCCTGGCCCCATAACTTCATTTTGATGAAGTTGTGATGATGCCCAAATTAGTCCTTTTATAAAGATTCATGTAGATAACAAGTGGTGGGACATAAAAAAAGCCCGTATATTAACTCTCTACAACTCCTTTCCCCTATACAATACATTATCCCACACAATACCAACATTAACACTCGCATAACCCCACAAAGCATCCACATATAACACATGCAGAATTCTCCAACATATATAAACATTGCCTTAACTTGAATAGGGCATGCACCTGAAAGGACTTAAATGTTGGCACAGTGCTACAAAAAGGTTGCTTACCCCACGCTATAAGTTAAATGTATATTTTGAATATAAATTTGGGGAAGACAGTTTGAATTTGTTTTGTTCATGTTTATTAAGTACTGTATGATAGGAAATAATGATTTAATGTGTGGCTGAGTGACCTTTTCATTTTTCTATGAATAACTGTTAAATAAAAGGGTTTATGTGGTTTTGGCAAGCTATTGCCATTTTGAAGAATGGATTTAATGTCAAACGTATTGAAATGTATAACAATGTTTTAATGTTCATATATGGCAGCTGCCTCTTTTGCTGCTAAATGTAAAAGTTATTAAAGTAACCAAAGTACAACAGCCTTGGATTAAAGTAGTACAAACGCAGCTCATACATACTAGTACACAAAGAATATGATGCTAATCACAGCCACCCCTTATTATTCTATAATGCTAGTGGATGAGAACCATCAAATGTCAACTAGCTATTGTGAATTCCTAATCAGAAAATGTAAAAATCAAAAACCCCACAACACTTGCATTCATTTCCTTAGACAACCAATTGACAATTACAGTATAGTATGTTGTTGTCATTTCCTTGCTGTCTCTTTGTGCTATATAGCAGCTTAATACTACCCACAGTGTGTCACTTAAAGTGTTGGACTGCGTGCGTTCTTGTACCATGACTACTGAGCAATACAGGAAGCAAATAATAACTGTGTTTAAACAATGAATCAATCTTAAACCCTTACTGTCTGAATGTTGTTATTGAACATGGAACATTTTGCTGTACTGTAACATAAAGAGGTCACTCTAAGCAACATAACCCTCTACACCAAAACTGATTGGTTATGTTGCCAAAAAGTCTCTGGCAGCCATCAGGAGATTTTGCTGAACACAAATATTAGTGTTTCAAAACTGGAAAACGTATCGCAACAATTATATCATCAGTAAAAGTGCTGTTTGTGTGTGAAAAATGCAAAAACAGTCACTTTCACTGACAATATCATCGCTGTGATATGATTTACTGTTTTTGAATCACTAATATTTGTGTTCAGTGAAGTCTCCCGAGTAAAACAGTACCCCCCATGTACAGGTTTTAGGGTGTCGTAGAACGTTACAGGGTAAAATACAGTGCTAGCAAATTAAATTCTCTGGACTTTCGGCCTGGGTTGGCAGGCATGTCCCTCAAATTGCAATCAATAAAATTACTTAATTATGTAAAAATATTACATAAATACGCACGTAGAATTTAAATATATAAGCATATTTATATATTTGAAGTCTACGTGTATATTTAAATAATTATGTAATTTTGTATATGGACATATGTATATTTCGTATTTTTATTTATTTATATATACATAGATATATATACAATTTCATTCTAAGTGTATTTCCAAATACAGTTAGAATAAAATTTCATATAGATATATAATTTTTTTTAAATTTGTATTTTTACATTTTTTAATTTAATTTAAATTACTTATTTGTATTTTATAATATATACAATATATAGTTATTATATATATCATATATACGTGTGTAATTTAATTATAAGTGTATTTTTATATTAATATATGTACATATTAATATAAAAATACTTAGTATGACATATATATGATAGATATAATATGTCTATATATCATTATATATATATATACATACACATATGTATATACACATATATCATTTTTTTTTTAATTAACATTAACTTTTTTTATTTATTTTTTAATGATTTTACACTAGCAGGGAGACTGCCTGTCAGCACAGACAGTCCCCCTGCAGGCAGACACATGGACACCTATTGTGACCATGTGATCGCTCTGTTGAGCGATCACATGGCCCCAGGGGTCCTAATCTGCCATAGGGAGACTGTCTGGGCTGCAGGCAGTCTTCCCCACACCGGGAGCACCGCTGATCGCCGCCGGGGGATTGAGTAAGTAAATAAGACCGTTAGGACAGTTCAGGACCGTCACCGGACGGCAAGGCAAAAATGCTGATGATGGCCATGAACCGTCCTCGGTCCTTAAGGGGTTAAAATGTGTGGGAAAAACACACAAAAACCTTTACTAATGTGCAGATTTGGAAGAGGTAAGTGTTTAACTGCGCTTTACTAAATAGTCTGAGCTGTCTGCTTTGTACATGTGCTTTTACATGGGGGTTTTGGATTCTTTGCTATTAAATTTGTAGTGTCTGCATACCAAATGCTTTGAAACCATAATTCAGTTCTTTAGATATTTGTCTTATAACCAGTAATAATTAACCCAAATACTAGAGATATTGGGCATTTTAACAATCAGGAGTTTGTGAATATACTTTTTTCTTCAGTTGTGTAAAAATAAGCAAAGCTGAGAAAAAGATTTGTATATTTTACGGGTCATGTATACAAATAGAGTACTAGAAGAAGTCACCATCTGTATTTTACAAAGTGATATATAATATACAGTTATGCTCAAAAGTTTGCATGTCCTTGGAGAATTGGTAACATTTTTTTTAAAGAAAACGAGTGGCCAGTCAAAACATTTTTTTATTGCTAATGAGGATTCATATTCTCATGAATGTACAATCTCTAATCTCTGCAACACTCCATTTCTTCTCTGATCACCACCTCTTATCATTTGCTCTCAAGAGCCCCCTGTAAAAAAACTCCCCTTTTTACATGAGTTTGCCACGAGCTCCTGGAGGAGCCTGCTTGCCAGCCTCCTGCCCACAGACTATGGACCCTGTGAAATATAATGTTAAAAAGACTGTTCATGCAAGTGAGATTATTATATGGCAGAACAAGACACACAGAGAAGATAGAAATTAAGAAAAATCGTCTCCACTCCGTGCAGTTTAAGTGCAGCGCTAATTTAAAATAAAGTCAACTCACCCTTCACACATTTGTTTTTTCCTGAGATTATTATATATTCAGTTACTGAACAACAGCATGAACCAGAGACCACCCTGCTTGTTAACACCTATTAACCACTTGGAATGTTTCTCACCACAGTGTTCTAATTGTTCATCTGGGTGGCCGCAATTCCTATGGACAACCACGAGGTGGTGGCCATCTTGTTCACATGAAAGCAGGCAGCAGTGTTTGGGCATGAATCTCATAGAACGACAATCAGACACAGAAGCTCCCGAACACCACTGGACTTCCATCATCGCCTGCATTTGGTTCTATACAACTTTAGAAGGGCACTGTTTGGTGAAATCATTCGTCTTGGTGAGGGGAACAAGCTCCAGGGTAAGACTATTGACTCTGTTTGGTAGTTTGTTCATTTTCAAACTACCGAACTAGACCGACTGCAAGCCCTGGTTCTCTGGAACTGTTTTGGGCATGGGACCATGCCTGCGTCGGTCAAATAAAAGACTTCCAGGAAATTCCTGAACCCCTGAACTGATCTGGGTGACTTTTGGATATGTTGGTCACCCAGATCAGGGATATCAGGGGATGTAACTTTTGTGGGGATTTTGTGTGTTTTGGGATGCTTGCAAAAATGTATGTATTTTCTGTGCTTGGAGATTAGTACAGCTCCTGATCCAATTATCTCCCAGGCACAGAGGAGGGATTATCTGATTGTATATGGGAGTGTCCTGGACCTATCCATCCCTACTTTCTCCCGTCCCTCACTGGCCATCTCCTCATTTAACACTACCCTCACCTCTGCCCTTAATGCTGCAGCCCCGCTCCAAAAAGGCACCATGAGGAGAACACTCCCCCAACCATGGCACACTAAATCAACAAACTACCTGCAGAGATGCTCCCGTTCTGCTGAACACTGCTGGAGGAAGTCACTCACCCAGTCTGACTTCCTACACTACAAATTCATGTTGCAATCATACAACTCAGCCCTTGCCAAACAGTCATACTTTTCCTCCCTCATTAACTCATGAGCCTGCAATTCCTAGGTGTCTTTTTAATACCTTTAACTCCCTTCTTTGCCCTGCTATGGCCACCCCCCAAACTAACCTTACTTTACCGACAAGATTGAACAGCTAAGGAAAGAGTTCTCCCCACCTTGCCCCTCTCTTTCTCAACCACACCTAGGTCATGCCTTTCCTACCTCTCAGACTTTCTCCTAGGCTACTGAACAAGAGGTGGCTGCGTTCTCCTTTCCTCTCCTTTTCCCACCACTTGCCCGCTTGATCCTGTCCCACCTTATCCGATCTCTCTCCTCTTGTCTTGTGCCTTACTTAACACACATCTTCAACTGCTCTCTCTCTTCTGGTGGTGTTCCTGCTGCCCTTAAACATGCTACTGTAGTACCCATCTTAAAAAAAAAACATCTCTTGACCCGTCCTTCCCTTCTAACTATCGCCCCATATCCCTGCTCCCTTTTTCCTCAAAGCTTCTGGAAACACAGATCTTTACCCATCTGACTTGCTTCCTCAATTCCAACTCTCTCCTTGACCCTCTTCAGTCTTGCTTCTGCCTCCTCCACTCTACTGAGACTGCTCTTATTAAAGTCACTAACGACCTAATTGCAGCTCAATCCAAAGGGCACTACTCTATACTAATTCTTCTTGACCTCTCTGCTGCCTTTGACACTGTTGACTATGTTCTTCTCCAAACTCTTCAATCACATGGTCTCTGTGACTCTGTCCTCTCTTGGTTTTCCTCCTATTTCTCCCAATGCTCATTCAATGTCTCCTTTTCTAATAATACCTCCTCCCTTTGTCCTGTCCCTGTTGGAGTCCCCCAAGGCTCTGGACTTGGTTCCCTTCTATTTTCTCTTTATACTGCCTCTCTTGGCAAACTTATTACCTCATTTGGATTCCAATACCACCTGTACACTGATGACACTCAGATATACCTATCCTTCCCGGACCTCTCCCTTGCTGTCCTGCAACATGTCACTGGTTGCCTTTCTTCCATCTCTGATTGGATGTCCTCCTGCTTTTTGAAACTCAATTGCTCTAAAACTGAAGGCCTTGTCTTTCTTCCTCCTAATACTGATCTTTTGCTCTCCTTCAAATGAGTGGTACCCACATCAGTCCATCCTTGCAAGCGCACTATCTTGGCGTTATACTTGATTCTGGCTTCACATTTGAGCCTCACATCCAGTCTGTTACCAAATCCTGTAGTTCCCACCTTAAAAACATAGCCCGCATCCACCCCTTTCTTACACAAGATGCTACTAAGGAGCTTGTCCATGCTCTAGTAATCTCTCGCATGGATTATTGTAACTCTCTTCTAATAGGTCTTCCCACAAGTCATATTGCCCCGCTACAGTCTGTAATGAGTGCTGCAGCTAGACTGATTTTTCTCTCCTGCCGCTCCTCTCACACCTCTCCCCTTTGTCAGTCCCTACATTGGCGTCGCGTATCCTACAGGAGTCAATTCAAGGTACTAATCCACACCTATAAGCCACTGACCAATTCTAGACCCTCCTATATTTCTTCACTGATCTGCAGGTGAATCCCTTCTTGGTCTCTCTGCTCTGCCTAACTCACGCTTGCAGGACTTCTCGTGGGTGGCTCCTTTCCTTTTGGCATAGCCTGCCTACCACCATCAAGCTCTCCCCTAGTCTTCAATCATTTAAAAAGTGCCTCAAAACCCAACTCTTAAGAAAGCTTATGGCCTTCCAGAGTAACCTCTACCTCACATACCTGTCCTTTGCTCTCTCCTAAAGGGCAGCACTTTATTCTCTCCTCCAGCTCTGCTTCACTCCACCCTGTTTGATTGCTACCTCCTGTACTGTTGGGTTTTACCCCCCACCTCCTATAGACTTTGAGCAGGGCCCTCTTCAACCTATTGTTCCTGTAAGTTTTTGTAATTGTCTCATTTATTGTTAAATCTCCACCTTTGATAATATTGTAAAGCGCTACAGAATATGCTGGCGCTATATAAATACCAGTAATAATAATAACGTAGGTTATAACAGAATGGCACAATCATAAAACAAAACATGGCAACAAAGAAAAAAACTAGAGATGTGCATGGGGAACATTTTCAGTTCGGTTCGGCTTGGCATTCCGAAATTTGGGACTTTGGCTCGGTTCGGCACTTCGGAATTTATCTTGCAGCCGCTTAGTAGATAACTCCCTAATTCCCACAGTATTAGGGAGTTATCTACCAAAAGGCTGAAAGAACTAAATTGGTCTTCCAGCCAATTTTGCTATACTATACTGCGAGTAGGGGCATGTCTAGTAAACAGCCTGTGGCTGCTCACTGTTAAAAAAAAAAAAAAAAAATATTCCTCCCCCCCACCCGAGTGGCGGGTGAGGGCCCTAAAGTAAACTTATGGGTGGGACCATCCATGAGCGGCGGGTGGGGGCCCTAAATATCAATAAGGGGGGGGACAATAGGTCTCCCCGCTTATTCTAATTTAGGGCCCCCACATACCCCTCAGGGGTGGGGGCCGGGGAGGAGGACAATAGGCCCCCCCCCCTTATTCTAAGTTAGGGCCCCCACCCACCGCTCAGGGGTGGGGGCCAGGGGGGAGGACAATAGGTCCCCCCCCCTTATTGGTATTTAGGGCCCACACCCACCGCTCAGGGGTGGGGGCCAGGGGAGAGAACAATAGGTCCCTTATTCTAATTTAGGGCCCCCACCCACCGCTCAGGGGTGGGGGCCAGGGGAGAGGACAATAGGTCCCCCCTTATTGATATTTAGGGCCCCCACCCGCCGCTCAGGGGTGGGGGCCAGGGGAGAGGACAATAGGTCCCCCCTTATTGATATTTAGGGCCCCCACCCGCCGCTCAGGGGTGGGGGCCGGGGGGAAGGACAATAGCTCTCCCCTTATTTTTCATTAGGGCCTCCACCCGCCCTTTCCGAAACATAAGCTGCTCACAGTTTAAATAGACATGCCCCTACTTGCGGTATAGCGAGTAGGGGCATAATTTACTAATACTAAGTAATCTTTACTTAGTATTAGTAAATTTGGCTGAAAGGTCTTTCAGCCTTTTAGTAGATAGCTCCCTAATACCGTGGGAATTAGGAAGTTATCTACTTATTCATTCCTGTCATTCCATTGACCCGCTAAGTAACTTACATTTTATATGAATGTATGTTACTTGATTGGTGAAAGTGTTGCAAATGCTTACAGCTGAATCCTGGCTATGTTTGTATACTTTTTATTTAAACTTGTATACAGTGTAACATTCTTCATTCTTCCACTGGGTAAGTATATTAGTACTTAGGCAATATTGTACTTCGGCTATTCGCCAATTCAGTTATTCGTGAATTCGGATGTATCGGAACAAAACTAATTGCACGTCTAAAAAAATTTAAAAAAAAGCCTGTTCAAAGATCTGCACACCCTTAGTTCTTAATACTGTATATTGCCCCATTTAGCATCAATGACAGTATGTAGTTTTTTGTAATAGTTGTCTATGAGTCCCCTAATTATTGTATGTGCTATAGCTGCCCATTTGGCTTGGCAAAACGCCTCCAGGTCATGCAAAGTCTTTCTTTGGTCAGATCTCCCCAGAGTGGCTTGATGATATCAAGGTCAGGAGACTGATGGCCACTCCAGAACCTTCACCTTTTACCGCTTTAACCACTGGAGGGTCAACTTGTACTTAGGGTCATTATCATGCTGGAAAGTCCAAGAGCGTCCCATGCACAGTCTTCGTGCAGAAGAATGCAAATTGTCTGCCAGTATTTTCTGATTAGATGCTGCATTCATCTTGCCATTTATTTTCACAAGATTCCCCATGCCTTCAGAGCTCACACACCCACAAAACATCAGTGAGCCACCACCATGCTTCACAGTGGGGATGGTATTTTTTTCACTATAGGCCTTGTTGACCCCTCACCAAACATAGCGCTTATGGTTATGACCATTGTGATGAAAGTAGCCTTGTCACTGGTTCTTGGAGGAGCCTGTTGGCCAGCCTCCTACCCTGTGACTATGGTCCCTGCAATAGACCTGGCTAAAATACTTTAAAAGGCTTTGTTCATGTGGAGTATGTACTTTTGTATTCCAGACAGAGAGACCGACCCTTAGCACTAATTCTCTGGAACGGTTTTGGACATGGGACCATGTGCACAGTTGGTCAAAAATACGACTTCCAGGAAATTCCTGAACTGATCTGGGTGATTTTTAGATATGTTGGTCATCCAGATCAGGGCTATCAGGGGACTTGTGGGGTTTTATGTACTTTTAGGGTGTTTTAAAAACGTATGGTTTTTTCTGTGCTTGGAGATAATTGAATTAGAATTAGTACAGTTACTGATCCAATTATCTACCAAGCAGTGGGGAGGGATTGTGTGCTATGTGTGGGAGTGCCTTACATTGTAAATGCGTTATTATTGGTTTGTAAGTTTGTGTCCCTGTCCCCAACAAGGTCCATGTGGGCATACACCTTGCTTGGGGACTTGCATAAAAGGCCAGTGTGGCTCCCATTAAACAGAGATTAGTTTAACCCTTCATGAAGTCATGAAGAGAGTTACGCTGTCTGGACTAGGAAAGGTCTACCCACTGGATGTTGGTGGTGGGTGGAGGACAGCGAGACCCCAACCAAGCTGCAGCGGTTTGTGGGAGTCGACAGTGGTTATGGTTTTCCAGTGCAGTGGTTATGGTACATGCAAGTACTAGGTTGCAGCAATTGACAGAGGTAGCCGGTCTGGGTGCCAGGCGGTCAGTCACAGTGGTGGAAGTGGCGGGATGGCTTCGTAGCGAGGAGAAGCATCCTGGAGATACCAGTATCGTATTGTTTTTATAATTTAGGGCAACGCTAGTATCCGTACAGCGCCCCTGTCTATATCATTGGATTTATAACGAAGGGCAACGCTAGTATTCGTACAGTGCCCCTGTATATATCATTGGATTTATAACGAAGGGCAACGCTAGTATTCGTACAGTGCCCCTGTCTACAAAGGAACTTGGGCAGCACTCACATACGAGGAGGAGTTCCTTCAGGAGATGCGATGGCGACTGTCCTTTTTTGGCCCGGAGGTTCCGTTATGGATTGTCAGGGAACTCGAGGCCCAGTGACCCAGCAACTGCAGTACCAAGAGGAATGGGCAAGCGAGCAGGCACGGTGGGGGATATGCACACGTCCCAGCAGCCAAGAGCATCACAGGGAGAGGAGATTGTCGGTCCCTCATCCCAGCAGCAGCAAGCATCCCTGGGAGTAGAGATAATCTGTCTCATTACCCAGCACCATCACAGGGAGAGGAAATTGTCAGTCCCTCATCCCAGCAGCAGCCATTAGCCCTCGGAGTGGAGATAGTTGGTCTCACTACCCAGCAGCAGGCAACATTACCGGCAGTAGGGACAGTCGGTCCTACTCCCCTGTGGCCAAGTATGTTATTGGGAGAAGAGACAGTCGGTCTCTCTCTCGCCCCAGCGGCAGTATATCCTACAGGGAGTGGAGACAATCTGTCTCACTCCCCAGCAGCAGTATACAGTACAGGGAGCAGAAGGTGTTGTCCTTCCTCCCCAGCGGCAGAGTGTGTTATTGGGAGAAGAGAGGGTCGGTCTCACTCCCCAGTGGCAGTGTGCAACACAGGGAATGGAGACAGCGGGTCTCCCTCCCCAGCGGCAACCGGATATACCAGAAGGGGTGACAGCTGGTCCCTTCCCCCAACTACAGAGGGACAGCACTGCTGACTCTAAGGGTGCAGATAAGACTGTGGTCTCTGCACCAGACCTACAGGTATGCTGGACGGCCAGTCCAGATCCCCAACCAACCCTGCAGGAATGCCAGGAAGAGGCGGATGTAGGCAATCCCTCCCCTCCACAGCAGAGCCTCAACCAGGTCCTAGGGGTAGTATCCGCTGACCTTATCCCAGCAGAAGAGCTGGCATCATGGCAGAGCACCGCTGGCACCTGCCCTATCTGCCTCCTTGTTACAGAGCAGGACCAGTCCATCCAGCAGAAGAGCTGACATTTGGGCAGAGCGCAGTTGGCCTCTGCCCACCACATACTTACGTTATCCCTGGGCCTGGGAGCACAAGGGAGATCGGGGTGGCGGACGCCCCCTCTGCAGCATGGGACAGACAGGACAAAGATGGACACCCGAGAGCTACAGGTCAAGTACTTGGTTGTGGGTGGGTTGCTCGACTAACTCAGGCAACGACCGACAGGTGGTCAGGTACTTGGTTAGTCTTCCCTTGGGAGGGAAGATATGTGACGAAAGTAGCCATGTCACTGGTTATTGGAGGAGCCTGTTGGCCAGCCTCCTACCCTGTGACTATGGTCCCTGCAATAGACCTGGCTAAAATACTTTAAAAGGCTCTGTTCATGTGAAGTATGTACTTTTGTACTCTAGACAGAAAGACCGACCGTTAGCACTAATTCTCTGAAACTGTTTTGGGCATGGGACCATGTGCACAGTCAGTTAAAAATAAGACTTCCAGGAAATTCTTGAACCCCTGAACTGATATGGGTGATTTTTGGATATGTTGGTCAACTAGATCAGGGGTGTTTTAAAAAAGTATGTTTTTTTCTGTGCTTGGAGATAATTGGATTAGAATTAGTACAGTTACTGATCCAATTAACTCTCAAGCAGAGGGGAGGGATTGTGTGCTATGTGTGGGAGTGCCTTACATTGTAAATGTGTTATTATTGGTTTGTACGTTAGTGTCCCTGTCCCCAACAAGGTCTATGTGGGCTTACACCTTACTTGGGGACTTGCATAAAAGGCCAGTGTGGCTCCCATCTGAGATTTGTTTACCCCTTCATAAAATCTTAGCTCATGTTTGGGGGATTGGAGAACTACATACACTTGGGGATTGCTATATCACAATAGTATAATCACTAGCTCTTATAAGAGCTGTTCCTGCTACGTTCTCTGGACTAGGAGAGGTCTACCCACTGGAAGCTGGATCCTGGTCTTGGGTCCAGGGTGGGTGGGGGACGGCAAGACCCCAACTAAGCTGCATCGGTTTGTGGGAGTAGACGGTGGTTATGGTGTTCCAGTGCAGTGCTTATGGCACTTGCAAGTACTAGGAAGCAGCGATTGACAGAGGTACCCGGTCGGGGTGACAGGTGGTCCGTCACAACCATAAAGCTCTATTTTGTTCTTGTCGTGCTAAAATCTGTAAGGCGTGTCAAGGTGTTGTCGGGCATATTGTCACAGGGCTTTTTTGTAGCATTGGTGCAGTAAAGGTTTCTTTCTGGCAACTCGATCATGCAGCTCAAGTATTGTACTATTGTTCTCCTTGAAATAACCATACTGTCTTTTTCCAGAACAGCTTGTATTTCTCCTGAGGTTACCGGTGGATTTTTCTTCGTATCCCAAACAATTCTTCTGGCAGTTGTGGCTGAAATCTTTGTACCTGACCTTGGCTTGGTAGCAAGAGATCCCTGAATTTTCCACTTCTTAATAAGTTATTGAACAGTACTGACTGGGTATTTTTCTTTGATTTAGATATCTCTTTATATCCTTTTCCATCTTTATAAAGTTCCATTACCTTGTTATGCAGTTCTTTTCTGCGCCCTTTGGCTCAGTGTCTAGCCTGCTCAGTGCATTCATGTGACAGCTAACAAACTCCTTGACTATTTATACAGACACTAATTGTAATTTAACCTGTGTTTATCATCTTGTGTTCAAGTTTACATAACATTCAAGGTTATGTAAACTTTTAAACAGGGCCATTTGGGTGATACTGATTTCTGTTATCTTAATGATTTAAAAAGGAGCCAAACGAATATGTGATAATAAATGGCTTCATATGATCACTATCCTTCAATAATTTTTTTTTTTTTTGCATGATCAATCAGATTTTCAAAATCAATGCCAAAATTTCACAATTTCTTCCAGGGTATGCAAACGTTTAAGCACAACTGTATATGGATTCACTTAAAGGAGCCCAGACTGCACTGTGCTGGAACCAAAGTGGTTTAAACTTTCATTTTTAATAGCAAATGGTGACAGACCTGGGGAAACTTATAGTTCTGAAATAACAAATGTTATTTTTGTAACCATATGTTCCTTTTAAACAGAATTAGATTGAACAGATATTGAAAAAGTACCAAAATGCCCTTGGTCACAAGTGTATCGTATTTCATAAAAGTCTTGGTTATTAAGGGGTTAAAGGCCCCAGACATCAATGCTCAAGTTCAGCTCATCAAGAATGCCATTATAGAAGTTCACACTTATATGTAGTAACATATGCAGCACTGGCAGGGTATGTGTGATTCAGTTTGGCCATAATTTGATAAAGTTCTAAGAGAGGATAGAAAACATCAAACTCAGGTCTGGCCTGTTGCTGATCGAGTGGGTGGATTATTGGGAGAGGTTGGGGATGACCCAGCTGTCATGGTCCATATTGGTACCAATGACAAACTCAGGGGAAAATGGAGTATCCTAAAGAATGATTTCAGGGAACTGGGAAGTAAACCGAAGAAAAGGACTTCCAAGATGGTATATTTAGAAATAGTACCTGTGCCGCACGATACAGTAAATGTACAGTTAATGCGTGACATAGGTATAATCTTTATAGCAGTGATGGATTGCACATAAACGGAAGAGAGTCTGCTGTGCTGGGGGCCAGGATGTGGTGGTGGTGGGAGGACACAAATCTACAAAATGAAGATGGCTTTAGCTAAGCAAAAGGGGGTGGAAATGGTGGATGAGCAAGATCAGTAATACAAATTCACATAAAGTAGAAGCGACTGATAATATTAAATGTATGCTTAGCAATACAAGGAATTTAACAAAATGGTGGAACTAGTGGTAATATTATACACTAGGCAATATGACATAATAGGAAAAACTGAAACATGGTGGGATGAGACACATGACTAGGTAGTTAAATTAAATGGTTACAACGTATTTAGTAAGGAAAGAGAAAAAAACCCTAGAAAGGGTGGTGGGGAGTTAAAGCCAAATCTTATGCAAGTGGAATGTGACAAGGAAAATGTGGAAGCTGTACGGCTAGATATCTGCTTGGGGCAAAAGAAAGTGGATCATTTATTGGTTGGGATATGTTATAAACCACCTAATATTGATGGGGAAGAACAGCTGTTAGAGCAAATTGTGAAAGTTGCACATCTGACTAACACGTTAATTATTGAAGATTTTATTTACCCGGACATAAATTAGGATTGATGGACTAGTAGATCAGCAAGTAGAATTAAAAAACTTCATGTCACAACTTGTATAAGCACTAGCTAGAAAGGACGCTTATCTCGATCTGTTTGTAACAAACAATGTTGATCTACTGACCAACATTCAAAATAGTGATCACAATACGGTGCCTTTTGAAATAAATTCAAAAAAGCAAAAGCACATGGAGTATAATAAAACATATAATTTTAGAAAGGCCAATTTCAATAAGGTAAGGGCAGCTATACAACATATTGATTGGCATAAACTTTTTAGTGAAAAAAAATAGATAAGTGAAATATCTTTGAACAAATATTAAAAAGGTACACTTCTCACAAAGGTGCCATTGGGTAATAAATATAAGAATAAAAAACAAACCGAAACCAATGTGGCTTAAAGGGATAGTAAATCAATACATTAAAAATAAGAAAAGGGAATTTAAATTGGTCAGTCTGAGGCATCCTATTTAAGAAAGCCAATAATGCATAGCCAAAGAGAACAAAACCCACCTTCTCCCACTTAAAGTGTAGGTACACTGAAAACAGAGATGAGTGTTTTAATTAATGAAGACCACGTAAAGGCAAACATTTAAAATATTTTTTTTTCAGTATATATTAAGGAGGAACCTATGGCAAGAGATATGTAAATGATTGCACTAAAAAAACCAAACACATGCAGAAAAATTGATTGACCCAAGGCAACTAAACGTTAATGTAAACAAAGCTCAGGGGGCCTGACAGTATTCACCCACAAGTACTTATGGAGCTATGCGTGGATATAAGTGAACCTTAAATTAGAGGGACAAAGGTTTAAAAATAATATCAGGAAGTATTACTTTACTGAGAGGGTAGTGGATGCATGGAATAGCCTTCCAGCTGAAGTGGTAGAGGTTAACACAGTAAAGGAGCTTAAGCATGCGTGGGATAGGCATAAGGCTATACTAACTATAAAATAAGACTAGGGACTAATGAAAGTATTTAGAAAATTGGGCAGACTAGATGGGCCGAATGGTTCTTATCTGCCGTCACATTCTATGTTTCTATGTAACCTTTTTATCTTTTTAAGATTATTTTCAGGAATTATACCAGAGGATTGAAGGAAGGCAAATGTGGTTCTTATATTAATAAAAGGAACTAAATCTTTGGCTGGAAATTATAGACCTGTGATCTTAACTGGTTGGGAAAGTATTCAAAGGGTTATTAAGGTATAAGAGGCAGGAATTAATTGGGAAGAACATTGTTAATAAAAATCAGCATGGTTTTATGAAACATAGGTCAACTCAAAATGAATTGCACTCTAGGAAAAAAAATAAGTAGAAGAACAGATCAGGGTGTTGCAGTGAATGTGTTCTACTTGGACTTTTCCAAGGCGTTCGAAAACAGTTTCACACAATAGGTTAGTGTGCAAAATAAAAAACTGGTCTAGATTAAATTTCTTGGTCTTGGATAGAACATTTGCTTAAATATAGAGTACAGAGAGTTGTCATTAATGGTACATTTTCAAGATGGACAAAAGTGGTAAATGTCCCTCAGGGTTCTCTTCAGGGATTACTTCTATTTATCATATTTATAAATGATCCTGAAATAGGCATTGAAAATCACGATTCAGTGTTTGCAGATGACACAAAAAAAACTCTGTAAAGTAATATAATGTGAGCAGGATATTGCTTTGCTGCAGAGGGGTTTAAAATAGATTGGGGGACTGGGCACTAAAATGGCAGATTAAATTTAATGTTGAAAAATGCAAAGTTATGCACTTTGGGGTAAAAAAATGCACAAGCAACTTACACCCTAAGTAGTGAATTAAGGATCACAACACACATGAAGGATTTGAGAATTGTTTTAGACAACAAATTAGGCAATGCCAATCACCAGTGGCGATGGCCAGTAAGGTATTTTCATGTATAAAAAGGGGCATTATTTCTGGTTCTGAAAATATAATTTTGCCTGTTTATAAATCACTGGTAAGACCATACCTTAAATATGCTGGGCAATTTTAGGCACCTGTTCTAAAGAAGTATTATTATGGCACTAGATAAAGTGCAGAGGCTGGGTACAAAATTAATAAAAGGCCCCAGAGGGGACATGATAGCAATTTACAAATATATTCGGGGTCAATACAAACAATTGTAAACACATTTAGACTGGAATAAAGGATATTTAGTCTAAGGCAGTGGTTCCCAACCCAGTCCTCAAGTACCCCCTACTAGTCCAGGATTTAGGGATTACCCTGTTGTGTGCAAAGTGTTTTTTTTTCTTCTTCTAAAAGCACATTAGACACAACTAGGTAATCCCTGTATCCTGGACTGGTAGGGGGTACGTGAGGACTGGGTTGGAAACCACTGGTCTAAGGCAAAGGAAAAAGGGTTTTTTTTTTTTTTACAGCAAAAACAATAAAGATGAGGGTGTCTTTACCTGAAGTGGTGGTTTTATCAAAGTCTGTATATATGTTTAAACAGCAACTGGATGAATGCTAGCAAAACATAATATTCAGGGAAATAATATTTAACCCCTTAAGGATGGAGCTAAATGTACAAGTTGTGATCCAGAAAAAAATTTAAACAAACCACAGAATTTGACTATATGTCTGTTCAACAATAATTTACCTCTTTCATATTACGTACACCCATATTTATTATATATCATTTTGTTCAGGAGAATCAGAGCTTTCATTTCATATCAAATCTTTATAAATGGAACTATATTGTTTGAAAAAAAAAAAAAATCAAACAAACTTTGAAAAATGACAATTTGGTTATTTTTCAAGTTCTGCATGGCATTTTTTACTGTGAATGTCATAACACTGTTCCCTTTTACTGCAATAAAACACACACATTTGTAATCAGCAATGTCTTACTAGTAAAACAGTACCACCCATGTACAGGTTTTATGGGTTACAGGGTCCAATATAAGGCTTGTCTATTAATTTTATTTACACATATCCATTTTATAGATTGGTTAGCTTGGTCTATGTTGCATTTGAGACCGTATGGCAGCCCAGGAATGAAAATTACCCCCATCATGGCATACCATTTGAAAAAGTAGACATCCCATGGTATTCAAAATGGCTTATTTCCAGTCTTTTGTAATATCCTCTTGGTAACAAACAGTAGCCAAAGTCTGTGTTCAGATTTAGTTTTTGCATATTTTTCACATAAAAATTGTACTTTCAATGATGATATTATGGTTCTTATACATTTCACTGCTCTGAAACACTCACATTTCCGGTCAGTGATGTCTTACGTGTGCAATGGTACCCCCTATTTATAGGTTTTATGGGTTTTTGGAAAGTTATAGGGTCTAATATACGTCTTATCCTTTTATGTTTTTACATACTGAAATTTGACAAAGTTATTTTTTTGGGCCGATGTCGCCTTTGATAGCGTATAGCAGCCTGGGTAATAACATTTCCACTATTATGACATACCATTTTCATAAGTAGGCAACCCAGAGAATTCTAAATGGTGTGTATTGAAATGTTTGTCCTAACCAGCGGCTATAGTTTTATTTGTGCTTTTTCAAACACATTAACTCAATTTCCAGAGGATATTTCATATTCCTGATATAGGTTACTGCAATAGAGACTCTATATTTTGATTACACATTGTTGCACGAATATAACAGTACCCCCACATACCGTTATTTCAGCTTGTTTCGGTAACACACAGGGCCAAATATATTAGATGCCCTTTTCAGCTAAGTTTGACAATGTGTCACTTTTGAGAAAGTATGGCAGCACAGGAGAGAAAATTACACCCATGATAAGGGGATTCCAAATGGCATAATTTGAGTTGTTTGGTCTAGCCACTTTAACAGACATGCAGTGCCCATGTAGTGATTTATACTTTTATTTGTGTTTTTTTTTTTTTACACACGTTCCATTTCCATGAAATTTCATGATCTTGATATTAGTTAGTGCTTTTTTATTTAAAATAGTCTCCTGAATATAACAGTAACCCCATTTACCATTTTTGCAGGTTTTTCACAAATAGAACAGTACCCCCACATACACTTTGTTCTGAAGGCGAGAGATCAAGATCTTTGATCTCACACAGAGAGTCACTCTGTGTAAAGTATAAGGTTTTTTTTTTTTTTTTTTTAAAGTGATTCTATTAACACTTTCAGTGCTAATCACAGTATTAACCCTATGATTAGAGTTTTACTCTGTAAAGTCTCATTTTAAAGTACTGTAATGTAGTATTTTGAGTTGTGTGGTGTAGCCACTTTAGAATGGCTAGCATAAACAGGGACAGACCAAGGTCAGAGGAATCCAGAAGTCAGAGTAGTCGGTAAAACAAGCCAATGGGTCGGTACAGGCAGCTAACGAAGCGTAGTCAGGACAAGCTGAGGTCAGGGAATCCAGGGAAATCAAGCAAACAAACTGCCAAAGTACCATACAGAGTGATTTAGTAGTTCAGCTCTGTATGGTAGCAATAATAACCCTTCTTTTGTAGTGACCTTTTACATGGTGTGGAGGGATTTGGGAAGGGAAATGTTTGCTGAAAAGTCGTTGGACATCTTCTGATTCCAAAGGAGGGTTAGGATTTGGGGTCTGGGCAAATACAATTTGAGACACACTTCGGCTTCTCCAGCTGCTCAGTTCCACCTTTCACAGACACTGGAACTGAAGTTTCATCGTGCATTGTAGACAATATGAATACATCCTTCCTATTGGTGAAGCGAAGGGCAAGCAACTCATCCTGGAGGAGCGCTGAAAGGGAGCCTCTACTGCGTTTGCCTCTTGTCAGGGTTTGGGGGAAACCTCTGCGATTCTTCCGCACTGTGCCACAGGCTAGGGTTTCAAAGCAAAATAAAGTTTTAAATAACTCTATGCTTGTATAATAGTTGTCAACCCATAGCCTGTATCCCTTATTTAACAAGGGAAGGATTATGTCCCATACTATCTTTCCACTTGTACCCACAGAATCAGGGCATCCTGGTGGGTCAAGATGGCTATCCTTCCCTTGATAAATACGAAACGCCCATGTATATCCAAATTTGGATTCGCACAATTTGTAAAATTTGACACCGTATTGGGACCGTTTAGAAGGGATATACTGCTTAAAAAGTAATCTACCCTTAAACTTCATTAGGGATTCAGCTACACAAATATTTTCTTCAGGGACATCATTTTGGGAGAATTTGTCTGACAGGAGTTGGATTAGGGGCCGAATTTTGTAGAGGCTGTCAAACAATGGGTCGTTTCTTGAGGGGCACAGTGTGTTATAGTTGAAGTGGAGGAAACACAGCAGCTGTTCCTAGCGATCCCTCTTCATAACCCCTGGGAAAAGAGGGGTAGCCAGGATGGGGTGCTTGTACCAGTAGGACCTGATACTCTTCTTTTTGAAGATACCCATAACTAGAGTTTGGGCCCAAAATTTGTGCATTTCTGCGAAATCTGTGGGGTGTCACATATTTCGACGATTGTAATCTGACCCCGGATTCGCAGTCATATATTAGTTGCCAAATAAATTTTAAATGGTTTGCTCAACCATTAACTGAAATATGTCTTCCGACATGAACAGATCAAAATTGGCTCCCAAGCATTCACCATAACAGTGATGACAGGGGTTGCCGTGAATGGGGGTATTTCTGGCGACGTCCAGTTTGGGAGCACCCAGTCTCCGTCTGGCATTGGACTTGCTGAGCGTCCTCTTGAAGGTAGTGTTGGGGCACCACCACTTGAGGACTCAATCAGAGGCTCAATGTCAGAGGCAGTGATAAGTGTCACTGTCTTGCAGAGTGTCACTGTCACTGCCTGCCAGAATGGCGTATGCCTCTTCTGCTGAGTAGTGACGTGCCATTCTAGGGGGGACTAATCCATAATTAATTTAAAAAAACTAGGGGGAAATTACAAAATTCCTACCTGCATAACACCCACTACCTACCCTCAAAAAGTACTGATCACAGTTTAGACTGCTGCGATCAGTAATGAAAGGGTTATATATATATATATATATATATATATATATATATATATATATATATATATATATATAATTATTATTATTATTTTTGTTTTTTTTATAAAAATAACACCAAAGAAAGAGTCAGCCTGATCAGAGAGCCCTCTGATCACAGCAGCAAGGAAGGGGTTAGGGTAGATTTGGGTTGCTGCGGCTGACAAAGGGTAAACAAAAAAAAAAACTTTGACCCTAATTTTTATTTTTGTAATAGTACAAATGTACTAACAGCCCTAATCAGGCTGATCACAGTGTTAATGCTGTGATCAGCACTGAAAGGGTTAAAAAAATTTTTTTTTTACAATTATTTCTCCTACAGGGATTACCAGCAACGATCTCTCTGCCTCTCTCTTTCAGATCGAAGTGAGGTGAGGAGAGGGTAGAGACAATGTGTCAGCCAGTGATTTAAAATCATTGGCTGACACATTGTAACAGTGATCGCAGTGACTTGCTGTCACTGCGATCACAAACTCCAGATCGCCACTGGCCACAGGGGACCTGGCCCCCCCACCGCGTACTGCATTTTGGGAGGGATTGGGGAAACGTGGGTGGGCTTAAATGCTGCGGCGTGCTATGCCACTCTAACGGCGTTTAAGCCCATTAACGCCGGGATGGCATAGCACACCGTAACAGCGTTAACGGGTTAATTTGTGAGGTAATAGCTTCTTGATACCAGAAGAGATCGGATTGTCATTCTGGGGTCAAGGATTTTTTCTCCTAGTTTGTTGCAAAATCAAAGATTTTTAAACTGGGTTTTTGCCTTCTTTTGGAACAACAGCAAAAACAATGGGAAAGGCTGAACCTGAGACTCTTCAGCTTTTCAGCTATGTAACCATGAGTCAAAACAAACTCTGCTTTATGGTATTTATCTAATCAATTTACACATCACTAATTCCAGTTCAAGCTTTATAGAATTAGTCCCAATAAGAAATGCATAACAGTATTTCACAGAAAATGTTCTTCAGTTACACACACTGAGATCTCTTATTCAACAAGGATGCCATGGCTGCGGTCATCCCTAGCTGTGCGGTTGACTTCCTATAGATTGTCAGATGTGGATCATTTTATGAACTCATTTGCATTATCCCTCAATATCCTTCCTGAAGGCCTTGCATTGGCAGCCAGTCCACTGCTATGCAATTCTAGGATAGTACTGTCTCTCAGGAGCTTTGACTAAGCTGCTGCTTTACTGTTGGATGACATAGGAACCGAAGCTTGCGTGGCAAGAGTGTAACTTCTACCGACATTGCCTCATATTCTTCAGAGTCTATACTGTAGTGTCCCTCAGTCTCCTAAAGGAAGGAAAAAAGACATAGGATATCTGTCCATCACAACCCATTACTGGTATTAATTGTACTCAATGATTCCACTCTTTTAGAGCAAGAGATTCTCCCACCAATCCCAAACATCACCAACCTTACAGACTTTATTAATTTAAATCCTCATCAGTATTGAATTAGATTGACTGTGAGCAGTTTGTGCTTCCCATGAATGGATTGCAAGTACATTTGTGCACAAATCCTAATCATATGTGCTGAACGAATCAAATCAATTTGTTTCTACAGGAAACAGGCATTTAATTTGTTCAGCACAGTTGTGATGTGATTTAGATATTTATTCATATGCTGTTTTAACCAATATCATTTATTTATGGTTGGTATCAAAGCACTCCACAGGCATATCTTATTTCAGACCTGCAATATGGGAATGTTACACATAACCAGGGACTGCTTTTCCCGCACGATCACACTGTACAAAACATTCCGCTGGGACCCAAGTCATTGTTTTAACTATTCCAGCCACTTAGAAATATTCTACCCCAGGCTGCAATAAGATAAAGCCTTGAAAAATGTATCTAGTATTTAACAGTCCAATCACAGAAAATGGTCAAACAAGTTTTTCTATGAAATAACAAAATGCACATAGGTAGATTTGTGAGCACAGAGAGCTAAATTTAAATAACAATTATACAGTTCTTCAGGTACCCTATAACATTTAAAGAAAATGTGTTGTCTGGCACATTTCAAGTATTTTAAGAGTCACAGATGTTAAATGTGTATTAAGTAATTGACATCTTAAAGATTGATAAGTTAAGTAAATTTAAGCTTATCATAGATGATTTAATAATGGTTGCTTAATTTGGATTAAACGTTATAGCACATCGGTTAATGTCAAACAGGTGCAGAGTTACTCTTCTACCTATTGACACAGTTACTCACTAAACCGTGAACTAATGGGAATTGACCAAGGAATTTCATATTTTAGACCAAAATTGCTGAGCAGGAAACAAAGAGTTGGACAATGTTTCCAGCTTAACTATTCTGTCTTAAAAGTTTAAATTCCATGGGAAATTCAGATATATCTGATTTAGTGAATGACTATGTCAGTGTGTACAAGATTAAAAATAAGTTTCTGCAATGTATTTCCTTAAAATCTGAATAACTACAATCTAAATGCATAGGATACATTAATGCAAAAAAAATATATAAATTTTTTTTTTTTTTTTTTAAAAAGGACATGGTGCCTGTCATCTGCTCCAACACTTCATTAGCTCTTACGCTATCTGAATCCCAACTCAAAGATTGTTTACCTGTGGAAGTTGCATTCTACAGCGGCTGGCATGGAACACCTGGCTGCCCTCCAGGCACAATAGCGGGTCCTGTACCTTCACAATGCTGTGAAAAAAACAAAACATGTTTCTAGCTCAGATAAAACAATATACAGAAATACTTAAAGGACCACTCTAGGCACCCAGACCACTTCAGCTTAATGAAGTGGTCTGGGTGCCAGGTCCAGCTAGGGTTAACCCATTTTTTCATAAACATAGCAGTTTCAGAGAAACTGCTATGTTTATGAATGGGTTAAGCCTTCCCCTAATCCTCTAGTGGCTGTCTCATTGACAGCCACTAGAGGCGCTTGCGTGCTTCTCACTGTGATTTTCACAGTGAGAGCACGCCAGCGTCCATAGGAAAGCATTATGAATGCTTTCCTATGTGACCGGCTGAATGCGCGCGCAGCTCTTGCCGCGCGTGCGCATTCAGCCGACGGGGAGGAGAGAAGGAGGATCGGAGGAGGAGAGATCTCCGCCCAGCGCTGGAAAAAGGTAACTTTAACCCCTTTTCCCCTTTCCAGAGACACTCAGTAAGGAGGCCCAATTTCTGTAATCAAAGAAAACATGCCAAAATGTAAAAAATATACCATTCCAGAGACAGAGTATAAAACCGCATTGAAGAATGATTATCCTATATAAATTATTTTCATCTCCTTCCTGCAAAGGTTTTTTTTTTTGTGCTCACACAAACAAACAGCACACACATAAGAATATGAGGTTTTGTCATTTGGTCACAGCAAAACAAAACATCTGCTCTACCTTTTTTTAATATTTACAATCATCTTTATTTTAAGTACTTCTATTCTACAGAGAGCACTATTTCTGCCTTTTACTTTTTTTTTTTTTTTTTTAAATTCTTTATTTTTCGTGCATAGATTATTCATGTAACAGTTTTCTAGCGGTGCCAAAACAGCTGTCGCCAGGGTTTGAGTAGACATATAAATACAATTGTATGGCAGGAATAACTTTGCACATTTTTATATATATATATGAGAAGAGTGGTTAGTGGTATAGCACTGTTCCAGCGTGAGTGTGAGAGATTATGTTCCGATAGAGACCTTCAGGTTAGGGAGCAGGGGCTAGTGTGCGTGTTAACCATCAGGTTAGATTTTTGTTAGGTATATACATGCGTTTAAGTGTTATCAGCCCTGGCCGCAGGACAGAGCAGTGCCTGTCCAAACTTTGGGCTGGTTTTGCTTTGAAAATCACACTGCCCAGTCGCCTCATTCTGGGTGTACGTGTCCCGTGTTTCATCTACACTTGGTTAAATCTATGCTTCAGTCGACACCTAGCGCGACCCAACCGAATTTAGCGGCAGCAATTTGGAGAGTAGCCAGCCAGCCCGCGCATCCCACCCCCAGCAATCCCATGAATACTAGATTGTTTGCTCATGGATAGTTATGGGACAGGAGTGTTGCGGGCAAGCTGGCCCCCCCAAATCACGTATGCCACCCAGTCCAGGCTGCGAACTATGTGCTCCAGACTTATTTTGCGTAAGACTTATAACTTATTTTTAGTTTCAGAGTGCTAGATCTATCTGTGGTGTTATCAAGTGGTCTGTGGTGTCAGTCGGTTAGTCGTGAGAGTATCTTGTCAGGGGGCCTTATCCGTGGTCCGTTTGAGTTACTCTCGAGGGGTAGTAGCCCTAACCTAGGGGCTGTCGGGGGGGGGATTTCTGTTCTGTATGGTAGTGCATATTCCTTTAGTGCACTGGTATTCCAGCGCCGTCCCTGACAGGCTCACAGCGCGTCATATGGGTGTTAGAGCGTCAGATTAACTTGCTCATTATCAACAAAGCTTAAGTGGCTGAAGGTGAAAGGGTATATGAGAGAAACACAAGAAAATACATTTTGCCGTTTTTAGCCTTTGAGCGGGATGGAGTAGGAGACTTCTCCCCTCATTCCCGTCATGTGGCGTGAGTGTCCCTTCTCCGTGTCCTCGGGGTGAACGGCTCTATCGTCTCCGGGTCCCAGGCATGGGTAGCGTTCTGGGCGTGCTCGGTCGGCAGGCCCAATTTTGGTAGTAGCGCGGCAGCATCAGGTCCTGTAGCGATTTTGTACGTGTTTCCTCGGTGTGTGACCAGGAGGTGGCGTGGGTTTCCCCACCGATATGATACGCCCGCGGAACGTAGCTGGCTGGTGAAGTCACTGAGGGTTCTTCTCCATTGGAGAGTGGCTCTGGTTAAGTCCTGGTAAAAAGTCAGTTGAGACTCCTCGAAGTTGAGCGGTGTCTTGCCCTTGAGTGCCGACATTATGTGCCCCCTATCCTGGGGAAGGATGCAGCGGACTATGACGTCTCCTGCTAGGAGTGTAGATGCCCTTGTTGGGGTGGGTAGTCGGTATATTCCGGCAAAGGTGAGTTTCTTTGCCACCGCAGGAGGAAGTATAGCTTGCGTGAGCCGTCTCACATAGTGAGGTAGGTCCTCTTTGGAGACTGTGACAGGGATACCTCGGATTTTTATGTTATTGCGTCTGTGTTTGTCTTCTTGGGCTGCTAGTTGAACCTCGAAGTTTTGTTGATTGTGTTGTAGTTGTGTGAGGGAGTCTTGCAGCGAGGTGATTTCTTTTTGGATCCCCTGCACTTCTCTCTCAGTGTGTACTACTTTTTCAGTGATTTGTTGCATGCTTGTTTTAAGGGCAGGTAAATCTGCAGCCAGCAGGCTTTGGATTTCTTGCAGCATAATTTGCATATGCTGCAGGTCCTGTTTAGTGGCCGGTTCAGTGGTACCCTGCTGGGGTGTGGGTTGTAGCCTTGGAACCCCCTGTGTGCTTTGCTCCCTTAAGTCAGATTCTAGTGGGGAGTCTGGGCCTTGTGCGGCCGCCATTTTGGCGGGTGTTTGCCTCTGGAGCATTGTGCTTATATCAGGCTGAGCTGTACCTGGTTGAGGTTTCTGGGATCTGCGTCCAATCCCTGAGATTCCGTGTTCGGAGTTGTGCTGGGATGTGTCCCACTCGTCTTCTAGGAAGTCCCCGCCGAACAGGTAATCCAGGCCGTGGTGGGCTGATGGAAGGTAGGCCCGTGCTCTGTGTTTTGACTTTGCCTGCTTCGGGGTGTACCGGAAGGGCATCGGAAGAATCCGGGGGATCTCCCCCGTGCTATGCCGGTGTTCTTGCAGCTGGATGTCAGGGCTGCGGGCTGATATTGAGCGGATTCGGTCCGTAGATGTCGGAGCCCGCAGAAATGGCATCCAGCCCGTCTCGTGTCCAGGCTCTGCCCCCCCCTTTTACTTCTTTTCTGTGTTCCATGATATTGTTTCTCCTACTGATATCTACAAATACATTCTGTAAGTGGGGATTATACCACTGTACGCTACAAATACTAGAGCTGGTTAAAACTCCACTAAATAAATTTTCTATTCATCTTACTATTCCATACAAGAATTTACCGCTCATCAGAGAATTCTAACTGCACTTCAACTTATTTAAGGGGAACTTTTTGGACTATTTTATTTACCTATACATACTGTGTTTTCCATCACGGTTTGCAGTATTTTTATTGTATTAGTGTATATTTGTGGCGCAGCTTCCTATGGGGGCTGCCCTAATGCGATCACCGCGCATGCACATTAGGTCTCTGCAATCAGGAAGGAGCAGCAGAGGCCTTTATTTTTATTAAAGGGGGGTGGAGGCAGAAAAATGTTGTGTTTTCTGAAGTTTCTTAAAACATTTTTTTTGGGGAAAAACAAACAAACATCCTTTGACATTAACCTTGAAAGCCATCAAGAAGAGCAGATGCATAACATTATATGTTTGGTAATATATTTTTAGTAGAAATAAAATCTAAAGCACATGATAATAATGAGCTGGGGATGCATCCTTTTACTACAAATATTTGCAGTTAAAAGCTCAATTATATAAGAACAGAATATGGGAAAAACTCACCCTTTTTTAATGAAGTCTCCTCTACTTAGAGAGTCTGGTTCAATGCAGATATTCATGGAATCGAGGGTGCGCTGAAGGAAAGAGGATGAATGAAGCTTATTTAAAATACAAAAAAGTCAAAGACAAATTATATATGTCGAGGGTTACTACCAAAATAAAATGCTAAATATTCCCATTGTTTTCTATTTTCATCTATTCTGACTGCATGTTTGTAAAGAAGTTTTACATAAATCGATAATGTATAAAAATATAGTGCAAACATATTTTGTCTTATGTATTTAATGAGAAAAAGATCAGAAATTAACAAAATATTCATAGAGAGGAAGAGGAATCAATTTGAGAAAGGTAAGTTTAGGGTGACAGATGCAATTTAATATTTCCACCTTTTGCACTATGAAGAGATATATTTGCTGGTGTTCTCTTATGTATCTTATTTTGGTGTAGATATTGAGGCAGAATATGAACCTAATATTCACACACAGTGTTCTACAAAAACTGCCCCATGATACAAAGGAGAAAGGCAACACTTTGCTACTACTATTAAAGTGCTTTATTTGTGGAGCATATACAGTTCTTACGCCGAGGTTAGGCTGATGGTTCTGTGTGGTAATGGACAGTTCCACTCCAGAGAGTTGCTCTTCCTGCCAAGGTTCTGCAGGTTGTTCAACTTGAACTTCTGGGAAATAAAAGAATAAAATGAGTTAGAAAGGCATATAAGTGTAGTATATTTAGATTAAAAGTACTACACCCAACTGACCCTGAAATGGAAAGAAAAAATTAAGTGACACAGGACCCTTTTTCCCCCCCATGATATATGACATGAAAGGTAATCCTATAATCTTAAAGGATGGTTTGAAGTGGTCATGGTGGTAGGAGACTGGATGTACACTGGAAACACTGTACATCCTGAGATATTTTTAATTGTGTGCTAGGGCTAGTTGCACCCGGAGAACACGTGACATTGGCAGCCCAGAACTCTGTTCCAGGCGGCCTAATGTAAATTATGTGCATATTTAATGTCTGTCAGCAGTGAGCACTGCATGCTGCCAAGAGACATCAACATCTTTCTCTTGCAGTCAGCTAACTCTCCCCTCCAATGCCTCCCTCCATTTGAGGTTATGGGTTTTTTTTTTTTTTTTAAATGCTCCTTTCACCACACTCTCTTTCCCCATGCATGCATGTGCCCTGAGCCAGCAATTGGTCCAATTACACCTAGTGTTGCCCTAGTGACATGAGGACAGGGAGTGGAAGGCAGTCCCGGAAGCTTAGCCCTGTGCTGGATTCCAGGTAAGTAAAATATATATTTTTTTTAGGTTTTATTGCAATTAGAGTGGGGGGACCTCGTCCATAGTGCCCAAGAAATTTTACACAGAAAAATTTCTCCTATTCTAACCCTTTAAAGTTAGACATGATGCACGAGGTCCCTCTGTTTCAGGTAAGCTGCCTTTCATTACATCTGGAAGTTCAGAATGGGAAGTTCTTTGCTGCATCTGAATGTACTGTGAAATGTGCTCTGATCTTTTCTTGGATATAGTTCAGTACAGAATTGTCTTTGGATATGCTTGCTGCTCCTTTCTCGTCAGTACATGGGAGCTCTGAAAAATGGTTGTTAACTAGTCTGTGGGCATATCCAAATATTCAGTCCAGGAGGCCCGGATGAATGAAATGTCTTTAAATTCATATGTGGATGGACTGATCCATCCAAGATTTACAGGAGGAGACTTAAGAAAATATTGGGTTAACCCCCTAATGCCGTTTGGGCGTTCTATTGCATTCCACATAAATTAGGCTTTAAAGCCTGTAGAGTGGCATGGAACATCCTATTTTTGCTGTGTGCAGGGATAAATCCAAGAAAAAAATGTATGGAGGCACTAAAAGAGAAACCCTCAAATTATAGTAGAACAAACCTCTACCTCAAATTCAGGGTTTTATTTTGGTTCAGAAAGTGTACAATTGCCTATGTTAAAAGGAATATTAAGACTCCTCATGTAAATCTTGGATGGATCAGACCATCCGTATATGGATTAATAGGTATTTTGTTCGTCCTGGCCTCCCACAATAAATATGTGCACATACCTAGTAGGTAGTCTATCCAAAATACGCTGCTCAAAAAAATAAAGGGAACACAAAAATAAAACATCCTACATCTGAATGAATTAAATATTCTTCTGAAATACTTTGTTCTTTACATTCTTTGAATGTGCGGAGAACAAAATCACACAAAAATAAAAAAATGGAAATCAAATTTTTCAACCCATAGAGGTCTGGATTTGGAGTTACACTCAAAATTAAAGTGGAAAAACACACTACAGGCTGATCCAACTTTGATGTAATGTCCTTAAAACAAGTCAAAATGAGGCTCAGTAGTGTGTGTGGCCTCCACGTGCCTGTATGACTTCCCTACAACGCCTGTGCATGCTCCTGATGAGGTGGCGGATGGTCTCCTGAGGGATCTCCTCCCAGACCTGGACTAAAGCATCTGTCAACTCCTGGACAGTCTGTGGTGCAACGTGACGTTGGTGCGAGACATGATGTCCCAGATGTGCTCAATTGGATTCAGGTCTGGGGAACGGGCGGGCCAGTCCATAGCATCAATGCCTTCGTCTTGCAGGAACTGCTGACACACTCCAGCAACATGAGGTCTAGCATTGTCTTGCATTAGGAGGAACCTAGGGCCAACCGCACCAGCATATGGTCTCACAAGGGGTCTGAGGATCTCATCTCGGTACCTAATGGCAGTCAGGCTACCTCTGGCGAGCACATGGAGGGCTGTGCGGCCCCCCAAAGAAATGCCACCCCACACCATTACTGATCCACTGAGAAACCGGTCATGCTGGAGGATGTTGCAGGCAGCAGAACGTTCTCCACGGCGTCACATGTGCTCAGCGTGAACCTGCTTTCATCTGGTGAATTTGCCAATCTTGGTGTTCTCTGGCGAATGCCAAACGTCCTGCACAGTGTTGGGCTGAAAGCACAACCCCCCACCTGTGGACGTCGGTAGGGATTGACCGATTATAGGTTTTACTGATATTATCGGTCGATATTCTGTATTTTCGTCAATCTTGGTATCGGCCAATAAAGATACAGTTATTGCTGATAATACCTCCTAGGACCGCCAGGCTCATTACAAGCCCGGCGGTCCTGGGAGGGCCTGCAGGAAGCTATTTCTTACCTTTCTTGCAGCAAATCCAGCGTAGATCTCGCGGCTGCAGAGCGTTGCCACGGGTTACCATGGCAACGCTCCGCATGGCACTAAGGGCAGCGAGATTTACACCGGGGAGCTGGAAGAGCTGCAAGAAAAGTAAGAAACAGCTTCCTGCGGGCCCCCCCAGTACTTAACAAGCCACCGGACCATCAGGGAATAATATATCCCCCCACCCTGGTAAGAAGCAGGGAGGGGGGACTAAAAAAAACTAAAAACAAAAATTTTTTTAATATTAACATTTTTTTTTTTAAATGCCCCTCCCCCATTTTACACAAATTACATCACTACACAAACACACACACTGCATTATATACACACACCGCATTATACACACACTACACACACACACTGCATTATATACACACTACACAAACACACAATGCATTATATACACACTACACAAACACACAATGCATTCACTTTACCCACACTACATGCACTATACACACACACACACTCTGCATACTACACAAACACACACTGCATTCACTATATATACACACACACTACACAAATACTCACTGCATTCACTATACACACTACACACACACACACACTTTGCATTGATTATATATACACACACACTACACACTGCATCCACTACACACACACACACACTACATAAACACACACAGCTCCCCTGTCTAAACACACTTCATCCACTACATGTGGCATGTATATTTTGTGCATTTACCTTTAGAATTAGTTTACTTTTTCAAAATGGTAAATGTACAGAATATCGGCAAGTTATCGGCTATCGGCCTGAAAGTTCACAGATTATTGGTATTGGCTCTAAAAAAAAATCAATATCGGTCGGGCCCTCAGAGTCTGTTTCTCACCGTTTGAGCAGACACATGCACATTTGTGGCCTGCTGGAGGTCATTTTGCAGGACTCTGGCAGTACTCCTCCTGTTCCTCCTTGCACAAAGGCGGAGGTAGCGGTCCTGCTGCTGGGTTGTTGCCCTCCTACAGCCTCCTCCACATCTTCTGATGTACTGGCCTGTCTCCAGGTAGCGCCTCCATGCTCTGGACACTACGCTGACAGACACTGCAAACCTTCTTGCCACAGCTCACATTGATGTGCCATCCTGGATGAGCTGCACTACCTGAGCCACTTGTGTGGGTTGTAGACTCCGTCTCATGCTACCACTAGAGTGAAAGCACTGCCAGCATTCAAAAGTGACAAAAACCATCAGCCAGGAAGCATAGGAACTGAGAAGTGGTCTGTGGTCACCACCTGCAGAACCACTCCTTTATTGGGGGTGTCTTGCTAATTGCCTATAATTTCCACCTGTTGTCTATCCCATTTGCACAACAGAATGTGAAATTGATTGTCACTCAGTGCTGCTTCCTAAGTGGACAGTTTGATTTCACAGATGTGAAATTGTGATTTACTTGGAGTTACATTGTGTTGTTTAAGTGTTCCCTTTATTTTTTTTGAGCAGTGTACAATAACAAACATGAAGGGATTTATTCAGTACACACTGAATAGTAACAAACAAACAGAACTGTAACATTTAGGATAAACTAGCCAAGCTGTCACTACAGCTGAGTTGGTAGAATATTTCCAAAATATTTTACTTTTCTAAAAATAAAAAATAAACCTCAAGAGATCCTTTTTAAATACAGGCCTAAATTATTATTTAGCAGCAGCAATTTTGAGTATTGAGATGAGCTTACCAATTTTAGGAGATGCCCAATACAAAGCCAGTCTTCTATATATCCGGATATGCAAAGGAGGGCGTGTTGCCTTTTGTTCAGGTTCTTCTGGAGGTCTTTCTGTGGGTCCCAGGAATAAGATAGAGGCTTGGTGTCTCTGGGGCCACTCCTAAACATCAAGCAAAATAAAAGAATGGATTCGATTAAGCTGTAATCACAATCAAATACTGCCTCCACTTGTTGATGCAATTGCTTAAGGTTATTCAAGTACTCCACCATTATCTGCATAATGGCATGTCAAATGAATAGAACATTAATAGGCTTAAATATACCAATACTGTCAAAAAATAAAATCTTTCTTAGCAAATTATATGTTCAGTTTTAACTTTTATTTCCTGATCATTTATTCCATTGTGAAAGACCTAGGTTGTTTTCTATTTTCGAGTAGGTTTGAGGTTATAAATACATATAAAGTTATAAGTCTTCCAGATGCTCTGGCATATAAGGAACTGCAAATGGACACTTTATGACTAAGGCGTGGTAATGGGGACAAAAAGAATAGAAGTGCTACAAAGTATAGTAACAAGACTAAAGTATTTTCTAGAATGCTAGATCTGGGTGATTAGACGCTTCTATTCAAATCCCAAGTATGAACCCAAAAATGCATACATACATACATATATTTACAAGGATATTCCAAGCACCATGACCAGTCAGTGACTTCCCGGTGTTTGGAGTCTGTATGTGCAGCCTTTTGATATATTTAACCCCCTCTTCTTCCAGAGGTGTAACTCTACCTCTGGCAGCACTATTGGTCAGGACAGAACAACAGTTTGAGGTTCTGTGCTTGTTTGGTGTCTGTATTCAGCTCGCACTGCATGCTGGTGACACAGCCCAGGGAAGGAATAACAGCACAGCCCACACTCCATGCCGCCCATGTGCTCCCCACAGCCCTTTCTGCCTTTACCAGACAAGGAATGTTACATTAGAGGAGAAGCATTGGAATGTGAGAGTACTTTGTTTTACTTTTTTGTTGGAGTGGTGGAGAGAACCAGGATATGAAGGGGTTACTGGATACTAAAACATGACCTGTCTATTGGAATGTTGGTCAAGTCATGTTTTATCTCAACAGGAGACCATGTTTTAGAATCCATTACTACTCTTATGATGATGTCACCTGTGCAGTTATTACCCTAAATGCACAATCACCTTATGTCTAGGCCTGCAAGAGTGACACTTGCCGCCATTTTAACTGTCAGCTGAAATAGCTGCCACCTGGGATTTTAACTTCCACTAATCTCAGAAAGCATTTGGACATATTTGTCTTTGTAGTTAGTCCCTACACTACACTAAAACTGAACATCAACCCCTACAGTACACTGAAACTAATTATTAAGTTATACACTGCCATAACACTTACACGAACCAATTAAAAGAAAAACAGCAAAGAGTTTATTAGGGGCACTAATCCTTTGGTGTTGTGGTTTATTATAATAAATATCTGGTGAATATTTAGGAGGAAAAAATATTTTTATTAATTCATTGCAATGACAAGGTAATCTATATCTTCAATGTCTGATTTTTCCAGGCTGCAAACTGTCAAGAAATAATAGGAAATTGTGCCCACAATACCTTAAGCGTGCTAAACAAATGCGCAGCTCGTGTCTTCAGCGGCCCAAGATACCAATATCTGTATAAACGAGTCAGGACAAGGCACAGCGTGAGATAGGAAGATAGCCAGGATGGCGTTTATATCTTTACATGTAGCACATAATGAGCTTGGCTCTTGGAGGATTTAAAGGCAACTAGTTGTCTAGCTACATTCAGTACAGCTCTATAAACCACAATGTGTGAAAGCAATCGGGGGTTTTTACCAAATAAAAATGAATTCATAAAAAATACAGTACTGTTTCTAAGAAATCACTCAAACGAATTGCCCAACACCATCTTAAATGAAATACTTTGAAACCTTTCACATTATTATCGTTGGGATAAACATTTGTGATCTTATTTATGCCCCCCAAAAAATAACTCCCATAAAATTACAGCACAAAGCAGGAATCTCACTTTTCTAGGTAAATAGATAAAACTGTACGTGAAGTGATATCCAGATTAACTGGATATCTTATTCTAGAGCTACCTTAAGGTATTTATTAAACTAAGTGAATTAGTGGAACAGAAAATTATCACCTCGGGTATCAACTCAAAACCTCTGTAGTCTAGCTCAAGTTATCACAGTGTTGAAATGGGTTGGGTGCCTCATCAACTACACAGCTGCAAAGCCCAATATTCAAGTGGATACCGAGAGAAGCTTATTTAATTCACCCAGCGAAAACTGAAAACCAAAAACAGCCTGTCTTTTATCGGTGATTCCCATCTTGGGATTTAGTGATTAACACTATATATATATATATATATATGTAGTTTGATGGAAAATTAAGACATGCACTCACAGATGTCCCACTTTGCGGATTTCATATTAAAAGACATAAAATGATTGCTTCTGAACAGCAGCTGCAAACGAGGGCAGCGTAAACATAATATAATGCAGCAGGCAGGTGAGTTGGAGCTCAGTGTAACTCGGGGGGAAAAAAATGAAGCCCCCTAGTGGATTAATTTGTCTTCACCATCTGTACAGCATTCTGTTTTCTCAGTAACAGATTCGTTACACATATCAATGCTTACTTGCTGGCTTTTTCAGACGCATCTCGATAGCTTCCCCATCTTAACCCATTTACTGCAAACACTGGCTGGTCTTTGTCTCCCTGCAGGGCAAGGGAGATGGAGGTGAGGCCAATCAATCAAAACAAGTGTAATGAATTAACTCCTGTTACACATACATTGACCAGAAAAATAAGCAGGCATGGATATATACGGACCTTCAACTCTCCTGAAATAATGATAACAGGATTTGTATTTCAAGAAACGTTGAACATTTGCGGTGGATGAGCATTGACATGCTTTAGCAACTTGCTCTTTACATACATCCCAGTACAATTTCTGTTTCACATGATAATTTTAATAATGTTGAATTTATTATTATAAGCATACACAGAGAAAACAAGGTTAATGTCACGATATAGAAAGGTTCATTGAACAGGTTCCTCAAAAAACGATTATTTTCCATCTATTAATCCCTTTCTTACCTTTATCTGAAGCACATCAAGAGAGACTGTTTCTCCTTTCAGAATAGAAAGTGTTGCTTCTGAGATAAGCCTGAAAGTCAGAATTACAGACATCACAAACAAAAATCAGCCAGACACTCATTAATGCATATAGATGCCAGCAATACCAGATGGCACTACATGGGCTGTCTGCAATGCTGGCTTTTGGAGTATTGTCATCTGGCTATTTAGATAGGCATACCCTGGAAGGACCATGTACATAATCCGCACTAGCCATCTAGCAATAGTAATGGAAAAGGCTGATTTTAAGTTAAGTCATGTTCCTCCGTTACATCATTTATTTTGGACCTTCAGCCACTGTTTGCGGGAATACCTCTGAACTGGGGAGTCAGAAGATAAGAGGAGCTGTACTCCCAACAGCAGCAGGAGGCTAGGACTAGGTGTCCATACCTATTTATTGCATCCTGACCGTGAGGCTCATCCATGTCCACACAGACATTAAACATGGGTCAAGTGGAACGTAACTGTTCAGTGTCTGCTTTCATTTTTTTTTTTTTTTAAAGTCCACATAACCAAAATAAATAGTTGAATACATGCTAATTTATTTAACACAGCTTGTAGTTACACATCTCTATCTCCAGAGCACCCATAAAAACTTGCAAAAACAGTCCAGCTGTTAATTACGCCTTGCAAAGAATCGCAGGAGTGGTACTACAACAGTTTTGTGTTTCAATGAGCTGGCCTTGCATCATAGTAGTCATAATGCAACAAGAGTTAAGTTGCAGTTTGGCTCTTGACTTATTTTACAAAGTCCCTATTTTTTCCTTTCATTAACAACTATTTCAGAAATGTGCTTCTTTTTATGTAATTTGTTAGAGACCCTTAATGAAAGTGTGTAACCCATTACTCTTTCCTTCAAAAAGAGATTACTAAGAAACTTGGAAAAATGGCCATATATTGCATAAATGTGTAGCGTGTCTGGAGGATTGATGAGTTGGTACAAAAGCAGAAAGGATGGTTATTTCTTGTGCTGTAGGCTATCATAATTACACAAGCACAGACTGGCATATCCCAAAGTCATTACTCCCCATTGCACACTGACAGCAAAGAATTGCGATGACTCAACTCTGCACCTCCTAGCACTGGCTGGTACCCACATACTGCATCATAAAAAAAAAAATATATAACTGGTTACAGTTTTGCTGATATCTCAGATATAGATTTGATTTGCATATTCACATTGCAAAATAAATCTGCTTAGATTTTTATAATTTTCTTCCTTTTTGTGCTTCACAGACCCTATTATTTATGAACAAAAGTCACTAAAGGAGAATTAAATTGTAAAACACTTTTGAAGACTTCAACATTTTGAGTCAGGATAATAACTATGATCTTGAGCAGTGTGGACATTTCATTCTGGGAATGTGGAATGTCAATTAGTCCTGGAAGAAAAGGTTGTCATCAGTAAAATGTCCTCCACAACGTTTGTTTTGACTGTAGAGCAAGATGAGAAATCATGTCTGCGTAGGTCAGACAAGGAGATATATAGACACATTAAAGCATCACACAGATCTTATACTTCTCTAAAGGGCAAATTACTGTCTAGTGCCCATCAAATCAGCCTGTGTTGACATTACAACTAGATACAATTAATTTGTCCCCAACAGGAAAAATGCAAAGAATGTCTTTGCTCTATTATACCCATATCATGAAAAATCAGACAGACCCATTTCTGTAAGGCATATGTAGAACATCCCATACTTAACCCTCACATATTTTGAAGACCTGCAAAACTGAGGTAGGTTAAGGTGTACAAAATCAACAAACACCAACAAGAAGATAGCCCTTGCCAGCACGAGTAAGGAATTCTTAATCTACAAGCAGAAACCATTATTTGCATTAAAAATCAGAATTTTTTTTATAATCCCATGGAGACTTTTACATTTAAAGGGACACTGCACACACATAAAGCACTTCCGCTTGCTGAAGCGCTTTATATGTCCAGAACTTGTCATCTTAATTGCAGTTTCTATAAGTGCTGATTTCTAGAGTGTGCCTGCCTTCACTCCCAAGTAAAAGTATGACTGCTGGCGCATGTGTGTACTTGCGTGTGTCCACAGAGCTCACTTTAACCCTCCGCAAACTTCCTGTCTGTGGACTCCCTGGCTGGCAACCTGGAGGACTGAAAGCCACACATGCGTTGATATAACTTTCTTACTAAAAGGCTTAGCTAGGGAAAAAAAAAATAGAGGGGTTGGCAAATGCTGCAGATCTGTAGATGTTGTTTAGATATACCCCTAATGAAAAAATGCAGCAATAAATACAGGCTTTTGTTGTGGTATTTCTAGTAAATTGGAAAAAAAAAAAATATACTATTAAATACTATATGTTAAGAAATAAAAGCAAGGTATACTGAACTAAAGTCGGCTTCTAAACATAAATTTAATGAGACAAAGACATCACCAAGAGCTCCAGTTCAGGTTTCATAAAACTGGTAAATTGGATCTTGTTAAAACAAGGATTTATAATACAAATGTGTAACACAATTCTCAGGCAGATTGGTGGCTATGAGAAGGGCACTGCTTATTATACTGGCACACAGATGCCCTTTTGTAGTAATATAAGTCAAATCTTTGATGATAAAATAATTTAGCCTTTTTTCTTTTACTGATCAGCAGTGCAATGACAACAGAGTTTGAATGTATCAATGACCTCTGGGTTTGCCAAGACCCACTTTATTAACCTTCGATAGATAAAGCCTTAGAGAAGAAGGCAATGACATATTAATCTCTACTTCTTTGATTTCTAGGGTTCAATGAGGAAAAACAGCAAACTGAGGTTTAACTGATTAACCCTTCCCCATACTCACCAACAAGCTGCAAACATTTTTAACCCCTTAAGGGCCAAACTTCTGGAATAAAAGGGAATCATGACATGTCAGGTGTCCTTAAGGGACATCCTTAAGACAGTAAACACTATATTCCATAACATTGCTAATAAATGTGAAGCAGTGTGTGTATTACCTGTCATGTTACAAAATTAAGAATCATGCATTTTTTTTTATAAAGCTTAAAGTTTTATTAGCACATAGGAAAAAAATAAAGCTTTGTTTAAGAGAACACATATGACACTTAAAAGTACACTATAGTCACCAGAACAACTACAGCTTATTGTATACGTTCTGGTAAGTATAATCAGTCCCTTCAGGCCTTTTGCAGTAAACACTGTTTTATTTAAGAGAAAAGGCAGTGTTAAAGGGACATTATAGTCACTAAAACAACTACAGCTTATTGTATTTGTTCTGTTGAGTATAATCATTCACTTAAGGCTTTTTGCAGTAAGCACTATCTTTAAAAAAAAATTAAAAAAAATAAGTGTTTACATTACAGCCTAGGAACACCTTCACTGGCCATTCCTCCGATGGCTACTAGAGGTGCTTCCTGGGGCAGCAGTGCTACACACTGAGCAGTGTCTCCACCCTCTGCATGGAGACACTGAACTTTCCTCATAGAGATGCATTGATTCAATTCAACTCTATGAGGAGATACTGAATTGGCCAGGGCTGTGTTTGGCTTGTGCTGGCTCTGCCCCTGATCTGGCTCCTTGACAAGCTCAGCCAATCCAATGCTTTCTTATGGGAAAGCATTGTCATTGGCTCAGATCACCACTTCTGATGAGGTCAGCCAAGGAGGTGAATCAGGGGCAGAGCCAGCACAAGCAGACTGAAATAAAAGGTAATGTTTTACTATATTCAGGGGGGCAAGAGAGACTAGATGGTGTTTTTAAACACTGTAGGTCAGGAATACATGTTGTGCTCCTGACCCTATAGTGTTCCTTTAAGGGAACAATGCAAGGTCTAAACTTCTGTAACACATCTACACTGCATACTGTCTGACATAGTTTAGAAAGCACCTCAACAATAACATTTCACACTGCAGTTAGCCTGCCAAATTGTGCAAAACAATGACAGCCTCAAAGATGAGGAGCTTCATACTTGTACAGTGCTTGCAATAAGGAAAAACAGGCTTTTTATTTTATAATACATGAATTTCTCCATAATGCTGCCATTAGCTGACATATGAAAAGTATTAGGGAATACTTTCTGAATGCACTGTAATATATATATTACATACACCATAAGAGTTACCAAGAAGATCATCGCTCTTCTCTACAGGAGTAGCAAGCAGGTAACGGGAAAACAGCTTTTGCAGATCCTTAAAAGCCCTGCTTTATAGCTTGGCACTGTATTTCTGCCAAGGGCATCAATTAAATCAGGACACAGGCACTGGTCCAATTTAATTGCAATGCCAAGCTGTTTTACACATAAACATAAAGAGGTTTAGTCTGTGTGTGGACTTCAAATACGGAGAACAAAGTTGCCCTTTACAAAAATAGGATAGGCTATTCGATGACAAATGGGGTTACCACCATTTGTCATCGAATAGCCTATCCTAATACAACAAACATTTTAAGGTATGTTAAATTTAATTGATCAACACAGTTTCCACCCCAGGACCAAGTAGACTTTAATAGTGTCCTGCAAAGCTATATGAAGCCCAGTGTCAGAATGTAGCCTCTTATACTGACTTACTGAGCTACACAACAACTGCAAAATAGCACACTACGGAGGTCTGTATATGCTAAAGCATTGGCCTCCGAACCCTTACTAGCCCACCAGGTAAGATAGACAGGAGGGAGGAGGTCTTAAAGTACTCAGTCTGTGAATACGTTAATTAGAGGCTGAGGCATCAGCAAAAGACTGTTGAGAGAGCGAGCGAGCGAGCATACTTACTGGACTTGATTGTCAGTCTCAGGATACAATGTTCGACTGAGGGTGTTAGTCATTCCAAGAGGAATAAATCCAATGGGGACTTTGCTGAAGGAAGCCTAAAAGCACAGCACAAATGCAACATGATTAAAGAGAAAACCAAAGAATGCATGTTTTGAATTATCCTCAATCAAAGTACAGTCTTAGAGGTGAACTGTTTGAATTAATAAGTTTGACTTCACAGTTTGATATTAAAAAGTGTAAATTATAGCCAACATCAATTCTGTTTTTGAATTCATAAGATATTGCAGTCATTAGGATAAGAGGACAGCATTGTGTAAAACATGAGAATCTACATACTGAAACAATTCAAATTGGGTACTTCTCTGTTGCTTGACCATATATAGAAGATTTAATAATGCTTAAGAAAAAAAAGGAATAGTGAGAATGCATCGAGATGCACTTCTGAAATACCATCACATCTGAGACAGAAAATCATATACTGTAGATTGTATAGTACCATCTAGAAATAAGTATGGACCTTATACAGTAGCTAAAAGGTGCTTCCCATGATGGGGTTCCATTTATTAAAAGCAAATTGATGTCATAAAAAGCAAGTATGGTGTAGCAAATCAAAATAAACAACCATCTTAAAACAAGTAAGCTGTTGGCAAAACATTCAAGAAATTAGAATAATATAAAGCTCTATGTTTTTTTTTTTTTTAAATATTTCCCCTACAATTTGTCCTATGTATCAAGTTAAATAACAGAACAAAAACACTACAAAATCTTGACAGACTTCCTTTAAACACGAGTCAGCCTTTACACATTCAGAAGATACATTTCTCTCATTTATAGGGGATCTTCTGCTTTCTAGAGGTCTTAAACTACAGCTGGGAAGTATATTGCAGAGGAAGAAGTGTCAGGATTTGCCAGTGGGTGGCAGGCTGAAAAAAAATGTGGTTAAAATATAAAAGGTTGCTGGATTTATATTACAGCTCACAACTGAGTTAGCGCAGGATATGGAAGGCACGTTTCAAACAGCCTAGCAAAGACTATGAAACATAAAAGAAATTCTAGATCAAAAAGAGTCTGAAAATCAGGTAAGAAAGTAGCAAGGTCAACAGGTTTTCTGCTGTCAAACTCTTTGATTTTTTTTTTGAGCTTCTTTTAAAAGATCAGTTATTCCTGCTGGATTACAGTCCATTTGTTTTTAAATAGTCAAACAAAACTAAAAAAACAGGACAGAAGTTGAGGTGGGAATAGGGCACAATGCAATCAGATTTGTTAAAAATATTTTTTTTTATTGCTACAACCTCCCTTTTATATGGTATCGAAAGGAATATTTATATTTTTCAAAAAGGAAACATTTAATAGTCTTTTAAATGTCAAACACAAGGCAGCTTAGTGTCCCGTAAAGAAAGAGAGAGAAGGGAAGAGAGATTTCACAGAGGAGTTACAAGAGATACAAAGTAGCAAGCTGGTAAAGAGAGTATACGATTTGGCACCAATCTCCTTTGTTGTAACATGGGATCCAATACCTACTGAAGCCACAGTTCTCACTAAAATATCACAAGGGAGCGGAGATGTAGCACTATGACCTATAAGCAGGAGAAGGCAACCGTCGTCACTCCCGATGTTGTGGACTATATCTCCCATAATACTCTTGAAGCCATGATGCTGGCAAAACATCAGGGGAGATGTAATCCAAAACATCTGGAGTGCTGAAGGTTGGTTACCAATGTCCTATTCCTTTAGTTACTATTGAAGAAACAGATCTCTAGATTATGATGGAGCTGAAATGTATCACCATATCCTACACCTTTAGTCACCAGTGAAGGTATAGTTGATGATGAGACTAGGCTCAACTTAAAAAAACTCATACTTTTAAACCATGGGAGAGCCTACCTACTGTCTGTATCACAAATAAGACATTAAAGGAGCACTATAGGGTTGGGAACACAAACATGTATTCCTGACCATATAGTGGTAAACCCACCATATAGGTGGCTTACCCTGCTCCTTTACTCCCCCCCCTCTAAAAGTATAAAACTCACCTTATTTCTGGTGCCGCGCAGGTCTGCAGGTGACATCATCGAAATGGCACATTTTTAGGCAATCCATGGGAGAGCCTACCTATTGGCTAAAATCGGCACGGGGCAGGGAAAAATTCAGTTTTGGCCAATCAGGACCTCCTCATAGAGATGCACTGATTTAATGCGTCTCTATGAGGAAAATTAAGAGTCTCCATGCAGAGCGTGGGGACGCTGAACAGCAGGGCTGCTTACTGTGCAGCCCTGAGCCAGGAAGCCCCTCCAGTGAAAATGCCTGAAGGGAGCTATTATATTCACATTAAGCTGTAGTTGTTCTGGTGACTATAGCGTCCCTTTAAGCATTCAGTTTGTAAGAGCAGTGAGAGTCACTATAATAACTCAAAAATGCATTGTTTAAAAAACATAGATTTATCTATTTTGATGACATAAAAGCTTTTTGTTCAGCTGTGAGAAACTGCCATCTGGATAGTGACGCAAACAGCTGTAAACTCAGTAAAAACACATGAGTTGTCTATTGTTTTGTTCCATCATTTTGTGGAAGTGAAAATTTTCTAGGGAAAGAGACATTGAGAAAACCGTTTTAAAAGAACAAAGACAGAAAACATCAGTAGACAATCAGGAAGACAATTCAAATTATATGTGAAGAACATTTCTGGAACAGTGTTTTAAAAGTAGAGCAGTATACAGGTGCATACTTGGTTTCCATGGTGAAAGCTGCACCCTTTTGAACTTTTGCAACGTTGAACCAAAAGAATCCCCTTACACATCACTCTCAAGGTATGAGACATAGAAATGTAACTGAAGGTGTTCATTGGCATCTATGTAAACTCATGATATTGACTGATCGATATTACTCATTGATATGACTATGCTTATTATTTGAGTTTACATTATACTTCAAATCACAACCCAAAACGGTTTAGCTATAGTTATTAAAGAAATAAAATATTTTACTGAATAGAAAAAAATGTGGACAAAAATTGTCAAAAAAAAACGTGATTTCATAGAAATATCTTTTGTTTTATTTTACATGGCTACCAATTTAGAGCTGACGGAGAGCACAGAATCACAGTGCACAGAAACAGTACCTGATCAGCCCTGCGGAGGAGTCCGGTGATCACCTGGAAATACAACAGAATACATTCCTTATTGTTCTGAAACCTTCAGATGGATTACTAAAACACTAGTAGAACAATAGGCAGCCCACACACCTAGCCTGAAGGAGGCGCTGCTTGCAGAATGCTTGTTCCAGCCATATTGGGATCTAAACAATGAATGCCAGGATCAGAGTGTTCTTGTGTCATTTTAACTTTGCTATAATTATTAAAATTTCCTTGATTTTAACAACTCTCAGCTGAGATCCATTTCTGCTAGTATTAGCAGCTGCCAGACAAGAGAGGAAAGTGAACTACAAACGGAAATTGAACTACCAGTGAAATTAACCTGCCTTTGTAGTGGGTTCAGCAGAGTGTAGGCACATAAGGGAGCATTTATTCTCCCACCACTAAGAGGAAGACAGCAGCAATGAGGGGAGTGAGGTTCAGGTAAATATATTCAACAACTCCCCAGGTGCCAACATGTTAGATGACAGACCGTCTTAGAGGTCTTTGATAAAAAAAATGCAAATAGCCCAATAATCACAGTTCTGCTTTAAAGAAGCACGCCAAACACCTAAAGCACTTTAGTTTGCTGAAGTTCCTTATGTGTGAAGAGTGTGTCCTCTTTATTTAAAAAAAAAAAAAAAAAGTGCAGATTATAATAGAAATATACTCTTGATACCCTCCTGGCTGTGAATCAATCAACCAACCAACCAACCAACCAACCGGTCCTGTCACTTCTGTGGGTCCCAGGGCAGCAATAGTTCAGAACATGCAAAGATGACTTCTCAGCTTAATTGAAGAGTCTGTGATTGGACAGCCTTAGAATGTCTGGGCTGGATAAGAAGGGGAGGGCTGGCAAAGGCTGCAGACAAGATATCTGCAGCTTTTTCAAGATGCATGACCCTTTGAAAAAAAATTATTCAAAAGGTATGTATAGCTATACAGTTCAGAAATTCAGATTTACCTTTGACATTTTCCCCCTAAAATTACAGAGCAAAATTAGTGACCTGGTTATTTAAAGGGAAAATAAAAGTCCAATAAAAATACCCCATATTTACTACTGTATAATAGAGAGCATAAAAAGTAAATAAAATTAAAAAGAAATATTATCTATATGATATCTTCTCTTCAAAGCTGTATTTAGAGAATTTGACTACAAGCAGACCCCTCTCACACCAGGAATTGGCTTAACTAATTAGGAGCTATTTATTCTGGTCTGTTGGGTCTGATCTATAGACCTTTGTCCGAAAGCAGAGGAGAGAGGCACACGCACAATGTGGAAAACATTTACATTTCAGAGGAGGGATTTAAAATACCCCCTTAGATGTTTCCAAGCCAGGGGGATGAATTTAGATATCAGAACAGAGAGTGGTTCCAGAGTACACTATCTATGAAAATCCATATTATGCTACTTAGTGTAACTGTTTCAAGAACATGTCATTTTCATAGATCAATTTTCTTGGCCTTTTTTTTATACAGAATATTTTAATTGATCCTAGTTCAAATTGCATCCACAAATGCTTAATATTTTCAAACATAGAAAATCCAAAGAAGCCTATGTGGCCATTTAATCATTAATTTATGCCCCAATTAGTGGTCTCTTTAATGCATTCTCACACATATCATTATTTCTGTGAATTTCACAGGTCATATGTGGAAGAATTTTTTTTTTTAAATAATATTAATAAATGTATCTCAAGCTACAGCCAAGCAAAGCAATGCTGTCCTTTATTTAGGTTTGCCAGGATTCAGTGAGATTAATGGGACAACAGCAAAAGAGGGCACAGCATATATTTTTTTAATTTTTTTTTTTTATAAATGCAAAACCTGGACAGGAGACATTGATCAATCTTTCAATCTTTTTCTAACACTAAATTTTGTTGGAGGGGGTTTCTCACATGGACATTTCTGTGAAAAATTGCAAAAATACTTTTTAGAAAATATTTAGAACACACACATTAGAGACAAAAAACATAAAATAAACTTTTCAGAACTCATCGATTAAACTCCCTCATTGTGTGATGTGTGTACCAAGAAAGAAGTTGATGGATTAAGTGGATGAGTGGATGTTTCAATGTCTTACCTCTTGCAAGGTGCCATTTCCCCCGGCCACAATAATCAAATCTGTGCCTTCCATCAACTCCAGCAGCTGCTTGGCTTGACCTTCATAGTCTGTCTGAAAAGTTTAAAAGTCAGAGGTCCACTCAGTAAAATTACCAGTTGCAATAAGGATAATGTCATTGCAGATAGCAGCAATTAGGTTTTGCAAAAATAAAGAAGTGGTTGGCATTTTGAGGAACTAGAGATCTATATTTGCATAGGCTCAGGGTCACTTTATTAGGTAGCCTTGTTTATTACAAGGCAGGATCTTCTTTTCCTTCAATTTCTTGCCAAGAAAATATTATACTAAACACCAGCCACACTGGTAAGAACAAGAATTGTGATATATTTCTTGAAATTGGAACTTTTATAAAATAAGTCAGAGGGGACATGCAGTGTTCCTTTAAAAATTGTCTATAAAGTCAAGAGACTATGATGCATGGAAATCCCAGGTCAGCTGTATCTGAAATGCTGGAACCAAAAAACATATCACAGTAATAGTCACTGTCATCAAGCATCTCCAAAATTCTGAAATTTGGTGGAAAGCCAATCAAATCCATGTCTGCCTGATAATATATTTTTATTTTTTTCCCCACTATATTATATTTGTAGCGGAGTTCTGATAATCTGGCTGGATATCTCAGCTGAAATTCCCTCTACTAGAACAAGAGCCTTTTAGTGAATTTAAATAATGTGTGCGCGCGCGCACGCACGCACGCACGCACGCACACACACACACACACACACACACACACACACTATTTAAATTCATCTATACAGTTGAATTTAAATAACTTGTGTGTGTATGTGTATATAAATGAATTTAAATAACGTGTGTGTGTGTGTGTGTGTGTGTGTGTGTGTATGTATACATACACACACACAAGTTATTTAAATTCATCTATACAGTTGGTGAGGAAATGCAAGCTAAGGCTTATACTGGATTTGATGTAGTTTGGGTGTGAAGGATGTGAAGATGGGAAAGGGAGGGATCAAGGGTTAACCATGGGAGGGTGGTGACACAGGAGACTGAAGGCGACCCAGTATTGGTCTCAAGTTTTAGGCTCTTTGAACAAATTTCTGAAAGGATGCAAATGACCAATGGTGCAGTATATAGATTTAACACTAACATCACAAACTACTTGTTGCACATATTAGTGCTTGAGACATATAGTTGAGATAATTGATAAAAGTAAAATACACCTAACAATGAGGTCATCAACCAATTCAGTGAAGTTACTTAGACATGTAGGTAGCTCCTGCATTGCTTCTGTCCTATTTCTGAAGACAAAAAAAAAACACAACAAAAAAAACAAAAACAAAAAAAACTCTATACAGACCCCCATTGTTCAAGCACATTCTGTATTCTGAGTGCTAGGAGACACAGTCTCCTCCAGAACAGTCGTTTCTATATTTATATCATAATCAACAATCTGCAAAATGAAAAATAGCTGTCTGGCAATTAGCGGTCACAGTGCTAATCACCACCCTTCATCCTGAGCTGTCACAGCAATTCAGAAAGAGGGCTTTTTATAGTGCAGATCTATCCGTGTACAACACCTGCCTCACAAACAATACTGTGCATAGCAACATCCAGGCAGACCTTGCTTAAAGTTCCACAAGTATGTTCTGGATTACTCTGGAACACACCTTGACTTCCTGAAAACTGGAGCTTGTTGTTTTGGTGCATACAGTGTCCCTATAAGGTTTCCTAAATTGCCTGTATCAATAGTGTTCAAGTTTTAAGCCCAACTGAGATTTGAGAGAGTTTAAAGGGACACTATAGTCACCAAAATAGCTACAGCTCATTGTAGTTGTTCTGGTGTGTATAGTATGTCCCTGCATGCTTTTTAATGTAAACACTGCCTTGTCAGAGAAAAAGCAGTGTTTACATTACTGCCTAGTAACATCTCCAGTGGCAGTTACTAAGTTACATATGTACAGCACTGACTTTCAGCGTCTCCACACTGTACATGGAGGCGCTGAACATTCTTCATAGAGATGCATGGATTCAGGGCCAGATTAAGAGCCCAGTGGAACCAAGTGCATGCAAACTGTATAAACCAAAGGTAAAATACAGTACAGGGTCCCACAATCACAAAATATTTGTTAGTTATAGTTTCCAAACTGCAGAGTTAGAATGAAACTCACATGTAAAAGAGAAACAGAGAAATCATAGTGCAAACCTTAATACACACATTAAGATGGCATTAAGATTAGTTTTAACCCTTATTAATGGGAGCAAGAGATGTCAGGCCACCTAAATTTTTTTTTTTTTTTATTCTTTATTTTTGCTGTGCAGGAAAAACAAATGCCTACTATGCCACAACAGCAGGAGTAGGCACATTAATAACAGTTGGAATCATAGGTATTGTAACAGAAATAAGAGCACTGTAATGGCCACCCAGCTAGTGAGAGGGGTGTATGCCGTTGGAGACGTCCTTTTCCCGGCGAGAGGCTGTGCTGCAGAGTATTCCCGATATCCCATCAGCTGGATGAGTGTAGAGAGCTCTTACAAGAGCTAGTGATTTAGCTGGATGCAGGTTCCCTTCAATAACGAGACGAGGCTACATATTGTGGGTTAAGCAGAACTGTTTTAACGGGCACACAAGCATTTCTTTTATACGCATTTTCCCACAAGGTTACCACCCACGTGGACCTTGTTGGGCACCGAAGACACAAACTTAACAACCAATCATTTACAGTTACACAGTTAAACACTCCCATTAATTACTGTACATTCCTCCCCTCTGCTTGGGAGATAATTGAGTTAATTGCTGTATCAACTCAATTACCTCCAAGCGAAAAATATACTTTTTACACAATAAGACCAAAACTACACATTCAATTTCAATAAAAGTTACATTTTCTGAACAAGCATAATTAGGAGACAAACATACTCAAAAATCATATGTATCCGTTCAGGGGTTCGGGAGATCGCTGAAAGTCCCATCCCTGCCCGGCCGCACACGAGGCTCCTGCCTAAAATTGTTCCATACGTTCAGCTGGTGCGGCCGGTCTATTTTCGTATGTTAAAAATACCGAACAGTTATTCTTTTTATTTGTTCGTGAGTTTGCTGGTCGTGTGCCGCCCCTTTGTGCAATACTTTTACCGAACGCCGCCTCGTTCGTGTAATTCTGGGCGAAGCTAAGTGGTTCTGGAAGTCTCAGCAGTGTTCGGGAGTTTGAGTGTCCGAAAATAGTTCCAGACACTCGATGACCAAAGACAGTTGAAAGCGTTCGACAAAACAAGATGGCCGCCACCACGTGTTCATACATACGAATGGACGGCCACCCAGTGAACCACTTAGAATGCTTTCGGTTTGGCACAGAGTCAAGAGGGTAATTGGCGGAACACGCCTGGGCTGGGTGGTCTCTTGTTCGGCAATTTGTTCGCTTATACGAATGGGTTAGCATTGTCATTTGTTTTCCCGTTCGTATGTTTAAATATAACACTGGTAACAAATCCAGGGGGTTAAAATGTTTCAAGTCTGTTGGCTAGGCAATAACAGGGGTTCTGTTACAAGCACATTTTTAAAAATGTTATATTTCTCTATTTTTGTTGTGCATGCGATTAAATACAGACTTACGATACCACAACAATATAAGCAAGCAATTCAAGATACAGATTAGATAGAACTTTGACATGGTATATGAAGTAACTGCACATTTTTGGTAAATATATCAGTATGGAGTCAAGTAATAGCAGTCTGGCTACTCTAATCAACAGTGCTTCAGTATTCTAAAACATGCTTAATGACAGGATATACATATTTAGCTGAACACAGGCTGTGAACCTAGGCATTTTCAGGCATGGCACCAAACACTAGGATATTGCCAGGTGTGAATGAGTGGGTAGTATGGCTGGCAAATCATTTGTAGGTGTTCTAGTAGTTAGGTCAACAATACTAATTGCTAATTAAAAGGTGCAGCCTATGTTTGAGCCATACATTGTACTTATGCTTAGTAGAGTTTAGCAGGTTTAGAGGACACACATCAGCAGAGCATTAATTGCTAGGATGTGTCAGAGGAGTAGTACAACTATAGGTAATGCATCTCATGAATAAGTAAATGTAATAAGTAGCTGACTAAAAAGTAAGCCAGAAGAAAATTAAAACAAAACCAAACATTTTAGTTGACATCAAACTAGTGTGCTAAAGCTGCACATAAGCTTCAGGAAAGTCTGTATCCTTATCTCAACCAATTCCACAAGCATGCTTTAACTGGGGTCCAGCTCGGCTTTCAGTTACAGTTTGCTGCGTGGTTTACCCTGTACCTCCCTGCCTCACCTGGAGGTCGTTCAGATCGCCATAGGTGATACGGCCATATTCCAACTTCTCTGCTCTCCAAGCCCAGGCCAGCACATGATCCGGTACCTTTTCACCACTTAGCCCCCCATCATCAGATGACCAGCTGATGTCATGAGACCTCCACTCTGCAAGCAGTCCAACAGGGTCGTGGATGGCTGATGTATATGACGCCCATCTTGGCTATCGGCCTAGAAGGAGAGCAGTGTGCTGGGACGTCGCTAGGGACACCCTCCATCAGAGGCTGGGTAAGTAATGGCCTTGTTTGGCGGGACTCGATCCAGATAGCTGTGCATATAAAATCAAAAGCTGCATTGAACCTTGATTCCCATTGAGACTGTGGATGCTCAGGTGGCCTGGTAGCCATCTTAGGTATGTCACGAGGCCTCTTCACGTCAGAGTAGGTGAGAGTGTCTTTGCTCCTTAGCCCCCAGTAACTTTTCTCTGGTGGGCACCGGGATAATGCCTACCGGTCCAGAGGGAGGGGCGCAAGGTTTCAGCTGTATACTTTGTACACGCTGGCAACTCCAGGCCTGGAGATTGGCAGTTTATTCTTTTCACAGATCGCCCAGGTGCATAGGCCTCAAAATCTATTCCGGGCTGCATGTGCTTCAGAAGTGCTTCAAACTCTGTATGTGAGGAGCTCACTAAGAACACAGCCATCCACCATGCTAGCCAGGCCCCACCCCCCCTAAAATGTGTTTTAACACTGTAGTGTAATGAATACACATTTGTATACCTGATACTATATTTTTCCTAACATAGCTCAGTTCACTAAAAACAATTGGGCTATGAACAAAGTGATAGCTGCAATATGGGTGCTATCCCTTTAAATAGCAATTCCAATTACCGTGTGTAATGAGTAACTGCCTAACAGTGTTTTGGTTAGGAACTTCTAAGGTGAGTATCTTTTTTGTTTTGTATATGTAATTCATTACAAATAGTGGGTAATCTTTATACTACAGATTCCCTACAAAATCCATATTGGCTTGGGTGGGGCCTGACAGCCGAAAAGGGGAGCCGCACACTGCTATGCTCCTCCGGATAAACGACTTGCTTTATTTTTAAAGTTTTGTGCCATAGGGGACCAAATGTGTCAGGAGCCTCTCTAGCCTGCGACCGGTCAGCATGGCGGTCAGGCCCCGCCCCCTGCTACTCATTTTTATGCCTGCAACTGGCAGATACGACTCGTGTGAGACAGCCTTGAGGACTGCAATTTCGGTCAGGGACGGGGAGGCAGCCGACTCTCGGCCTTGACCTGGAGCTGCCTACCTTGGAGCCCTGTCTCCCTCCTCCGGGCCGGGGGGGAATATCTGCTCCCCACTGGCGTAATACAGTGGTCACCCAGCTGACATTGCAAGCTGCCTGGCGATTTGGAGCGTTGAGACCTGGCAATTAAAACGGCTACCCTGCTGGGGCCTACAGTCTCTGGCGTTACCCGCCCAATGAGCCGCAACAAAGAGCCTCAGTTGCCATTATGGGACATGTGGTACCGGATTGGCTGAAGACTGGGATCGTGTGGAAAAGCCTTCTTGGGGTGTTTGATGGTGGCAGCTGCTGAGACTCACCCCTAGTTGGCATTGGCTGAGTGACGCACAAGCATTATCTGCGGTCAAGTGGTTTTTGAACCCCAGTTGTTATATAATGTTTTACTAGGCTCTACTATATGACTGCAATTGTATATGCTGCTGAACCAGTGGTATCTGCTCTTGGAAATCCTCCTTAGTGCTGCTCTACCATTCTATTTATCATAAGCAGTGCAGCTTAATCCAAGTGTATATTTGTTTTATTTTTGTTTGCATCACAAAATCACTATATTTGTATGTGTTACGTTATAAAAGGTGCAGTATTTTCACCATTTCCTGTAACAATATGGTGTGTACTCTGGCTAAAATGTCTTGATATGCCTGTACTTCTCTATTTCCACCACAAAAATAAAGAAGGTTTTAAAAAAAAAATATATATATTTTTTAAAATCCATATTGGCTGCAACAGAGAGGAGATAAGGTGTTAAAAAGAACAACTATATTGAAATGAATTAAGGACTTAAAGGTATAACCCAGGATTGAAATTATCTATATTGTTTGAAATGCATTGTAAGGGTAGCTCCAAGCACCATGACCATGAAACTGACAGACCCTTTGATTTGCAGCAAACACAAACTCCCAACGTGATTATCTTTTTTTGTGGTATATGCCTCCTACCAAGAGCTGCTGGCTTTCAATTCCAGCTGTGAGGAGGCAGGGAGCAACGTCCAAAGAACCTGAGGTAAGATGTCAAATGATTAGCAAACGATTTGACTATTTACATTAGGTGGGGCTTCAACCACTAAAGCATGTGTACATTTAAGCTAGGAAGAACCATTTAAGAGTAGTTTGGAACTTGTATTGTCTGTGTGCACCTAAAGGCCTTAGATATGGAAAGAGGGCCTACAACATTCATAAAGTTTATCCAGTGTTATACATAGAGAATAGGCTTGTAACTACATTTAGTGGCCAGTTTTTTGGAAACACGGACAGTGGACCATACTTTTTTTTGTTGTTGAGCCTTTTAATAGGTAGAGCAATCTCTAGGACAAAATCAGTGAAAATTACGCTTTTACTTCCTTACAGTAGAGTGCTGCTTACATCATGGACACATAAAACGAAACTTTAAGGATGCTCAACACTTCAAGTCTTGCATCCATGCTCAATAGCTCATATCAAAATGGTTACAAACAAATATTGGACATGGAAGAGCAGAATAAATAAAAGAGCTTTATTCCACCAATGTGGACTTAACAACTTATTTGGATCTGAAATGTTGCCAGATCTTTGTGATTTCAGTGTTGTGGACCTGTTATTTGTTTTGTGCATTCAGAGGTATAGTGAGAGTACCTTGAGACAGCACACTCAGAGCTACTTGCCATAGAGTGCTACTTTGCTCATTTTGCATTGCCTGTGCTAGATAGAGGCCATTTTATAGAATATCTGAAGCATTAACGCTGATATTTACATCTCTGGTGTACTCAAGGTTTAGTGAATAAAACTCAATATCACTGACTGTACAACATGGCGCTCTACTGGAGCAGAGGGTGTTAAACTCCTCACAAATTCCTCTATTTAACATTCACAGCAGCAGTGCGGCAAACAGCATCTAATTTTGGAGCTGGGAGGTGGCTCACAACTGCTCTAATTAATCTGCAACACTTGATTGCATTTTCAATTCCCCCTCCTCATCCTTCCACTTCCAATTTCCTTTGGTGACTTGCAAGGCAAGGTCCGCAGCTACAGCCATGACCTATAAAGCAGACTTCATAGAAGGTGAATACTGCAAAAGCTTGAAACACTCTTTCAATGCCAAGCATGAGAAACCTACCATTAATTTTCACTAAATTTCCAAAGTATTTCCCTGAAATAAAAACCATTACATTGTATGCATTAGGGATTCATTACAGTAATAAAGTTAAATCTTTTATGGATGTATAAAATAATGAAAGCCTGTACACCAGCGAAAATGGATAAGTACTAGAGATCAGTGTTTCTATATGTCCCAGTTAGCAAGCATATAAGTGCAGCAAATTAATGACAATGAGCTTATTCTACCATGAAAGTGGTAATTCTGGCAATACAACCTTTTCAGTGAGGTATTAATGAAGATTGCTGCATTTATTTCTAATACTTGTAGAACCTTTGCTACACAATTACTTCACTGTAGCATTATTCTCTTTCACACTGGTCTGATACATCTGAGAATTACTGGAACATTTTCAAGAGGTCCCTATGTATTTTCCACCTTTACCTGGGCCAAGGAACAGAAATATTTCCAAAGACATTGTTCATCGCGATCAAATGATGAAAGCAGAGATAACTTCTCCCTTTGCATCCTTGCAAAAGAGTGAAAGGGTATATCATATCATCCACCTTTATTTGCTAATCCTCACAAAGCACACTATCACATATGAAAAAGTGCTATTGTTATGTACATTTCTTTATGTAAAACATAATGAGAGGTGACAACAATGACATCTGCACATAAATGTGAGCTCTTTTGACAGTGTGTTCAAAATGCAAGACCTCAATTTATAAGTAAGTTATAGTTTGCTTAGCAATCCAGATACTTTTTAGTCCTATGCTTACCTGAAGTCCCTTTGTCGTCTCAGGTACAGATGTCTAGTGCAGTGGTTTTCAATCGCTTTGCAGCAAACCACATCGAACTGTGCCACAAACACATTGACTTCAGGGTTCTAATTAGCAGACCGCAGTCCTTATGTATTTATTTTTTGTAAAGGCTTGCATTAAAATTATTTCTATTTGACAACAATTTAAAACTTGCAAGATATATATACATACCCCTTCAGTAAAAGTTGAAGTAAACTGTTCTTGTAAATAAAAATGTGGGTGTGCCTTAGTCCAAAAAAAAAAAACCCAACAAGTTGGGAACAGCTGGAGTATGGTGCCATTGCCAGGATCAATAAGGCTTTATTCTACACCCTTAAAGCATCTACAACAGTATAAGGAGTCTTTTCACAGAGGCTATACTGCCACTCACCTTTACCACTGTGATGTCTATTCCAGCCAAGTTCAGAATGGGAGCTGCATTCTTCTCAAAGAGGTTCCTGGCTTTCCTATACAACAAAAGAAATGTATTACTATTATTTATTTCATTAACCAACATGAGGGTATCTGGATGTCCACTGAAATATTGGATATATTTAATTTGGTTTTTCTCCTGATACAATATACAGGCCCTAAAAACCGCAAGTAAATTATTCAAACCACTAACATGCCCCTAAGTGAACAGTTGAGTAAGGATGGTTTATATTAAATAGTGTAACAAGATGATGTCTGTGCTCTAGAATCTATAAATAGTGGTATGTAGTGGAGAGCTGGAAATCTGGCATTGTAATAGACAGATGTAGGCAATAACAGATAGTTGACTTGGAGCAGTTAAAAAAAAATGTCTGTGCACATTGACATACTGTCTTAGGTCAGTACATAATGTAAGAAACTGGGCACACAATCAACTTTTTATTACTCACTTTTTTGACACCAGCAGAGTTTAAAACTAAACTTAACTTGCTCCATCTGGGATCCCAAATAAGCTCTAATATTTGTCACCTGCCTCTATATCCCCGAACGAAAAAAAAAAAAAGTAAAAAATTGTCGTTTTGTCCTTAGTTTATGTGCCCACTTATGCATGCACACGAAGTAACTACATCCCAAAAACTCATCCGGTTACTCCAACCAAAAACCAGTGTTTTTTTTATAGTAACTTTTGTTGTGGTGGTCCACCTCCTCCAAATAAATTAAATAAATAAGGGCTAAAACTTACTAATGTTCCAACACTGAAGCCAAGTTATCCCTGAAGTTACGTCACTCCCCTTGCCAGAGGGGAAGGGAGGTCAGGCTAATGAGAGGACAGAGGCTGGTATGGAGGCTGGTCATGCTGGCGTTAGGTGCCAATTTTGCACAGAATTGACATTATTGATACCCAATGACACTGGTGAAGCTCCACCATCCAGCAGTAGAGGGGTTAATCTCTGTACATGCAGTGTTTTAAAGTGAAAAGCTGCATATGCAGACTACAGGCACCATGACTAATTCAAATAAAAAAAAAATAAAAAAGTGGTCATGGTGCTTGGAGCTACCCTTTAAGGGTCTATTGACTAACAAGGATATTTACTGAAGTTAGAATTGAATTTCAAATTAAGGCTAAAAGAGTGGAAAAATTATCCAAGTCAGCTATGCTTCTATTTGAGCTACATCGGTCTACAATGTGAAATTCACTTTTAATTCCTGACATTTCTCATGTTATTAAATAACCCTGAATATGTTGAAAGTCAGCCATGTGGCAATTCAGCTGTTTCAACACAAATTTCGCTATATAGAAACTACTTTACTATTTACAGTAGCAAATTCAGCTACTTTAGCATATGACGCACTTTATTTGGCCGCCATTTGGTTACAATTCTCCACTAGTGGACAAGCAAAATCAGTACAGAACTTTCATAAAACATGCATTATGACATATAATGTGCATAAAGGAATTAAACACTTATTAGCTACTTTTATATGCTTTACTAAGACATACTTTCATTACAAACATTAATTTCTGTAATAGTTTCAAAACAAATAGGCAACAAATTTACATAAGGACACATTGCTGTGTTTTACCCTAATTCCTCTGCTAACATTATTTAGCTCAAAACTAGAAAATAACTGTATAGTAATTGTTAATAAATCAATACGCAATTAAGCTCAAATAAAAACATACAATTTGCTTGACGGAAGCGTCCACACAGGAAAAGTGTTACAGGGCGTAAATCAATTAAATGAATGCTAAGGGTGATTGAATGTTCTAATTACACAGATCAATTGTTTGCATTTTTGACCTGTTTTAATAAAGCAATACGGAAGTATTTATTCAAGCCCAGCAGTTTTCCTATGGTGTATTAGCTCATGACTCCAAGGCTCACTGTTGGATGAATGGAAAGATTAGTGCTGTGTAAGAATTGACAGGAAAGACAGAGATTGAAACCCACCAGTCTGCTATGTTTGAGCTCACCCTTTGCAGGCAGCAGGATTCAGGAAAACAGTTGCTTTCTTCACAGCTATACTGGGGTGAATCAGCTCGTCTCCAAACACCTTACGGAGAAAAGATTTTGCATAGAGTAGCATATGAGCGACTAAATTAGTAAATTGGAAGATAACTGGAGTGCGTTAATTGCAAACCAGATCTGAAATACACAATGAAATATATATAAAAAATAAAAAACAAGCAAACATCATGATATGTTTATACGTTTAATAAAAGTTCCTCTGTTGATACACGAAACAACATATACCCGTTTTTACATTTCTTATACATTGCCCTTATTATGATTAGCCAATAAGTACTTGGGACTAAAATAGAATCAGACTACATTAAAAAGACTCTCCAAACACCATATTTACAGCAATTTATTGTAGTGATTATGGTACTAAAAAGCTATGCAGTCAATTCATTTTTTCTCAATTCATTTCAAGCCTCCAATTTATCCATCTAAAGACATGCACATATAAAGGAGAAGTGGACTTATCACATTACAAAAACTGAAGAGAGGGCACCCACTAAGGAAAAGGGAGCTGCCAGATCATTACGGAAATGCTAAAATCAGGCATCAATCAGTCCACTGTTTTTCTTTTAAAAACTTTATTCCAACATGAACTAAGCTGGGGAGTTATACAGTATCATTTGTGGGTGAAGGCATTTTCAAGCAGATGCATTAGGTAGTTATGAGATGAGAAATAAAGTGGAATGAGAATGGAAGGGAGAGCACGTGGGATCAGAAGGAAGCTGGTGGCTTCGATCATAGTCAGACTCTGGTTACTGAAGATAACTTTTCTTTGCTTTATTTTTTGTGGAGGGAGAATGTGACTAAAAGAATGCTCTGTTGCTGGCAATTTTGTTTTGGGGAAAAAGATGAATGCCAGTTGTTCTAATCTCTATTTGGGGATATAATTTAGCCGTAAAGAACAATGTAATTAACTGTTGCTTCTGTACATGTACAGCATTGTGTCTGAGAAAAGGAGGTTAAAGATCAGATAAGTATTTTTTAACAGTGTAGTACAGCCATGTCAGACTCGCGGCCCACAACTAATATTTATGCGGCCCGTAGGCCGCGGCGTGGGAGCGCCAAGTGTAAGCTCTCCCTGCTCAGCTACCCGCAGTGATGCCGGGAGCCGGAATATGATGTCACTCCGGCTCCCAGCATCACGCGAGGGAGCTGAGCAGGGAGTGCTTACATTCAGCGCTCTCTTGCTGCCTGTCTGCCCCCCTGCCTGCATCCCCACTAGACCCCTGGTAAGAAATCAACCCAGTATGTTTGTGTTTATGGCTGGTTGTGTGTGTAGGTGTATGGCTGTGTGTGTGAGTGTGCATGTTTGTCAGTGAGTGTGTGTGAAGGTTTCAAGGAGTAACGGGAGGACCCGCTTTTTTAAGGTGAGGATGGGGCCATTAGGAGTATGCCAGAGGCCAGACTCCGGACACTGTTTGTTGGCTGTTTTTTTTGTGGTTTTGTTTTTAAACAGGGGCAGGGGCTTAGTAGACAGGGGGACTGGGATTTAGTAGACATGGGGGGGGACTGGAGTTTAGTAGACGAGAGGGGGTTGGAGTTTAGTAGATGGGAGGAGGCTGGGGTTTAGTAGAGGGGTGAAAATTTACGTTTGTTTTTTTTGCAGCCCACAAAATTAAACCTAGTTTATGTGGCCCTTGCTAGCCTTTGAGTTTGACATGCTTGGTGTAGTAGCCTACTGGACTACAATTACAAGGTGTGACCTAGGTCTAAGATAAATAGGCATAACCGTGGACATGTCCAATTACTATTCACATTGACCAATCCTTTAGCTTAAAAATTAATCACTAATCATACTACATACTAATTTTATCAGTGTAGAACAGTGCAGTGTGATTATACAACGTGCATCACTACTACAGAGATACAATTACTTAATGCTGAAAAGCAATTCATCATGCTAGGCATAGACGGGGATCACTGGATAACAGGGCTGTGCCACGCAATCAAGAATACATTGTGAAAATAGGAGGATGCAACAAATAAGACGCCTCTAGCTGGTAGGAACACCTCTGATAACAGTCACTGACTAGTAGTAGGACACCAGTAAAGACAGTCATCTCTCAAAGCTTACAGGAGCAACAGTCAGCTGTCTCCATCTGTGAGACTGACAGAGCAGAAGGCTTTGGATGCCTGAGGGGCACACTTAGAGAATATGGGTTTATATTTAGAAATGTAAAAATACAGACAGCTGAATTATGTGTATGGTGCACCAGAACATGGAGCCACCTCATTGTCTAGCTAATGGTACACCACAGTAAACATCATGGTCTCTCTCTGACTATTTAGGCCCCAGGATGGGTAGCTGGCACTGTCTGCCTAGAATTACATGGGAGATACCCTTATATTTAAAACAAATATTTACAGTACTATGCTGCATACATTTCTTGGCCAATCGGTGAGAGTCACTCACACAAATGCTTATCAAATAAATACTCAGCACAGAATACTTACAAAACATGTACAATATATATTTCAAATGCGAATCTGCTGTATTGGTTACAGTACCAACAATGCACCATTGTAAGCAGTCAAACCATTTTAGAGAAGTTTGATTTCTTAGCTGGAGTACAGGTCCACTGTGCGCTGATCCCTGCCTCTACTACCGATGATAGAGAGCCAGAAACGCTCAGCCAAATAGATAGCCCTACATTGTAGACATACTACAGGCAGCTGTCAAGCTGTTACTGTACTGTCGGCTTTACTAGTGATAGTCATCATTGTCAGGATTCCAAGTTGATCCAGCACGCAGAATTGTGTCACACCTAGGACTAAGGATAACGTATAACCAGACCTTAGAATAGCCCGACTTAACGTCTCCAAGAATAGTCAAAATACTTTCCGAGGTCAGGGACACAGAATCAGACACAACGATGAGGGAAAGCCAAAAGTCAAGGATGCCAGATATCACGGAAGTCATAACAAAGCCAAAGTCAAATACCAGAAAATGAAGATCAGGAACACACTCTCTGATTACCATCAGGATTAAACCACGACAGGGCAATCAGCAAAAGGAGAACTGGGTTTAAATACCCCCCTCCTGTGAATCTGATTGGCCATGACCGGTCTTTGACCCCAAAAGTAATTACCAGGTTTCCATGTGCATGATTGCTGCTCGGCACAACTTTTCCTGTTAGGACGGTAATGCTGCTCGGCATAACTTTTCCTGTCAGGGCGGTAAATGCCATTAACCACATTTTTATGTGCGGATGAACACGTGACAATCATGCTTTTACTGTACTGTCATTGTTACTAGTTGTGAAGCTGTTCCTGCACAATAAGCGTGCCTAGAGATAGCTGCTCAGCTGTTACTATAATGTCAGCTTTACTACAGATAGCCATCAATTTGCTACTGTGTTGACAGATTTACTACTGACAACTGTCAACCTATCACTGTTCTTTTTAGCTTGCTACAGACCGCAAGCAATCAAGCTGTTACGGTATTGCTAGCTTTTCTAAAGACAGCTGATAAGCCGTTATTGTACTTTTAACTTTGTTAGAGATTATCACCAAATGATCCAGCACTGTCAATTTTAATAAGAAAATCACTAAGCTGTTTCTGTACTGTTAGCTTTACTACAAACAAGCGGTATGCTACCACATATTCAATCCTGGCTAGTTGTGTCGGTAAACTGTTACTGTATTGTTACCCCAAGATACCTGAAGCTTCAAGTTGTTAATCGCTAATGAATTCCCAAAATTGTTTCAGAGCTATTAAATCATGGCTACCTGTTACTACACTACTAAGGAAGAGTACTTGGCTAGATGCAGACCGACGCTATTAGAGCAATGTTAGTCACGGCTACCTGCATTTCTCAAGCTATAACTGTACAGTTAAGTCAAACTGCACGCAGGCATAAAGTTGTTACTGTTCAGTTATTTTTGGCTTCTTATAGCCACAGGCTATTAATGTACCATTAGTAATGGCAACCTGTGACTCCCAACTTTTTAATGCAATGATAATTTTAGTTACAAACAGCCCTGCTACTTTAATATTAGTCACAGCTACATGCAGAGTCTGTGCTGCTACTGTACTCCGAGCACTGAGTGTGATCAGACTAATAACCATAAACTAGGTTCCTGGAGAGAGCTATCCCAACGCTGCCTTAAAATGTGATGGTAATTATTATTTCAAATTCAAACTGGTCATTACGGACAGCACTGCTGTAGAAAAACAGTTCATAAAATAGAGGAATAGTTCCACATCTTTCAACAGCCAATAAGATTTTTTTTGCAGACAGTATAATCAGTCTAGAAGTAGAATGGCCACAAATTTGAGCCCCTCCTCGGAATATGAAAACGTAGCAGGTAAAATGAAAGAGCCATTTAAATACACTAACGAGGCTCTATTTGTCAGAGCTGTAAAAGGTTTAGGAAATCAGACAGATGCTTATCATGCTTAAATCAGCCTAGAGGACTATAACAAGCACCTCTGAAGAGACAAAGGAGGTTTGATTGGTTTCTGGGAATGTGCCGAACAGGACGGAAATTTATTTTATTTTATTTTTTACGAACAGTTACTTCATTTGGGAGGCCAGCACAAGACTTGAATAAAATTGTTAGCGAATGCAAAATTAAAGTAAATATTTTACAACTACATGTCTGTTCGTTCACCCATTGTAAAGCGCTGCGGAATTTGACGGCGCTCTATAAATATCATAATAATAATAATAATAATAATAATAATAATAATAATAATAATAATAAAAAAATAGATTTAAAAGAAAAAACAAAAAACACTTACCTGTGCTTCTTGGCATGCAGCCCTTCTCAGCAAGTTATCACTACCAAAAAAAAAAAAAAGATAAAACATTGTGTTACATATAGATCTATAGTTTGCATAAATAAACTGATTTTCTGTATTAAACAAATAATCCCTTCTAGCAAGTGATGTTACTTTTTCTGTGCTGGGGGGATAGTGTGAGGAATCCCAGTATCCTCATGAAATGTTGACTAGTAAGCAAGTATCTACAGCAGATGTGGATTTTTAACTCCTTATGTACTTGAGAAGTCGTCAGCCTGCTAAAATCCACAGACGATGGTGTTGTGGAGAAAGCCTACTCATATGTTCACCGGTACACAGGACTAATCCCAAATACAATATATAATATGCTATTCAAGGCACAGAGCGTATACCAAGAATAGGCCTCGATTTAATATTGTTGCAATGGCTTTACAAATGATTTAATATTTTTGTATAAACATTTTACATGGTTTTCAAAATATTAATTTATAAAATTTAAAACAATATTTCAAAATATTACAATTTTCCAATAGTTTTCATATTATTAAAACATTTTTAAAATGTATAAAAAAAAAATAAAATTAAAAAAATTTGGAAAGCATATCTAGAAATATTAAATAAAGCCCTAATTTTAAATACAACTCCCAGACAGTACACACTTGTACATAAACATTATTATTGGCCTTTACATAGTGCCAACATATTCCACAGCAGTTTAAATACAGTAAATAAAGCATGGATCATTGGTTAGTTCTAGTAACAATACCTTCATTACCTGTGGAAACTGGAGATTTTACACCCAGCTGGATCAGATGTGTCTGAAGCAGTTATGGTTTTTAAATACTTTTTGTGTTAAAAGAACACTATAGTCACCTAAATTACTTTAGCTAAATAAAGCAGGTTTAGTGTATAAATCATTCCCCTGCAATTTCACTGCCATTTAGGAGATAAATCACTTTGTTTCTGTTTATGCAGCCCTAGCCACATCTCCCCTGGCTATGACTGACAGAGCCTGCATGGAAAAAAAAAAAAACTGGTTTCACTTTCAAACAGATGTAATTTACCTTAAATAATTGTATCTCAATCTCTAAATTGAACTTTAAATAACATACAGGAGGCTCTTGCAGTGTCTAGCAAGCTATTAACATAGCAGGGGATAAGAAAATCTTAATTAAACAGAACTTGCAATAAAGAAAGCCTAGCCTTGCAATAAATAGTGCTCTCTTTACAGGAAGTGTTTATGGAAGGCTGTGCAAGTCACATGCAGGGAGGTGTTACTAGGGTTCATAAACAAAGGGATTTAACTCCTAAATGGCAGAGGATTTAGCAGTGAGGCTGCAGGGGCATGTTCTATACACCAAAACTGCTTCATTAAGCTAAAGTTGTTCAGGTGACTATAGTGTCCCTTTAAAAAACACACAAAACAAATAGTTCTCGTCGGTAGAAGACCCCAAGGGTCCAGCACAGGATCTCACAACGGTCTCTGACCCTTGATGGAGGGGTCAGGAGGGACACGGTACTTATTTGATGGGTCTGCTGAAAACTGAGGGACTACTGGGGAGTGTTACAGCAGAATATAGGGAAATACGCTGTGAGATAGATGAATTTACCCCTGCGGTTATCTTCCTTCTACACCCCACCCCTCTCCTTTGTGTTAAATGTTTACTATTATGACATGTGGTAGGTGATGCTGAGACCCAGATCACCCTTCATTGGAGAGACCCCCATCCGACAAAAGGTGCAGGTCAGGTCATTGGAATTACCAACCACATCTAGCTTTGATGTGGCTTCTTTGGGGGGCGGGGGGAGTCGGCTCATTCAGTTAACGGTCTATTTAGGAGCTCTCTGATCACTCTCTTCTCTAAGCCTCGTCCGGCTCTTTTTCTAAACTTTCGCCACATTTTATTTACTATCTGTGGGAACAGTGCTGCACACTCCAGTTCCTCATCTAAAATCATATTATCCTTTCACCACCACTGCCTACTCATCCCTGCTTCCCTGTTTACTTGCAGCCATTTCTCTCTTCATTTCTTTGCAAAGTAATAATGTTATCCACCTATGTTACCTTATGCTTGTACACAAAGTTTATGTTCCTTTGATGCACCTATCCTTTGATATGTTTGGTTTGCATCTTTATTTTTTTCTGTACTACGGATTTCACAATACTTCTAGATACAACATGAAAATAAATAAAATAAAAATATTTTTTCTTGGACATTTCACCACTTCATACTGCCATAAATCGCCAGTCTCCACGTTAACGTCTTAATTTGTGGTAAAAAGCACTCCAAGCTATTAAGAGTGAAAGGAATGATGGAGCTAGGACAGAGCATGTTCCTTATCTATAAGAAATGAGTTATACAATGGCCACACTGGTGGGTACCTGAGCAAAGGTAAAGACACTCACCAGAAGTTGTTGAATTTTAGTTACAAACCTTTGGTTTGTGAAAGTCAAAAAGGACAAACAAAAAATTGAGTAAGAAAGAGTGCAGATAAAGAAACTCCAAACATTGAGGATTAATTACTAAAGTGGGAATTCAAATTTAAAGGAGCACTATAGGGTCAGGAACACAAAAATGTATTCCTGACCCTTTAGGGTTAAAACCACTATCTAGCCCCCTGTGCCTCCCTAAATATAGTAAAATCTTACTTGTATTCAAGTCTGAATCTGCTGCCTCTGCCTGTGAACTTCCTCTGACCTCTGACATCATCAGAAGTGGTGGCCTGATCCAATCACAATGCTTCCCCATAGGTGTGGCTGAGACTGACTAGGAGGCAGATCGGGGCAGAGCCAGCACAATTCAAACACAGCCCTGGCCAATCAGCATCTCCTCATAGAGATGAATTGAATCAATGAATCTCTATGAGGAAAGTTCATTGTCTGCATGCAGAGGGAGGAGATACTGAATGTTTGGATGCATTTTAGACAGCCATGACCCAGGAAGGATCTCTAACAGCCATCTGAGGAGTGGCCAGTGAAGTTATCACTAGGCTGTAATGTAAACACTGCATTTTCTCTGAAAAGACAGTGTTTACAGCAAAAAGCGTGAAGGGAATGATTCTACTCACCAGAACCAATTCAATAAGCTGTAGTTGTTCTGGTGACTATAGTGTCCCTTTAAGAGAAAAATAGCAGATTTGGAAAAATATTTTAAGCCAGCTATTCTTTCAATTTGGCTTCACTTTGAATTCTCTCTTTAGTAAAAAAAAAACAAACAAAAAAACCCCAGAGAGTGTCACCTGCCTCTTGCATTGTAAAAGTGCAGATATCAAAAGAAATCAGTGTCTAGATTGCACTCCCCCAGGTGTCCCTTCTTGATTGTTTGTCCTGTGACACAAACAGGAAATCATTGCTTCTCATAGAACTTTAATTCTTAGCCATCATTTAAATCAACAGAAAGACTTGGTATAGTTGCTCCCTTTTGAAGATGCCCACATAAAAGTTGAGAATTATGGTCCATAATTAGCTTTAAATCATTTTATGCAGTTGGACTTAGAATAAATCATTTTATTAGGAGATATATTTTAAAGTCAACATAGTGCAATGCCCCTTCTCTTCTCTCAAACATTTCATTCTTCACTTTGAAATCTAAAGGACATCCTCTATTTAAAAACAAAAAAAATGTATTTAATGTCTATTTTATATTATGGTAATTGTATATCTAACTAAATGTGGTATCTTGTACAATTGTATGGAGTGTTTTGTATGCAATAAAAACAAAAATATCTATAGTGCATAAAAAAACGGTTAGCATGCTCAACGGAGCTTCTCTCTGCATATTGCTTTATTTAATGACCACAAGTGACCTATTAATCCTTACAGTGCAACACAAATAAGCAACACACTTGCATCCTCCCATCTAGCACTTAAAGAGTTCAGATACAAAAGAAGACACTGTGTTTTTCACACACCCCGTAAATATGCTACCAGGAGGATCTGTAAATGGGAAAAGCCTGTTTGACAAGCAAAGCAAATTGTTCTCCAGGCACTTGTTCATAGCACTGCAATCACATTAAAACGCAGACCATTCAGAAGCAAGAAACATTTAAAAAAAAAATATTACTAAATAATTCTCCCTCTAAATAATTCACACTGCAAGGTTTTGAAAATGTAAAGATAAAAAACAAAAACAAATTATTCTGTCAAAATGAAAAAAAAAAAAAAAAAAACTCTTACGCCTTATTATGAATAGCAAACAAGGGACGTGCTTGCAATTGCATAGACTGTGAATTTGAAGGTACCTTCCGATAAAATTACAGAGCTGTCACTCTCCAGTTGATCCCCCGCACTTTGCTCGCAGTTTGGATTTTTTTTTTGTTTCTCTGGATTTCAGATGCTTGCTGTATGCAAATACGCTTGTAGCATAAATTGTCCAGTATAACTTTGCATACTCACCAAGATTTAGAATTGCAACAGCCCCATTTCAAGAAAACCATAACCCTTTATAAACAGATAAAGCTCACTAACCTTAAGCAGTTACATTACTCTTAACTGTATCACAATCTTTTCTAAAAATCAACCAAATGAAACAGTCCTATCCCTTCTTTGACATAAAAAAAAGCTTCATAGACAGTTTAAAGGACCACTATAGTGCCAGGAAAACATACTCGTTTTCCTCGCACTATAGTGCCCTGAGGGTGCCCCCACCCTCAGGGACCCCTCCCGCCGGGCTGGATGGAGAGGAAGGGGTTAAACTTACCCCTTTCTCCAGCACTGGGTGGGGAGCTCTCCTCCTCCTCTTCCCTCACCGGCTGAATGCGCATCAAGAGCTGCGATCGCATTCAGCCAGTCTATAGGAACGCATTCTCAATGCTTTCCTATGGACGCTGGCGTCTTCTCACTGTGAAAATCACAGTGAGAAGCGTGGAAGCCCTCTAGCGGCTGTCAATGAGACAGCCACTAGAGGCTGGATTACCCTAATATAAACCTAGCAGTTTCTCTGAAACTGCTATGTTTATAAAAAAAAGGGTTAACCCTAGCTGGACCTGGCACCCAGACCACTTCATGAAGTGGTCTGGGTGCCTATAGTGGTCCTTTTGTGTGGCCCTTGGCATCCGTTTATAAGCCCCTTTCAGCTCCACCAAAATATCTTGTCATATGAATTATAATTTCATTGGACTGCACATTTATATAAGGGAAAAAAAAAAGAAGTAATAAATATACATTTTTTTTTTCATCTGCAACTGTCAACATGTAGCTTTCCATCTGTGGAAATGTGGAAACATGATTATGGATTATTCTAGCAATGTTATTTACAAAAGGTGAATTTCAAATGTAAGGTCAATGTAGCCAACATGGAAAAATAAAGTAAGCTATACTTTCAGTTCAGAGACTTTTGCCTTAACCCCTTAAGGACCAAACTTATGGAATAAAAGGGAATCATGACATGTCACACATGGCATGTGTCCTTAAGGGGTTAAATTTGAATTTCACCTTGAGTTCACACTTGAGTAAAATAACCCCATATAAACCCATTTAATGAGACAAGGCAGTTGCAGTGTCTACAGTGCCCTTCGAAGGAGCACTGTAAAAATAATAAAAAAAATCATATATTATATAATATATATTTTAGATTACTGGGTCCACTTTGCTAAAAAAAAACAAACAAAAAAAAAAACACCTTACAAAAATAAATAAATGTAAAACCTCTTAAATTTTTAGGGGTATTCACTTAAGTAAGAATTGAAGGGAATTCAAAGTGAATTTCAAATTGAAGGTCAGAATAGCGGAACCCGGAAAAATTCACCTTGCCAGCTATGTTTTTAGTTCGGCTCCTTTGGCCTTCAGTTACTTTGCCAGGACAGACTAAAGGGATATTAGAGTCACCAGAACAACTACAGCTTAATGTAGTTGTTCTGGTGTCTACTGCCTGTCCCTGCAGGTTTTTTAATGTAAATACTGTCTTTTCATTGTAAAGGCAGTGTTGACATTACTGCCTAAGGACACCTCTAGTGGCTGTCACTCAGACGGTCACAAGAGGTGCTTCCTGGGTCAGTGCTGCACAATGTGCTTCGTCAATTTTGATGATCTCCGCCAAACCAGGCATCATAACCACTTAAGTCTGGTGTAATGTTTATTGTGCAGGAAACTGGTGCCTTACCCATGGTTTTGTCACAAATCTTTTTCTGAGATTTGATACAAACAGATCCCTTGTCTTGGCATATTTCTACTGCAGAAGTTAGTCTTCTTGATTAGCAACATCAACTTTGTCCAAATATTGACAGCATCCATTGGCTGAACATGTAAGCGGATACACAAATGTGCAAAGGTCCGAGCCAATGCACCCAGGAGACCCTTGGTTTATGTTAAACCCCTTAAAACTAGTTTGGTATTCACAGAAAGGGGAATGACACAAAGGGAATGCTGGCACCATACCCACTACAGAATGGCTCAACAAATCCCTAGTGCCAGGTCACCATGGCAACTAGGAACTTTGTCCTGGTACCTGGCATTTGTCAGCACGTTCGCTCTGAGGTGGGTTGGTGGAAGGGCAGGTGGACTGAAAGTTAAGGCAAAGTGGAGGCAGACAGCTGGGGAAGAATTGAGCTAGGCGGTAACTGAGTTGTAATCTTCCCGCCCTACCTCCTCGCACACCCTGCAGTAATGCCAGAAGCCAAAATATGTTGTCACTCTGGCATCACTAAACGCACGAGGGCTGAAGAGTTACAGAAGCTGTAAGTTTGAAGATAACTAACTGGACCCCAGATACAGGTTCACCGCTGGACCCCAGGGAAAGCCGATCCACTCCAGTTCTCCCAGAATAAAACAAATAATTTGTGAGCGTCTGTCAGTGTGCGTGCATATGTATAGGTGACTGGACCCCTCTGATCACGTGAATGGCCTTGACATGGCAGGTGGGCTTATAGGTGCCACCCAGGAATAGTGGGAGTTTGAGCACAGGACCTATTTTTGTGCACATGGGAATGGTAATTTTACTCGCCTTTTTACATGCCGTGTCGGTCTTGCCTCCATGACGGAGACAGATCTGAGCCAATCCAATGCTTTAGGTTATTGCGCATGCATGGCAAAATGTTCTGCCAATCAGCATCTCCTCATAGAGATGCACTAAATCAATGCATCTCTATAGGGAACGTTCAGCGCATCCATACAAAGCGTGGAGACTTTAAATGTAGGTGCTGCACACTGTGCAGCACTGAGATAGGAAGCACCTCTAGTGGTTGTATGAGTGACTGCCATTAGAGGTATTACTGGACAGCAATGTAAACACTGCCTTTTCTCTGAAAATCAAATGAAAGAACTTTGATATAGCTACATATATTTGATATTAAAAATCTAAAATACAGGAAAGAATGAATTCATTTGGACTCGGAAGACATACCACACTATAAGCAGCATTATAAGTGTTGTACCCCTGATACTATTGTTGTTCCACTTGCAGACATTCAATAGGGCTTGGCTTCCATTATTTATGACATTTTGCTGACGCCATGTTCATTGCATTTCAAACATAGGTTTTATACCACTTTTACAGCAAAATGTTTATCAAGCACAGTTTTCTTAACCTAAAGCCATCTAGATGTATTTTCCACCCAGACTGTTTGGCATCTAATGATAGACTATAATTGAGTGTTCTGCATGTTTGATTAATATTTATATTACCATTTATTTAAAAATGTCATCACTAGATTTGCCATACTTGTTTATTCTCCTACGTGTTCTGAATTAACTTGTGTTTATAACTTACCAATATTTGCCATAAGCCCAATGGCCTCCATACCCCAGCAGGCAAAATCCTACAGTGCTTTTCTTCCAGTGATTCCGAAGAGTCTTAACGATTCGGACAACCTTAGCCATAGTTATACCATAAACACCTAAAGGGATTCATTTAGAAGAAGACATAAACTGAGTTAGTAAGATACTTTAGAAGAAACAAAATGTATCTATGAAAATGTGAGCGCTTATGACATATATATATATATATATATATATATATATATATATACACACATATATACACACACACACACACACTGTATATACTCAAGTATAAGTCGACCCGAATATAAGTCGAGACCCTAATTTTACCCAAAACAACTGGGAAAACTTATTGACTCGAGTATAAGACTAGGGTGGGAAATGCAGCAGCTACTGGTAAATTTCTAAATAAAATTAGATCCCCAAAAAATTATATTAATTGAATATTTATTTACAGTGTGTGTATATAATAAATGCAGTGTGTGTGTGTGTATATGAGTGCAGTGTGTGTGTATGTGTGCAGTGTGTGTGTGTCTGTGTATGAGATGCAATCCTTGGTGGGGGGGGGGTGGACATTTTTATATTATTATTTTAATATATATTTTTTTTTATATATTATTATTATTTTTATGTTATTTTATTTAAATTTTTATTTATATTTATTTTCGTCCCCCCCCTCCTTGCTTGTTAGCTGGCCAGGGAGGAGGGCTCTCATTCCCTGGTGGTCCAGTGGTGTGCACTGTGTAGGAGGGGGCTGTCAGGAAGCATTTACTTACCTTTCCTGCAGCTCCTGTCAGCTCCCTTCTCTCTCCTCCGGTCCGGTCAGCTCCCCTGCAAGTCTCGCAGTGTGAGTGCCGCCCGGAGCGTTGCCACGGCTCTGACCCCGCGGCTCTCGCGAGACTGACCGGACCAGAGGAGAGAGAAGGGAGCTGACAGGAGCTGCAGGAAAGGTAAGTAAACGCTTCCTGACAGCCCCCTCCTACACAGTGCACACCACTGGACCAACAGGAAATGAGAGCCCTCCTCCCTGGCCAGCTAACAAGCAAGGAGGGGGGGACGAAAATAAATATAAATAAAAATTTAAATAAAATAACATAAAAATAATAATAATATATAAAAAAATATATATATTAAAATAATATAAAAATGTCCACCCCCCCACCAAGGTCTGCATCTCATACACACACACACACACACACACACACACACTGCAAGTAAGTTACAGCTTGCTGCCAGCCCCCAACAGGACCGCCGGGCTTGTAATGAACCCAGCGGTCCTTGTCTGTATTATGGCAATGTAAGTTGCCATAATACAGACACTCACTCGAGTATAAGACAAGTGGGGGTTTTTCAGCACAAAAAAAGTGCCGAAAAATTTGTCTTACACACACACACACATATATCTATATATATATATATATGTATATATATATATATAAAAATCTAATGGGGTGCAGTGTTATGGATGGACTACATAAGGACTATATTTTCACTAATGGATTTTATATAGCAATAAGTAACCTTGGTTTTAATTCAGATGCTAGAGGTACACAAACCACAAAGCATTTAAAATATAGGTTTACATTTAATAGAAAAACAATTTTAGTGTTCACAGTTTACTGCAGACTCTTTAAAGGGACACTCCAGGCACCCAGACCACTTCTGCCCATTGGAGTGGTCTGGGTGCCAACTCCCACTACCCTTAACCCTCTAAGTGTAATCATTGCAGTTTTCATAAACTGCAATAATTACCTTGCAGGGTTAACTCCTCCTCTAGTGTCTACTAGACAGCCACTAGAGGGCACTTCCTGCCTCATAGCACAGGTTTTCTGTGCTAGAGTGTCGCTGGACGTCCTCATTCTGTGTGAGAACCTCCAGCGTCGCTCAATTGCCCATAGGAAAGTATTGAAAAGCATTTTCAATGCTTTCCTATGGAGAGCTCTAATGCGCAGACGGATCAGTCTGCCCCGCTGACGTAATGAATGGGAGGAGCGTCGGTGACCCGAAACCACCGCCGAGGGACATCGGCTGGGGTTTTCACCCCTTCAGCAACCGGGGATGGGTGATGTGAGAGGGGACCTGCAGTGCCAGGAAAAAGGATTGTTTTCCTGGCACTGGAGAGTCCCTTTAATGTCAATGGAAAAACCTATTTAAAGAAAATTGATGCATTTTTATCACATTTGTATCAATTTTGTCCCAATGACACTCATTCCATAAACTCTGAATTTTAGTGGATTCAAATCCAAATGCAAAATTAAGGCTAAAATAGACAAGCTGGAAATATACTGTTCGAGTAATTACAGATCAGATGTGTTAGCCTAAATCTTGCCATTTGGTTTTGATTAGCTACAATTCAGAGTTTAATGAATACACCTCACAACATTAAAATATCTCTCTAAATTATTCATTACTGCGGGCACTCTCTATATCTCACAGTCTCTTCTCTCTGTGCATTCCTTCCATTTTCACTCTTACTCACTTCTGATCCATGTCACTGTTTATCACAAAGCTGTCTCACTGTAAGACTATTTGTCACTCAGCTGTTCCCCCCAAGCCCCTATCACAGTATGCTGCTCTGCTGTCTCTTTTTCTTCTAAGCATCACTGTCTCTAAGCCCTCTTTCTTTTCCTTTGTACTCTATATTTACTGGTCTAGATTTTAAATGTCTCTCCCTCTCTGTATCACTGTATGCAGTTTTGCTCTCTCTCCTCCTCTCTGTGTTTTCTCTAGATCAATCACTCAGCTGTCTCCATTCAAGTGCTATCTCTAGATCACTGGCTGTCTCTGGGCAACCTATAATTGTTTTTCTCTAATGTAATTCCAACCCTCTCCCCATTCCCCCAACTCTCTCTACCAACCTTGTCCTCTCTCTGGGTCACACGCTGTCTCCCTGTGTGCTATGTGTGTCTTGCATTAATGTCCCCCCAGCACACGGATCTCAGCACAAACATTTCCGCTCTCATTTAGTTCCGGGAACAAGTTCTTCAAATAAAATCTTTTCTTTTCCTCTGTATATAACGAGTTGATACTCATTGGAAACACATAGAGATCTTCTAGTTCAGTAACCCAGCATGTCACATATAATATTGAGGATCTTATTTAGCAGAAGGAAAGAGTGGATTGGTGGCAAAGTATATAATATGGTCAAGGGGTTATTATCAGTTTGAGTACATTGCTTGTAAATTGCTTTATTTTCATTGATGGCAACATTTGAAAATAATGGCCAGGGACACTTTGCAATAGAGCCCTAGAGTGTAAGTACCCTAGGAGCATACATACCCAATATATCAAACGGACAAAGAGTCCGCTTACATTTTATGGGCTGTTAAGAGGGAAATACGCGGTGGTATAGGGTGAGTACCGAAAGGGTTTATTAAAGGGACACTATAGTCACCTGAACAACTTTAGCTTAATGAAGCAGTTTTGGTGTATAGAGCATGTCCCTGCAGCCTCACTGCTCAATCCTCTGCCATTTAGGAGTTAAATCCCTTTGTTTATGAACCCTAGTCACACCTCCCTGCATGTGACTTGCACAGCCTTCCATAAACACTTCCTGTAAAGAGAGTCCTATTTAGGCTTTCTTTATTGCAAGTTCTGTTTAATGAAGATTTTCTTATCCCCCCTATGTTAATAGCTTGCTAGACCCTGCACGAGCCTCCTGTATGTGATTAAAGTTCAATTTAGAGATTGAGATACAATTATTTAAGGTCAATTACATCTGTTTGAAAGTGAAACCAGTTTTTTTTCCATGCAGGCTCTGTCAATCATAGCCAGGGGAGGTGTGGTTAGGGCTGCATAAACAGAAACAAAGTGATTTAACTCCTAAATGGCAGAGAATGGAGCAGTGAAATTGCAGGGGAATGATCTATACACTAAAACTGCTTTATTTAGCTAAAGTAATTTAGGTGACTATAGTGTTCCTTTAAACCTTTCTGAGCGGGTGGGGCACAGGATTACACCCTGTTCCAAATTATTATGCAAATTATATTTTTCTCATTCACAAATAATTGATGTAAATAACAGTCAGCACAATTCTCATGTTATCAACTATTAAGAGTACAATTCAAATGTTATTGAACAAACCTCCTAATGATAACAGTATTTTTTTTAAACATAGAAAACTTACAATGCACTGTTCCAAATTATTATGCACAGTAAGTTTCAAAACACTTTATAGCAAGCATGTCAAACTTAAGGTGTGGCACTGGCCACATAAACAAGGTTTAAGTTTATGTGGGCCGCACACACACACACTCACTGACAGACACATACACATACTCACTGACAGACAGACACACACACATACTCACAGACAGACACACACACACACTCACTGACAGACACACACACACACTCACTGACTGACTGACAGACACACATACTTGCTGACAGACACACACACACATACTTGCTGACAGACACACACTCACACACATACTTTTCTTTATTGCTCCTTACCTTTTGGAGCATCTCCCTGGGGTCCTTCCTGCTCCTCACTGCTCCCGCACGCAGTTTAGTGATGCCGGGTCATATTCCGGCGCCCGGCTTCACTTCAGTCAGCGCGCGCGAGGGAGCAGTGAGGAGCAGGTACACTGAGCTCCCTCGCTGCCACCAGAGACCTCTCCTCCCCGGCCGGGTAAATGTTAGTAGAGTAGGCACCTGCAATATGGGGAAGGCAGGTGCCTACTCTGCTATAACACTGAGCATGCACTCGCGGCTCGCCAGGCTGCAAAGATGGTCCTTGTGGGCCGCATGCGGCCAGTGGGCCGCGAATTTGACATGCTTACTTTATAGGTTGTAAAGAACTGAAAATTGTCATTTGTTGTGTTTGCAGCATATTTACTGAAATCAAAAGCTATTTAAATCAAACTTATAACAACATTTTAACTTTTTAAACATTTTAACAGGTCACGTTACATTTTAACATAGGACCCCTTATTTGATAGCAGCTTCACAAGTCTTGCATCCATTGAACTTGTGAGTTTTTGGACAGTTTCTGCTTGAATTTGTTTGCAAGATGTCAGAATAGTCTCGCAGAGCTGCTGTTTGGATGTAAACTGCCTCCCACTCTCATAGATCGTTTGCTTGAGGATGCTCCA